GAAAAGATGTATGAGGCGAGAGATCACCCTAGCGTTATAAGGCTTAACTGCCTAATTAAGTCTGAAATACAACGTCTGAACACTGTATACAATCAGAAGTTCTTATCGTGTAAGAACTCTTTCAATATATGGAAATTATTTAAAGAGCTTGCTGGCAAAAAGACAGGTGATAAAAGAAACTCTTTCGGATGTCTGTGCGTTGAACAAGTCATTTATATGTCGGCAAGCTGATTTTACTCTTCCTAATGTCCAGGTTTTAATACAAATGATGCATCTAAATGTCTAAAGTCTTTGAATCCCACCTAAAGCTTAGGTCCTGGTGGTGTTTCGAGTATTGTATTTAGAAAATGTTCAGATATTTTGTGTCATCCACTTACAGATATCTTCAGTGTATCGTTCTCTAAAGACATAATACCCTCTGCCTGGAAGCAGATAAAAATTGTACCTGTGCCTAAACCATCTCCTGGATCAGATGTTACTTTTCGACCCATTGCAATAACTTCCCCTTTTCTGAAGACAAAGGAGAAATTACTTCTGCTTGTGATTGAGCCTTCATTCATGGCCTTCAGAGATCCAAAACAGTTTGCCTACAAACGCCGGAGGAGTACACTAAATGCGGCCACTGCCTTGCATCATACTATTGTTTCTAGTCTCGAAAAAGTTGTTAAGTATGTCTGTTGTGCCTTCTTGGATTACTCATCAGCCTTTGATTCTGTTCCTAGACCACTTTTGCTAGATAAGCTTGCCCTAGCTCACACTGAGCCGTGGGTTACAAAATGGCCTCATTCTGATTTTTCTGAAAGGCAACAGTACACTATTCATAAAAGAATGCACTCGACTTCATTGCTTACTGAAGCTGGTGTGCCCCAAGGTGCTGTACTCTCCCTTTCTATTTTCCTTTTTTTGCACGATTTGCCTTATTCTGTTGAAACTAACTTTATCAAGTATGCTGACGACCTGGCGATTTCTGTTCCAGTAAACTCTTCTTTGGGTTGCTTAAAATTAAATGAATTCTTGTCTGAAGTTGGTAACTGGTCTCTCTCAAATGGTCTCAAACTAAACCCCTCGAAATGTCAGACCGTTAATTTTAGCCTCAGGCGCAAACAAGGCTTACGTGAGCTACTTAAATCTCATGACACCTGCTTCATCAATGGCATTTCTGCAGAAAGTAAATCGAGTGTGAACTATCTCGGGTTGCATTTTACTTCTGACCTTTGTTGGTTGTCCCATATTTTATTGACTTGTAAAAAATCTTTCGTTTAACTTATTACGTAAAGAAATTGAGGCTTTCTGGTATAACTCAACTGCTTCTTTTACAATTTATTGATTCCTGCATTTTGCCTACTCTTCTATATTGTTCCCCATTAATCTTTCCTGGTCTTCTTAAAAAGGACTATGTTATGTTGCATAGGGCTTTGAAGACAGTCAGCAGGGTGAGTGGTGTGTCTCTGGCCCAACCGATTAACACTGTAGTTGATCGGCATATAACCTCCTGCAAGCTACTAGCTACAGAAATTTAAACTGAGAGTGAGCATCCACTTCATTTACAGCTCTCTCCATGTATCTCCTCAGGGCGGACAAGGAGAAACTATGTAAGACTGTATACTCGTACAGCTAAGTATAAGAACACGACTGTACCTTACCGTGCACGTATATTTTGTGAGGGAAAAAGTGTTAGAACAGAAGCCACACTCCAACTTTGTAACAGTTAAAAATCTCATTTCAATGATCTAACTTACAATGCCAGATTTCTTCTTCTTTTTAATATTCTACACACAACTTAAATTTTTATAATAAAACAATTCAAAAGGCTGCAAAGTGGTATGTATATACTTATACTTTGTTGTTGTTGCAATATATATTAAGCTGAGAATTCCAAATTGTACCACAAATTGCTTGGAATAAAGTGAATTATTACTATGCCTAAGTCTATATATAACTGCTGCCGTTTGGACTTTTAACCATCTCAACGTCTAGCTCCACCGACTACTGGAAAAAATCCCAGTGGAATTAATGTATACTTCCTTTAAGCCACATGGTGAACTGGAAATGCACGGGTTTAGACACTCACCTTGGTTATGTAACTGTGGATATTTATCGATACTCCAGACCGTATGAATAGGCCCTTTGTGGATAGCAAAGCTAAAAGCTGAAGAGCTTTCTAGTGAATGGATGTTCATATTACTAAATAGGAAACTATGCGGATGGACTAACAAACTTCGAATATTGCGCTGTTTTGTTTCGGATGGTGGAACCTGTCTGTGTAATGACAGTTGGGAATCCATGCCCGTCTCTTCGTTTGCAGCAAGTTAATAAGTTTATGCAGATCAATAACTTGCCATGTGAGTTATACAATTCCCGGTAATATTCTGTAAACTTTCAAACTCATCATTTTGGCGGCGCTTGTGAACTGGTATCTGTCATGTTAAGTCCATTATATAGGAACGAGAATTTTTATTATCTTTACTTTGACGTGCTGCGTATGTTGAAATTGGTATTTTCTTTGTCCCGTGACCGCGATCTGATGTTTTTGATGGAGTTAAACGACCTCCTCTCTGTACTATTCACGATCCATAAAATCTTGTAGATTTTTTGACATATATCAATGTGATGATGCCAGTAAACTGGCTTCTCTCATGTTAAATCACTAATGTGAGAATAAAAATTTATTTATATATATTGAGCTGTGAAAACCAGCTGTTGAATACCCACCTAGGCATGTCATCTGGAGCTTCCTGGTTATCACATATCCTCCACCGGGACTGTAACTCAGCCTTCCTTCCACTGATACCAAAAGTCCACTTAATTCCCTGGCCAGTGTACGAGTTCACTGATATCCCTTTTGGAACGCAAACTACGGCAACCTCTCGTGAGTTGAACACTTGTGCAGTGACCCAACAAACATTGTCCTAATTAGCTTCAAGCGGCTACTTGGTAGCTTCGGTCACTATTTCCAACGCATTTTCGGCATACTTAATGTCCGCGGAAAGATCCTCCCCTACTCAAGTGTCTCGTCATCGTGACTATAATAGTAAATACCACTCATATAGTCAGTGACTTGTTCCTTCCCTAACTTGGTGGAAATAGTTCGGGTACGAATTTTGTGTTTCGTCAGATCTGTTGGTCACTGTGACTCAACATTTTGTTTCAACCTAGAACATTCCTTTATATTTGCACATTGAGTGAATTCTTTCAAATCATTGATGCTACGCTCGCATAAAAATTAACGTTGTATAATTATACAATCATGCCTGCAAATTAAAGGATGCTTGCATTTAAAAGGACTTAGCAGTATTATTATTGTGAGCTTATTTACTTCCTGCAGTGCTAACCGCATGACAGCCGGGAACCGAAAATAAAAATATGACGTCGTTCCTAGGGACTGACCTCGTCATACAGAATGCATGTTCCTCGAATACCTGGCCAAAGTGACACAACCCGAACCGTGTTGGTGGTTTGAGATAAACAAGGTACCGTCCGGCTTGGCACGGGCATGCCAATTAAAAAATTATCCTGATGAGAGCGTGAAAGAGTGTTGGGTTGAACTAGAGCATCAGTTTAGGAGTCGTCATACACGATCCGGATAGGTTCGCGGACCAGCCTTTTATTGTCCTTATTTGTCGAATCCATACAAGTGCAAGACAAAGAACACCATGTGTAGTCAGGTTTGCAAAACTCATGTGCCAAGATGGACTGGTTCGTCGGATGGGCACAATGAACGAGAAACTCAACGTAACACTACAATGCACTGAATAACATTCAACACCGGCTGGGAGAATTAAACTTGACCGGACTGTTGATAGCATAAAGTTCGACATGTTTGCCATGGAATTTCGGATCTGTCCTTTTTACTCGTCTTACACATTTCAGTTCCCCACTGCATAGCTCTACCGATTTGCCTCCGCAGGTTTCTGTTGAAACCCCCCTTTTAACCGAAGAGGCGAAAAAAGGAAAATCATAAATCAGGAGTATATCGTTCCTATGCAAAAACAGCTGACCCAACTTCAGCACAGAGCAAACAGCAAAAGATCTGTGTTTAACGCTGGTGCACTCAAGGCTGTTCATTTACGACGCGAGCTTATATGTGGTTTTTGAGGCACGTCCTTAGAAATGTCAGTGGTGGGGAAGGATTTGAGATTTGGCCAACTACTTCTAGGCACGGAGGCACATTTTCCCTTACCGACCGTTGGCAACCACATCAACATTTTACTTACATCCAGTGGGGCTGTAGCGGTGCCAGATGTGTTACTGTTATGTAACGCTTGACCAACCCTGCCCAACTCAGTGTGCTCTAGAACCTTCTTTTTGGTGACAGAAAGGTGCACTACAGGGTCACGAGCACATACTGCTGGGGTGTCCCATACTAGGGCAATGTGGCTGCCCACTTCTCTCAAGCCTTTAATATCCCCATAACTGATGTCAGTCCATGATGAAAACCAACCTGAAATGCACAAATAAATCCGCGCGTGTCAAAATTTTATTTTAATCGTCATCAATTCTACCTACTTTGTTGATACGATTGGACAATCCGCTTGTCACTGTGAAGCAGGTTCCTCATCTTCAGGACCTAATGCAGAACTTGCAAGGTTTCAGAAACTTGGTTTCCCACTCAGCTAATTGAAAATGGGAGGTAAAAATCCATCCCTAATTACCGCCGATTCAGACCTAAGAGCAGGAAAGCAGAAGTTCATCATTCGCGATGGAGTGAATAAAACACAAAAGAAGAGAGGTTAAGAGCAATAAATAAGGTTACGAGAGTAGCCCGCTTCCTTTACTCTGATAAGTGATGATGACATTTGAGTGATTTCAAAATTTCTTGAATTCCATTATGGCTACTTAAATATTGCTTCTGTTTGGTTGTCCTTTCTATTAAAATGCAGATTTATTTTATTGCGCACTATGCTATGTTTTTCTTGTGTAGTCAGGCGGTGTCCTACTCTTCTGTGTTGTATGCAGATGACTGTTGTTTATTTGTACTGCTAACTGGTCAAAGTGTTGTAGGCGCTTGTTTGACTTGTTTTGATAGTTATGTCTACATCATGTGTTGTGAAGAATTTAAACCCTCCAGAAACTCAAAATGTGGAGGTTTTCTGTCGTATCAAGCCGCTTGCTTCAGAGGGAACATCCTGCTTGGAGATTTGTGATGAGAAGACCATAAAATCTTTTAGCAGTCGTTCTGGAACTCGGAAAGAGGTATGCTTGCTAACGTACTCTTAACACATAGACTTTGCACGTTTTTACTTCGATTATACCACCGCATTCAGGGCAAGAGAATGTTTTTCGTAAAGTTGCTCTTCCGATGGTTGCAGACTTTCTGCAGGGGAAGAATGGTAAAAGGATTATAACATGTTTATATTTTAAATACACTTAGGTTTACTGTTTACTTATGGAGTCACTGGAAGCGGCAAGACTTACTCAATGGAAGGGTCTCCGAAAAACCCCGGTATTTTGCCTCGCTCCCTGGATGTTATATTCAATTCTGTGGGGCAGTGCCAAACCAAGAAATATGTAAGTGACTCCTTTCTTGCCTATTGGTTTAGGTGGTAAAACCTGATGGTGCGAACGGGTTCATTATCCAATCTGAAGCGGATGCACTTGTGGATCGTCACCGATATGACTTTCAACAGCGCTCCCGCATTTCAAAGTAACTTTTCTTAATATTTTATTTAGTAGACCTGATGTGAGATCTGTAAATAGAGGCGAAAGGAATTGCGAGTCAACATCTGTAGAGGTCCCTTGGAAGTCTCTTTTCGCCGTATTTGTGTCCTTCATTGAAGTTTACAACAATAATATATATGACCTATTGCAAGACGTATCAGACATCCCGGGAAGGTAAACCTCACTTGTGGATTCATTTTCAACTCCAGAAACCTAACGACTCGGATACTACGGGAAGATACTCATCGGAACGTGTATGTCCATGGAGGGGTTGAAGTGGAGGTAAAGTCTCCTGAAGAAGCATTGGATGTATTCTGCACAGGTACGGGAGTTACATGATTGTTTGTAGCTCTAATTAGTTTTTCCTCTCAGTTTTATCATTTAATACATGAATTTCATGCAAGCACAGCGGTTCTTGGTTCTCTTGATGTGTTTGAAATTATGTTTGACGTTAATCTTCTCAGGAGTACCGTCATGGTTAGTAAACACTTCATCCCACAGCTCAGTTTTGTTTTCATTTTACAGGTCAGAAACGTCGTAGAGTCGGACAAACTGCTCTTAATCTTGAGTCCAGCCGAAGTCATTGTGTTTTCAATATTCGATTGGTTCGGACTGGTTATGACGTAAAGTATAATGAGGCTGTTCAAGTAAGCTCCTTCGTTTTTCAGTGTATTAGCGCAATGTTTATGTATATTTGGACTCTGTATCATATTTCATAGTCATAGGGTTGTCCAGACGCAAGGAGTGATACTGTCCATGAAACGTTTCATCACAATATAAAAGTGCAACCACTCAGCGGAAACTGCTTTGGGACATGAGAATGAGCCATGTCACCAACTGTGAGTTTTTCGATAAAACTATAGATGATTACTTAGCGTACTTGGTTGTTCTACCGATGGCTGCTACCTCAGTGTAGTGGTTGGTCTCAGGTATTACAATGACCCAAAGAGCTCTGCTGATGCAGCATATGCTCTCTTGAAGTCCTACTATATCAGGAAGGTGTTTAAGACAGTGGTATAAAAAGCACTTACCATCATGATATAAATAACCAATCTATGATAGATGTCTGAGTTTGGAGTTGTACTTCTGGCTGAATGGTGTTTCCTACAGATGGTAAGCAGTCCATACTGATGCTGCCTTCTTTAGAGAAATGACGGGGTTAGGAAAGATCGACCCAGAAGAGGTTATACTCCTCTATCCTACGGTCTTCTGGTGCATGTAGCATAGATTTCCCCTTTAGAATCAAGGCAATCGAAGGTCAATCGTGAGATTCTAAAACGATTGTGTATTACTGGCTTCAAGGTGTCCAGTGGATTCATTGTGACTCATCTCTATTGCTAGTACACATTTATTGCAAGTGCCTGATGAAGTAACCTTTCACTTTGTGGGGAGCCAGGAATTGTCAATCAACTTTACAACTCTGCCAACACTCAGGGTTCCTCTAATCGTTATCAGCGTCTCAGGTCATCGCCTTCTAATCTTTCCATGGATCTCTTTGACAACATTTCCACAACATTTGATTTCTTCCAGCTTTGCAGTACTTGGTAACGAATCGAGTTCATAGAACAGAATCACTGGTCTCCTGAAACCACACTCCAGGTTGCACATTGGAGCTTTCAATGTCGGCACCCTCTATCAAGTCGGAAAATAAGTTTCTCCAGCCGAAACTATCATCTCAGGCTATGGACATGTATTCTGTTTGCGAGACGCACATACAGGACGTAAGTGCTGTCATTCACCTAACCTTACCCAGTCGAGATGGTTGATCCGCGAAATTCACCTTTCGAGTTTCTGTAGGTTCGATGGCTAGTTTACGCGGCCTTATGGGTGTAAGGAATTAAGTGCTAAAGCAAAAGGTGCACTGTTTGACTGGTTCATAGCTGACAGTCACGTATGCGGTGTTCGACTGAATGATCCATACAAGACTAAAAATAATAATGAAATTCGCCACTATTTCATTTTAGTTTCTGCTAACGCATCCCCCGACTGCAGTCTGGATGGAATGGTGGGTGGATTCTACCAGAAACTTTCGCTTCCTACGGAAAATCGAAGGTTCAGATATATTTAGTGTTGCAGCTGATTTCAGTGCACAGTTAGGTAGGCTAAGCTAGATGGGAAGGCGATTAGGTGGCGTTTCTGGGATCCCAGCTGAACGAATGGATAACAGTGGTCGCGTGCTACAATTCTGATCGAGCCATCACTTTCTGTGCTATTTGATTTTATCATTAAATTCCTTTAAGGGTCTTCCTCCTCTTTTGACTTTACAGAAGTTGGCCTTACCTAAGGAGATTTCATAGTTTACCTAAGGTACACAAGAAATAGTCTTGCTAGGTGGAAATGGTAACAAGATTTATTTTTTCTGGAGACGAGAAATAGCAATTTGGGGATATTTGGGATGCGATTTTCATTGCTCAAGTGCAAACGTTTTCTTCGACACGTCTGTGTTCTCATTTTGCCTAACAATGGGGAGTGTAATGCTTGAACGTACTGACCTCTTCACTTGGGAATTCGGTTCAGCCTTAGTGGGTCAGTGACTAACGAAATCTTGGCACAGTTCCAAAGGCTCACTTGGCGTCTGACAATATACGGTATTTTTAGCACTGGCGTGATAGTCAATTACCGAGTGTACTGCGCTGCAGTCGGCTCACGATTTCTTGGATGTTGTCCTAGGGATCGTGTGACTCAGTCACTTGAGACGATTGTAGACGTGGCTTAGAATCGAAACTAGTGGTGACCATGGTGTAGCTTTCTAGTTTCTTGATAAGCCAAACAAAAGTTGTGAATGCTTCTCCAAATGTGTCTTTGAGGCTCCTTTTTAATAACCTGTTCGTTTTTGTTTCCATTTCTTCTTTCGTATATTTTGTCTTAATATTGTTCTATCACTATGTTTGACGTATTTCTGGGTGCCCTTACTGATTCAGGTTTTTGTGCTAAACAAAATAACTATGTAGGTGTGAAATATGATCATCAAAGATGGAGGATATGTAAAAGCTTCAAATGTTAGACCACTGCTACCTTCATACGAGATGCCATGTATCTCGTCACCACGTCAGTAACGCAGAGGTCAGGCGCAGTTTCTGGTAGAAGAATTCAGTCACTGGGTGGGTTTGTGAACCTTCTTCGACTAAGATGAGTACTATATGTGTTACGTATGCCTATTAGCTGTCTACTTTGTCGCACAGTTTTAAGCGGAGTAGGTTAAGGCTGATAAAAAATCAAAGGTGACTAGAATATCACGTGACATCAGTCTATAAAGTCTATGACTGTATGTCTGTGCTATGAAAGGGAATGTAGACTTCCCGGTTGATGTCCGTGTGACAACCAGAATCGATGTTGAGAAACTCGAGGTGATATTTCTGAGAATCGACCGTAGTAATGGAGATTTACCCATGTATTATCTCTGTCCTAGTCGTCATACCAAGTTTCGTCGTTTTGTCCCTCTCCCTTCCCTTTTGACGAATTCCTACCACTTTTCGTCGATTTCTTCCTTATTTCTTTACCTTTCATTTTGGTACATCCAGTTTGATGTGCTGTTATTAGTTGTGGCAACTTGAATCGTTACGGACTACTGTGAGCTTCTGCATCAATGATGGCTTATTCAAGTGGTCAGTGCACTACCATTTCACTCCTTACCCTTGAATTAGGTTGGCGCAGAAAACTCCTGAAGTGCAGTATGCATGTGAAACATGCTCTGAGTTCTGCTCAAGGTGTTCAGAAAGCTCCATCTTGCCAGTGTCTTCGTCAAACAGGACTCTGTTGTCTTCACACTTCAGGTCAGCTGTATGCCTTCCAGAGAGCAAGTCGATCCTTCACAACTCGGAAGTACGTGGGCTAATATCCTTCAGTACATATGTAACGAATTTAATTAAGGACTATGATAGTGGACGTCCTTAGTGGATACGTCGTTGTTGTTACGTTGAAAGACCGTTTTCCGTAAGCCCCGACACGACTCTGAATTTGGTATTGATTAACATATATACTTACCTAGTATTGTTTTTCACAGTTAGACCACTACAACATCTCTACCGACAGAGTCAAATGCCACCTTCAGGTCAGGAGATATAGCAAGTATCGGTCACCAGAAAGTGCACTTGTGCACCCTCGACCAAACCTTATACTTGCCTGTTTCTTCTCCCAGGTTTGTTGTTCTCTAGATCCTACTAGGTACTGGATAACCAGGAGACGTGAGTCATCTGTTCAGGCACGCATTTCAACCAGTGAATCATAGGTTGGAACCCCACCTACTGAGGTATGGGCAACCAGGTAGTATAGTTAGCCCTCACAATAGGCGTGGCTCAATACCTACTGCACGAACTTGGCCGTTGTTACTGAATGCATTCAATTTCAATCGGATAACTATTGAACCTATCATCTCAGATTCAGTGTTAAACTGATCCATCTGCAGTTGTCACAGGAAGACTACTCTCCTATAAGCTGGAGTGATTAGTGATTTAAACCGGCCTAGAGAGACTACCTCTCATTCCCACATGCTAGTTAACACCTCAGTTGCTGTAATCGCAAATATCTCACCTTAAAAACCACCAAATCCTGCTACTTTGTGTCGTTTCAGATGTGAAACGGTCGTCTCAGCTTCAGTTTAGGACGGAAAATGTTTAACAGTATGGTCATCGATTGGCTCCAACCTAGTAAGAACTATTTCTTTACCTAGGAAACCTTTAGTCGACCTTTGATGCAGCCACTTCGTTGTCCTGTCAGAGAATGTAGAAAAATGTCTTTGTGCTTTAAAAGCAGTATACGATTATTTATGATGCTGTTTGAAGAATCGTGGTTTGCATGTGTTACAGTTTATTGTGGTCATGTAAAGTCTCAAGAGATGAAAGTTTTTACACTCAGTTGAATATCCTCGAAAAGACTTAAAATGGGTGAAAAGTGAGCATTATATCCCTGATCCGTTTCTGAAGTGTCATTGACAGTAACTGATTACTATGGACTTTCTAATTGGCTTCTATTGTTTGGTGGAAATTATTTGTGGGAAACTTCAGTGGTATATCAATCCACGTTTCTTGGAAAACCCTGTCATTCAAAACCTCATTCTTTTTTTGTCTCATGATATTGTCTTGTTGATTTCTTATTTTTAAGTTGTCTAAAATGGTGGCAAACTGAAGTAATTATTTTAGTGGAACAGCCTAGTTTTTATTATGCTATTTATTTAGAAGGTTTTGGTTGTTAATTTGAATTAGTGCTTGCATCACCTACTTATTTAACAGGACAAAGAGTCTGTTATTATCAGTCAATTGTGCCTTGTGGATCTCGCGGGTTCGGAACGTACAAGCCGTAGTGGAACACAAGGCAATCGTCTGAAGGAAGCATGTAAGTTTATTTTCGTGTTTAAAGTTATGTTTAGTGAATGCACCGTTTATTGCTGGTGGCTGAAATGTTTCTGGTTTGTGCTGATTTACGCCACCTAACTGCACTTTGTTGAGTTGTGTGTTACTCATATAACCATGACCCGTCAGATTGTGGATATCTGGTCGATACACACATGGATACTTCTGAAACCTGCCTAGTTTTCTCGGGTTCGATGTTTCCTTGCTGCACTCTGATGCCTAGTGATTATAGGAACTAGAATTTTATATGCTGTATCGGTCAGTCTGATCCCCCTATGGTTATCACAAGAGGACCTCTCCTCTTTCTTGAAGACAAACAATCGTTGATTAAGACTAGTTAGAGGGGTTCATATCTGACTGCCGTACACAGATGACAGTTCAGTTTGTTTTACCAATAATTCTTTCACACCGTCCTCAAATATCTCTGGTCATGCTGACCTTCCTTGTTTCAGGTTGGTTACATCTTGACTTCTGTAAGTGTTGAGGGTCTTACGTCGATGTTCTTTTCAGGATGAGACTGGATAGTGTGCAACGAAATGGTTACTGAAGACCAGTTGAATTGCTCCTCGAAGTGCTCCGCCCATCCTTCCGATCATCTCCCCTGCGAATGAATCATAGATCCATCCTTTCCTACCATTGTCTCACGAACCACTGACCTTTTCACCCCAGTTTACTTAATGAGTTTGAATAACTATCATTATCTGTCACCTTTGCCTTTTCCATCTCACTTGCATCCACTAATTCAAAAAAAAGCTGTTGAGGTCCACTGGCCTTTTTTAACCATTTCCTGTGAATCGGCTACATTCTTTAACGCTGTTATCACAAGAGACTAAGGGTGACTGCAAGCGTCTTTTGGATGACATATTATTCTGTTACGATTATTGCCCAGCCACTTTTTTGCTGAAAGAATCCTTGTTGTTCTCATTGTCAAGCCGTTCTCACTATGGTCTTGTTGCTATTGTTCTTCTACGTCCATTTTGTGTACAGACATGACTGACCGACAAAATCATTGTAGAATGTCACACTGGAGTGCAATCGACCCAAGTTGCCACACTCCACAGAATTCCCCAAGTACAGGTGGATAGAAAAAGGGTAATATCAAAGTAGATAAAGTAGTGTGTGAGAATAAATAATCTGAAGATAAAGGTTAGCACAAATATTTAAGCTTTAGATGTCAAGTGGTGAATACATCTGTGCTATTGTGACTGATTTTCAGCCATGTCACCAAGAGTCCTCAATCGCTGATTCCTTTCGTCTCGGGGATCCCAACCAGTCAGTCTACATCTACTCACATGGCTCAGGTCAACAGTCAGGAACCTAAGAAAGAAGTGCTAGTGCGTGATTGAAAAGCGTAAGGGACATCTGCTGGATGCTGGTCATACACAGCTTATTTAAAAGCTTGATAGTTTAGTTTGTGAAAATCTAGCTATGAACTCATTCTTACCGCTACCGGTATACCGTGGGGTGGTGTGGAGTGTTTTATTTTGCCGGCCAATCCTTTCTCCTTCCTTTCTCCCTGGGAAGGCAGTATCAGGGTGGTACTGCTGGTCATCCCAGGAAAACACCTAATTGGTATCACACCCTGTCCAGCCAGCAACAGTACAACTTCACCCTCAGACATTCATCATAATGTAGTAATTTACACTACGACGGCAACTGCTTTTCGTTTTACTAGTATCCAAGAGACGATTCTGGCATGGTGAGACATCGAGGGAATTAGAGTTCCAGCTAGTATAGCTCCTTGGGTCATTATGATATGCAAGCTAGACTACCACGTCAAGATAGCAGCAATCAGTTAGAATAGGTTCTGAGAGGTCAAGCAACTCGTAGGCTTGAAACATCAATGGTTGAGGTGTAGCTCTGTTGTTTAACCCATGGTTTTCTAAGCAAGGAGTCTCAGGTTTAAAACCGGTTCCATCCAGTTCGCTCTGCGCAAACGAATAGCATCATAAGTCGTCATACAAGTGTTGCTCACAGTTTACTATATAAGCGTGTATCTCATTTAGTCACATTATTAATATTTTATTTTGGCCAGCATGACTGAAAATGGAAACCAGTGACGATCATGTTTCAACTTTTATGTTTCTTCTATTTGCGAAAAGTAAAGCGAAATTAGTGAAAACTTCCTTGTTTGTATGCTTGCAACTGCTTCTCTAATAGCCCATTCCTGTTTTTCCTCCCTTATATATCACTTTTATGTTGATTTAGTATTGTTGTATTGCTTTGTGTGATGGATTTCTTGACGCCCTTGTTGTGTCAAGTTTGTATTTTAGATAATTAACGAAAATTATTCCTTAGGCATATTTTTGAAGTAGGTCTCCCGTGCTCCGTGACCCCACAGTTCACGGTTATGAGGACAAATACTCGCCACTGGCATTGGGTGTTCACTCTATGTCGTAGGTCGACGGAAATAGGAAAATGTAAACCATTGGATTCCAACCTAGTGGCTCATCGGTAACGTGCTGGCCGTGAAAACTTACGGTCCCTGACTTGACCCCTTACTGTTTCGTGAGTACGTACTATTGATGGATCGAAAATGGACAAGACAGCTGTCTGGTGCTTTCAGGTTTTCAATGGTTCTCCAACTAATCTAAGTTCATGATGAGTACTACCTTAAAATTAATCAGTCGCCGAAAATTAACAACTGAACATGTTTTATCTATTTTACTCACCATCATGGATGCAACTATTAGGATTACACTTTCTGTGTTACGATAGGGATTGCTACTATCGAATATTTCGTAAGTGATTCGGTGTGCAGATGACCTAATCATAACACATGAAGGTATGAACAAAATGCATTGGTCGAAACAAGTTGGGTAACATCGTTTGGGTGCGTAGAATGCGTCTCGTCCTAGTGCGAAATGCTATTTATAGACTGTTCTGAGTTAGAGCAGACTTTAAAATGATGCGATGGTTGAGCGCTGTAATCACATCACTTATCTGTGTGTCACATCACTTCAGATAGGTTAGTGGGTGATGAAATCTTAACGTGATTAATTTAGAAAAAGTTAGGCTCTAACAATCTACACAACTTCAAGTTATCTAGATGCATATTAAGGGATACAGCGATCTACACAGTGTACTCTATCGTAATGTACTCTTGAACATTACGGTAGTTTTATGATCTTGATTTTAATGAGCTGTTATTTGTTTCTTATGCTTGTAAATACAATTGTATTGCTTTAATAGATGGAATCATTTTGTTCTACTACTTGATACGGTGATTTTCCGTTCGGGGAAAAGACATGAAGGGGTGACATGCAAAATTTACAAGCATATAATGACTTGTTTCCATAGTACCTCTGGCATATGGTAGCTTCCTCAGATTCTCCACGTGCGTCGCAGGCATGGGGTTACTAGTTAAAAGAATTCTGTTGATTAGATTGTGAAATCTCATCGACTGAAGTGATTGCTATGTGTGTTACACATACACGTAGCCAGTGTCTGCTGCGACGCATTCTGTTAGTTGGAGTAGTTGTGAGTTGGGAAGTAGCTGCGGAAACTTAAAACAAAGTATGTCACCGATCCATGAAGTTTACGTCCGTTACTCTCAGTCATTTAAAATGCTATAGGCTTTTTGTGCAATGTCTTTGTGACAAAACCTTTGAGTCATATCGTTTAGCATTAGTTGCATTGATGTGCATACATAATGACATTATCATTTTAGGTTTTGAACAGTTTTTTTGTCTTGTTTTTCATCTAAATCGTCACCCATTTCTTCACAATCGGTGATGTTGTCTTCTCTGTGATTGATTTCTCCTCAGTGTATATTAAATGAATTGATTGGTAAGCAGAGCGATAGGTTATACTTCGTTGATATCTATTTATCCGTCTACATATGTTACTTATATTTACGTCTCCATAAGCTCTATGTATTTGATATCTGAGGAACGTTTGCAATTCACTATTTAATGATGGGAAATACTTCCAGCTAGTGATGAATACTCACTTTGAATTATAATATAACCTGAACTTTGTGTTGGCAAACATTTGATAAGTGGGATGACCAACACCATCAGTACAAATACAATTAAAATCATGTGGTGTGTGATCTGTAGTAGTTTATCTAGGTAAAAGCATTACTGCATAAGAAGTTTAGATGTACATGTATTTTGTCTATTCCAATCGAAGTTCTTTTCGGATATGATATTTCTGTATTATCTTTTCAGCCAACATTAACAATTCCCTCATGAATCTCCGAAAGTGTATCAAGGCCTTGCGTGATATTCAAACAAATGGCATCAGATCTCGTGGGAATGCAACTACTCCTGGTGGACAGACACGTGTTGTTCCCTATCGTGATGCTCGACTGACATACTTGTTTAAAAATTTTTTTGAGGGTGATGGTCGTGTCGCAATGCTTGTTTGTGTTCATCAAGCCCCAGAAGAGTATGAAGAGACCATGGTATGTGTATTAGTTTGTTCTTTATTTTCGACAATGTCATAAGCTACGTCGAAGAAACAAATAATCCTGGCTGTCTGTTCGGTTTTAGCATGTCCTAAAGTTTGCTGAAACAAGCCAAGAAGTTACAACTTACCGTACCATCGTTCAACCAATTTCTGTTCGTCCGCTCTATGATCATCACCATCCACGAATACAACCTCCTTCCCGTACTTCTGATAACTGTTCAAGTACTCCAGAAAACTCTGTCGCAACTGTAGTGAGTTTGGAAACTTTTTATTTTGACTATTTATGTATGAATTAATAATCTTTATTTCATCTTTCTATGTTGTGATCTATGGCAACCTAAACTGATTTACTTTTGATTGAGGTTCTACATTGATTTATTTATCTACAACAGACGATACAGTATTTTGATGCCGTGGTTAGTGTAGGCCGAGTTATCATCGTTATCAATTATGAACACAAAGTATTTCACAAATATCAGTAACTTGTTATGCCCACCGATGAGCGGAAAAAAAGTGTCTTAGTTGACTATGACTAGTCATATTGTTTGATTTAATCATTCCAGATTGTGCAATTACAAACACAGACCTTTTTATCTTATTATTTTCATTTTTAGAATATTGATGACCAATCTACTCAGATTTTCAATGATCTAGAATATTTGGATAGTGAGATCACTTCTTGTATAGAAAAAATGTCTGATGGAGATGGCTTTATGGAGTTGGGTTTGGATTTCGATATAACTGATTTCGATGACGCCGATATCCGTGCTTGTCTTGATTTAGAGCCACTGGGTTGTGATTTATCTTTTTCGGACAGCGAACAAACCTCAACGCCTTTGCCGAACAAGTTACCAGGACACTTGCTTGACTTAAAAATGTTTGGGACCAGTCATTTACGAACCTTATTAAATCAACGAATAAAGCGTAGGAAGCAGGCTCACGATTCTCTGCAAGCGTTATTCCCTAGCCTTCAGTCTTTATTCAATGAGTTACTGAATAGTGAGAATCGGGCTAGTGCAGAAGTTATTACGTCAAACAATACAAAACCCGAAAAGGCAAGTGGTTATTTATTATTATTTTTTTGATATAACGGCACACTAAACAGAGTTAATACTGCTTATTGTGCAAAGGGGTATAATCCTTAATGTTTCAAAGTTCATTAATCTACGATAGATACTTTAAAGTTTAAGTAATTCATTTCAAATAATATTTAAAAGCATAGGAAAACAGCACATTGGTTCAGATTGTTGCATTTCAAAGGAGCGTAGCAATGAAAGATGGAATTTTGAAATGGTCGAGATAACACAGGGCAATGTGCAATTTACTTCGTCTGTCCCACTGACTGCAGTTTTGTGCTGTACCTACTACTTCCCTCAGGTTGCACATATATCTAAGTGCAGTTAACAAACCTACATTGGCGCATGTAACTCACTTGAAATATTCATAGCTTTCCAGATTAGTATCATTTCTCTTGATGTGATAAGTTTTGACATTACCTATGCAATCAAAATATCAGCGTATTGATGAACATTACATGTTTCAGTGATCTGTTTCAATGTCTCATTTGCAGTCAGATTCTGTGAAGGTTATATAAATGTCTTCTAATATGACAGTAGGAAATTCCACTTATGGTTTATGTTTTGAGTAGAAACATTTGTTCTGTGAGTAGCAGTTGGTTTTCCAAAGAGAGAACAAATCAGCGCCGGTACAATTCGTTTTTGGACGCATTATGAAGAATTCAAAACCTTCGGTTTCTGTTCTGTGAACATTATCTCCTCATTTTATTGGAAGTTATCTGTAATTAGGTCTTTGTAGTCTTTTCATGTCATCGTTACCATTCTTTGTTTTGTTTATTTGAAATCACCTAGTTTTTCCACCTATTATAAAATGTCACAACAATCGCCCATCTGATAAACTGATGATCACCAATGCTTATCGTCGGATTCTGAAATACCAACAGACTGTTGATAGTCAAAAGCTTCAGAAAATACCCACTACAAAACACTTTACAACGTTGGCAACTGCGATTAAAAGATCAAGCAGACGATACAAGGAGCAAAGAAGAAACATCTTTTGAGAGAAGCTAGTCAGAATCTCAAAAGTGCGATTATCAGAAGGAAAAGAAGCAAATTACTGTGTAGTCAACTTGTCCAATCAACCTCTGACCAAATCGGATGAACTTCTTCTTCAGAAAGAACTCAATTACAATACAGGAGATGCTTCAGGGTCAGAGTTCTTCACATTCCTAGAATAGTCTCTAAAGACTTCAGGAGTAAACTCAGAGACAACGGGAAATATGACAAGCAGTCGTGACTCTGACCAGACAAGCAAGACTAATGAAAAGTGGAAAGCTCTTAAGAAACTGAAGAATAAAAAACACATGGTTATAGTTCTAGCTAACAAAGGGCTCACTACGGTAGTCATGGATAAATACGAATGCAAAAAGGCAGAAGACTTACTCACGAACCGAAATGTATATCAACCAATGGAGACAAGTCCCACTCAAGGGTTTGACAACCAAATCACCAAGACCTCGAACAAACTCATCAGAGCGGGGCAAATTACAAAACAAAAGCAATGGCGAGTGAAATCCAATGGACCTTTTCCACGTTTCTATGTTACACCAAAAATACGCAAATCAAACATCCCTCTACGACCAGTTGATTCACTTTTAGGGGCTCCGGCATGCAATTTGTCAAAAGAATTTTTCACAAAACCGAAACATCTGGTAGAATCATATGACCGCTCTATCAACCATTCGACAGAACTTTTGCAAACCATCAGGCTTATTCATATTGACAATGACGAACTGATTGTGTCTTTTGACGTTGGAACTTTATGCACCCCAACTGAGCTGAAACTAGCTGAGGATACAATGACTTTTCTCCTCACCAGTGACACCCACCTCTCGAAACATACACACAACTACTATGTTCAGGCTTGATAGAACTAATTGATTTATGCCTCATAACTTATTTCCAATTCAACGACAAACTCTACAAAAAGACTAAACGAACACCTATGGGATCGCCTGTGGCAGGGCTAACTGCAGCAACAGTAACGTGAAAATTGGAAACTATGATATTGTTGTTAATCAAACCAAAACTTTGAGTCCGATATGTAGATTACACGTTTATCATCACTAAAAGAAACAAATCAAAGAGCCCTTACAAATTAAACATTTTCGACCATATTGAATTGACAATTAAAGAGGAATCAAATAGAAAACTTGTATTTTTTGATGCTCTGATCACTAGAACGGATTCGTGGAAATCGGAAACTAAAGTATCCAGAAAAACAACTCACACTGATCAAGTCCTCGGTTACAATAGCACCACCCAACACCCAGCTCAGAGAACACAATACAACCAAGACCATCCACTTGAGCTACAAATATTCTCCGCCACTTCAGAGGAAAACTATTTAATGACCGTTACCCGGAAGAAAGCAGCTTCATCTAAAGATGTTTGTCTAATTCGCCGCCAACTAAAATGTCATCCTTAGAAACCAGCAAGCGGATTGTCTTACCTTACACGAAGAACGTCTCTGAGATCTTAACCAGATTACTGGAACCTGGAATCGGTGTAGCTCACAAGCCTACAAAATGTCTGCACTCTGTTATGCAGATCAAAAGATTGAATGGCAAAGGGAGACAAACCAAATGTTGTCTACAAAATAAACAGCAAAAACTGCGAAAAACTATCAGACAGAATGGCCGCTCTCTTCGTATTCGTCTACATGAACACTAACTACCAGTAAAGTGTCATGACATATCTTCGCTCATATCAATGCATATGGACAACTTTGGACATGAATTCAACTGGGAAAATGTTGAAATCCTGTATGGAGGAAGTACAAAGAGTGCCAGGGAATTTTTACAAGCTTGATATTCAGGTCAGTCAGCAATCAACAGACATATCGACTGTGACCTAATCTACCAACCAATAAGAAACAAGAAAGTCAAATTTCAGGTCATCGGGAGGACCAGTCAAAATAAATATGGAGACAGTGACAAGACCTTGGTGGAAACGACAAATCACACCCAAAGTCATCGGGATATGCTACTAAACCACTTGTAGAGAAAACCGCATAGCTAATTTGTTTCTGAAGTTTTGTGCTGATGATGGCAGTAAAGGCTTTACAACTAAACCATCCAGCTCAGTGAACACAACACTATAAAAATAAAAAAAGAATCGCTCAGCTCTTTTTTCTCAAATATTCCTGTGATTTTGAAAAGGAATGCGCGTAATTTGTAGTATCCTCTTTTATTTAACCCCACTGATTACTGAATTAAAGATATCTTTTTGTCGATTTTTACTTAGAATCTAGTTAGTGTTTTGTCCAAGCAATGGGAATCTCGCCTAGCTCAACAGCAAGCTGAAGCAAGGACATTACCACGTCCTAAGAATACAAAAGTTGGTGAGAGATTTGGAGTGGCTCTGAGTAAAACAGTTGACCGTCGTGCTGCTCCTGCATTTAATCCTCGACATCGTCGGTCTCAATCAGTTTGTGGTGACGGTGGACGTTGGTTAGAACATCAAGAACTCAACGCGACTCCTTTAGGGACAGTGTTTACACCAGTTTTAAAACATCGGAAATCTGTAACTCGTGTTGAATTAAAAGATACCTTAAACGCCGATAATTATCTTTTGCATCACCAAGAAGCTGATCCAAATGGTAACATTGAAACCCAACTGTTTAAGGTAAGATAACTAGTCAGTAGCAACAGTACTATTTATATTACATCTTAGTGGTATAATTGTAAAGTTTCTGTAACAGAGTGCATACAGTATGTCTACAAGTTAATCATTTCAGTTGGATTTATCAATAACAGGTAAGACAGTTAAGGTTTTTAACAAACTAGTCATTATTATCTTCATTCCTTCCTGGATCCGAATCTCGGTAGACAAGTATTACAGAAAACTAATTATTTTATGAAAATTGTAGTGGGAATAACAGTATTCAATTAAATCTTTGTCAGCATTTTAGGTTTACAACGGTTTTGCGTTCACAGTATTCAACCTCACAGGTATGCACAGATGGTCATCCTAAACTGCACGGTTGACTGGTTTCACACTGTTGAACCACTTTATCAGCAAACTTTCCGTTAAAAATCTAACAACTAAATCACAGTATGTGACCGCAGACCCAAATGTATTATGACTTGGCAAATTATACTGTTGATTAAAGCGAGGGTTTGGAATTTATATTGATGTGTGACTCTTAGATATTCGAAATAACTTAACCTTGTGAACTTAATCTCGTGCACCGTCGTTGAGATCTTCAAACGAGTAAAATATATGTCCATTATTTAGGTAGAAAAATTGAGTCATGGGTTCGAACGCCTCCCCACTTACCTGACTAACTGACTAACAAAATCAATGTAGAACGTCGCACTGGAGTGCAATCGGCCCAAGTTGCCACACTCCACAGAATTCCCCAAGTACAGGTGGATAGAAAAAGGGTAATATCAAAGTAGATAAAGTAGTGTGTGAGAATAAATAATCTGAAGATAAAGGTTAGCACAAATATTTAAGCTTTAGATGTCAAGTGGTGAATACATCTGTGCTATTGTGACTGATTTTCAGCCATGTCACCAAGAGTCCTCAATCGCTGATTCCTTTCGTCTCGGGGATCCCAACCAGTCAGTCTACATCTAGTCACATGGCTCAGGCCAGCTGTCAGGGGCTCCATCGACTGGTGCCATTAGTTCGTCTGTCCACCCCTAACCCTCTCCCAACCTCATCCAACTTCCCCTAACATGGCATGTCGAGGAAGGTGGTGACTCGGCATGTTAAGTACACGTCCAAACCATCTTAACCGATAAAGGTTCACAAGCTGATCAGTCAATTTGCCTGTCTTGCATAGCACCATTCACCTGACCTCATGATTGCTCACACAGTGATTCCACCAAACGTGGGTAGTGCTACGAAGACACCTGTGATCAAAACCCAGTAATCGCTGCACATCTCTTACTTTTCACAGCCATGTCTCAACCGTACAAAAGGACAGAACGAACTGCAGCGCAGTTTACTCGTCCTTGATAGATAGTCAAATATCTCGCTACTCTATGTTACAGGTGACGCAAGGTAGCAAATGTCAAACAGACCTTCTGCATCCGAGTTGCGATTTTGTGAGCAATCAACTCGGTCGGGCTGATGCAGCTTCTCAAGTGAGCGAAGTGGCCAATGCATTCGATTACTTCGTTCCTCATCCGTAAACTTGGAGCAGCTGCAGACCAGTCCTGGAGCATCATCTTACATTTGACAGATGAGAGACGCATGCCGAACATATTCAGATTTCTTCTCAAAGTGTTCACAAGACCCTGCATTTTGTTGCCGTCTTCACTTAACTGGACAAAATCGTTTGCATACTCCAAACCAACCAGATGACCTCCAGGGAGTAGGTCAATGCTTGTCAAGTCAGACGTTCCTAAGATTATATCCATTAGTACGTCTATAACGAAGTTAAGTGGAAACGGTGACAGTGAACATCCCTGAAGAACAGCACTTGTTGTCGATTTACATAACAACTCTCCATACGCCTTTGCATGACTGTGTGAGTTTGAGTAGAGAGCTTTGATTAGCGTTATATACTTTCTCAGTACTCCACAGTCAAACACCACAACACCCACTCGACTGAGTCGAATGCCACCTTCAGGTTAAGTATCACTAGTGTCGTCCAGCGATAGGTATGTCTGTGTTCCAGAAACTGTTGGGAGGGGGAGGGGGTGAAAATATGATTGATGCACCTTCGTCCAGTTTTGAAACCTGCTTGGTGTTATTGAGTTCCAGTTAGGCGTCGGATAACTATAAACTCTAGGATCTTGGACACTATTAGTCAAAAAAATTTCCTCTATGGTTGTCACAAGAAGATTCCTCTCCCTTCTTAGAGGATATGATGATCAGTGAAATAGACCAGTCTGACAGGACTGCCTCTGATTCCTATACACTATCTAGTACCTCCGTCACTTTAATTAGCAATTGCCTACATTTATCTTTGAAAATTTCGGATAGCAAACTGTCAGGTCCTGCTGATTTGCATCGTTTCAGGTTCGATACACCCTTCTTTAACTTCAAAGAAAGTTGAAGGACCGACATCTACGTCCCATTCAGGCTGGATGTTCGACAACTGAAGAGTCGTTGATTGAACTGTGCTTCAAAGTCTTCTGTTCGTTTGTTCGAATCTGTGATAATTCTACAGGGCTATTTGTTTGTGGTTTCAGTCTACTTCCACATTTCTTTCAAGATTATTCACTTAATCACACCAGCAACAGTTGACTTTCGTACAATATTCATAACTTATTTCTTTGTAAGCGGTCTGCTTCATTTTGAATGTTTGCTACTTTCTGTTTCCATGACTTAATACTTCCTTTTAACATGATAAAAGTATATGAACGTATGCATTTCGATATTCTTTAAGTACTAAGTAGCTGCAGAAAATCCACGGGATGTTATTCATCGCGTACTGAAATCACTCAGTGAATGCCACGCTGAAATCAAATAACTCCTCCCAAACCTTCAAAGTGAAATAAATATCAGTTCATATTGTTTTACTTCCATAGTCTTCAAATTCATATAAAATTTGAAAGGTTATATAGGGGTTTTCATGATCTTCGATTGTCGTTTTCCAGGTTTCTGGTTGTTTTTCATACTACTATCTCACCGGTACTCTTTAAATGTCGGACACTGTAAATACCCACCAGAACTTTTAATTCCAAATTTCTGAAAAAGAATGAGAATTGCATTTATAATTTTGCATCAATATGACATCCAAAACTCGTATGGATGAGCTACTCATACCGTGTACTGAATCTGTACAATTCACTCGAAAATGTGTAGAAATACATATCTCTGAGAGTTAATCAGAATGTGATTTACTTGTATAAGAAAAACTGATAAGATTGGTATAACTCATTCAGCAGTCTCTTGGATCTGTATACTTGTTTAGAAGCTAATTAGACATACATAGATGACTTTAATTCATTTGTATGTTATATTTATGTGAAGGATTACATAGTATCATATCAATACACAATTCGTTTCTCCTTCATTGAGAAAGCCAGAAGGCAAAAAATCAAGTTTAATGTACACCTACACTAATAAATCGACCATCTATGGTGAACTCAGGCAAATTGGCAGATTATACATATTTATGCGCAGTCAGTTCACTTCATTTCCTCGTAATGCACAGATGATGATGCTTGACGTGTCATGTAAACATTCGCCAACTGAAATTCCAATCTAAGACAGCTCATTTTGAACACTGACGTTTAGTGATAATTGGTCTAGATAGTTCAGTTTGTTCACACTGGTTAGTGTTAATAAGCACTTCAGCTTTTTTTTAAGGTGATTTATGGAAATTTTTTTCATTCATTCATTTATATCATTCTTGTTCAACTGTCTCATCATTTAGCAAATATGGTCCATTAAAAATTCAGACCGATCAATTAATACAGTTCTTTCATTTTTATGTAGATTGATCAATATTTCTCCTTCACTTCGAAATCTTTTGAGTTATTTAGCAGTCATTTTTTTAAGACACTTCGTTCGTGATCTTTGTCGTACGAATTAATATTCAGTCTGTGTGTTTGTTAAGCCACATGTCCGAAGATCACTCATCCGTTTTATAGCCATAATAAACCGCCTCCTACCTTTTACGTGTTGCGTTTTGCTGAGGTAGAATATTGTCGGAAACTAATCTTGGCTTGCCATATTAAAACATTGAACTGATTTATGCCATCGTTGAATATCGGTCCGAACTGTGAGGTGGAAGTGTGTGCAACATGGAATAGCAGAAATGAGTGGTGTAAAACATGATACACTCCAGAATTTACCACAGTAGCGAAATGGAATCATTCTTAATCTACTTTTAAGTCCTGAACAGACTGTCATTCAATACGTTTTATGTTCGCTATGGACTTTTTTGTGGAGATGGGGCTCACTGGTTTTAAGCACTTAACTTTAAATCAATAGGTTGAGGGTGTATAATCCACTCTACAAACCCTGGTCTGGGGATCTGTGTAGCTTAATAAATCTTTATGCATTGCGTGAACCTTATTTATTTGTTCTTTTTATGCAACTTGAGTACGGTCATTTCAGTAATTTCTTATCTTAAACTAGGTCTACGTTTTCCAAGAATGTCTTGTTTTATTTTGCTACTTTTCTAAACCATCATGGTTTCTTCCATCCATCTAGTTATATGAAGGCAGTTCGTTTTCAGTATATGGAGTCACTTATGTACTGGACAATTTCCAACTAACATTCAACTGTTTAACTCATAAAAAATTCTTTTCTTATTTTATGGAACTAGTATTTAAAGTGTTTCAGCGTATGATCTTAACATCTACCCTTTTTCCATAGGGTTCCATTATTCCGACCGCTGGTGGTGGTTCTGCTGTTGTTTTCAATGATGTTGAAGTCTTGCGGCAGTCTTCTCCTGGTCGCGAACAAAGGTAAGTTCGTATAATTTAAAAACGTAATGATGTTAACTAAGCTACCACTTGCGGTCTTGTGCATTAAACAGTGAGTTACACTTATTGTGCAAGGGCTAACAATACTACTTCCCTCCTTTCCAAGGTTCGGTAAATAGAACGCAGCGAGAACCCGTAATCCACAAACATTGTTAGATTTCTAGATTAGTGAGCCACAATTCTCCTGTGTTACCCTTTAATGAAGTTCTGATAGTGCAGCATCATAGTAGTTTCGGTCGAAGATGCAGATGCTTTAACAGTAATTACTAACAAACCTTGTGCTGAAAAGGAACGTAAAACCTGGCACAGAAGTACACCATGCTTTAAAGCAGTTTGCAAAGAAGAAGTAGTAAAAACAGAATGACGTTGAAGTGAGCAAACGTTTATGAAGGCAAAGAAAATAAGTAAATAAAGCTTAGTAAGTGTTCAAGTTTTGGAAGATGATGAGGAGTATGTAAATTACTCCATTGGGGTCGATTTGCCTCCATATCACCTGGTTTCTACAAACATTGATCCTTTTCACATCAAATACTCCAACCATAAATCCGATACCTCCTTACGTGACTTACACCAACAGTGAGTCTGGTGCTACGTCTTGGTCTGGTAACCCTAAGCCTACTTTCAGCCCAATCCTACTTTAGTTAACATTGGATGTGGATGTAAGTGATGACTCAGTGATTCCGCCGCATATAAGAAGAGCTACAGAGACATTTATTGTTAGAAACCTGTAATCTCCTTCTCTTCTACTCACTTCACAACTGTACACAAAAGAATAGAACGAATGTCTACGTGGGATACTTGTGCTCTGAGAGGTATTTGGATATCTCATCGACACGAGATTATACAAGTTGACTAATCTCAAACTGGCGTTTTATATTCAAGCTTGGATTTTGCCACCAGCCAATGCATTAAAATTGATGCAACTCCTTAAGTAAGCACTTCATTATGTATCCTTAGACTAGGAGTCTCTGCAGGCTAATCTTGTAGTATCATCTTACGTTTGATACTAAATCGACTTCATACAGAGATGTTTTCAACCAGTTACATTCTGAACACACTAATGAAACCAAGAACCCTGACTGATCCGTTTCATTATCCGAATTTCAACTAGCAATCTGTCTCTTAAACTATCGAGGGTTCAAAAACCAAATGGCATCAATCGCTGTGGGATAATTATGACTGTTTATATCTTAAACTGTTTGTTGTTGCAGAATTAATATTATTATTGTTATTATTACTATCGTAGAGATAGTACTGTCATAGATGATGATAATCCGAGGTATTTCATTTCCCTTGCATACTATGTGGTAGCATTGCTTGCTTGCAGCGGAATCCTTGTAAGTTATGTCCAGGTAAGGTGCATAGTGCTAGACGAGGAGGGTAAATTAGTGGGTGAAGTTCTAAACATTAACCAAATGTGTATGTATCGAAGCACCCTTGACATCGACTTGTAATGATAGCCGAAGTTGGATTGAATTGTAAGAAGGATAACCAATCAAGACGTGACGCCAGCCCGTTAAGTCTTTAACTGATGGTCTGAGCCATCTAGGTAGGGGTAGATCACCTCCGAAGACTATGGGAATTAATAGGTGGAAATTGACCTGGCTAAAGACTGGTCACGGCGACACAAATGTAAAGTCTTTGTTATTTTCAGTCTTGTATACACTCATCTGTTCATTCTCTCTTCTCACACACTTTTATTTACTCTATTATTCTTTTTCTATCAACCTTCTCCTTGCATTCTGCCGTGTAGCACGGCAACTTGAAATGATGTACTTCTGTGTCAGTCTACACGCTTTGAATTATATATGTCTCTGGTAATTTAAGCAGGCTATGTTGATTAACCATTTTTTCGAATCCATTCATCTCAGAGAGCTTCACTATTCAAGTTTAGTTTGCTTCTTGTTTTATTTCATCACACTTAGAGGCAAATATGACCCAGAATTGGAGTTAATTTATTTATACGAATGCTGGATAAGATTTGACCGGATAAGTTTCACAAATACTGGGTACCAAGTGGAAAGTTGACATTAGATATGAGTTAATTAGTATTCCAGTAGCACTGAAGAGAAACAATTAATGAAAAGGAAGTTTTTTTCCTTTTCTTTACTAAGCATAAAGTGTATTTGCGATATCCTTCTCTTTCTTTTATTCATCTTGTGTAAAATCTGTTAAACCATTTATCTGTAGAAACGGTACCAGTGTTAAAACTGATAATAACGATCATAGGCAAAGAACAAGTACAATTCATCATCGATCTGGCATGAAACGAAGTTATTCTCACTCGCCACCTAATAAAAAGCTTTCATGTGAATCAGTTTCAACCCAAGGTTCGTATAATTCGCAAACTACAGGATCATCCGCTTACTGCCCGATTAGTCCACCTGTTAAAACGACTGCAGAAGCCATTGATGATGCTACCATTGAAGCTAGATGTCGTATAGGCATGAATAACAGAGGAGGAATGGGCTGTCAGGCATCCCCTGTAAAATGTAGTTCGCGAAAGTACGTTGGTATATTCGTTTTTTTATTGTTACGTATAAAAGATCTCTGGTTAAATTAACTCTTTTGCATTTAAATATCTTGCCCTAGTATATTGATGAGTAGTTTCTGTTATTCATCAAGGAATTATTACCTTTAACTTAAATCAGTTTAGTTTGTTTTCGACTATCACTCAGTGTTTATCCCCAACCTTAATTACTTCTTGTTAGTCATACATGCATTGGTACGTCTGTTGTTTATCTTACTGTGCTGGATACAAATACTTGACTATTTCATCACCTTGTAGAGTATGATTTAGACTCCATTCACTCGGTCAATCAATATCAAACAGAACTGTGTAACAGTCCGGTTTGCCACACAAACCAGCACATCAATCTGGAAGGCACCAAAATGAAAGAATAAGAAATAAGGGAGAAATCGATGAAAAGTGATAGGAAATCATCAAAAGGGAAGGATGAGGGATATGACATCGAAATTCGATATAACGATTGGGATAAAGAATTATGCATGGGGGTACATCTGCACCACTGTATTTATAACTATGGCTCTCATAAAGTAGCCGAAGTCCCCGTCATTTAATTAGTGACGCACATGAATTATATCCATGAAAATTGTGTGCAGCGTGTGTATTATAAACATATTTGTGATGAATGTTTAGTAATTCTGCTCGAAATATTGCAGGAATTAGATAGCATCATTGTGTGTAAACGCGCTTGAACGCCTGTAGACGGCGCGCATCTGGTCGTCCTAAGTGATTCTGATGACTGGCATTTTGAACTTAGTTGCGGGATGGTGAACCTCTCGTGGTTTTCACCAATAAGCGGATATCAACCAGCGAATCGGCTCACCATCTTCCCGTAATGGGGGAGCCACTCAGTAGCCTATATATACTCTACGATACCTTATGGGCTTGCTCAGGAGAGTGTGCATATGCATGCAAGGTATGGTGGTTTGTGACCTTTCCCCAGTACGACCAAGTTGTCTATCGTGCTTGCCTATATATCTGGTATGGGTCGTAGGTCAATGATGCGGTCTGCCCTGGTGACTGCACCAGCGATCGTTATGGAATACTCATGGTGATGAGACTTTTGTCATTCCTCCTGACTGTGGAAAATGTCTTTTGAAACATTCGCCGATTGACTGCTGAATCTGGTCAATTATCTGCTAACACCACACAGGCAGTAAGAGCTGGAATGCCTGGGTGACCCTTCACTAATCGAGGTGAAATGCGGGATGGTATTAGTCGAACGGTGAGTGTGAGATGCGGCAGGATAATCCAAGTCAGGAACTCGATGCTGTTGCAACTGAGCCTTCTCTGTTGGTGCGGGTGCTTGGCCTGATTGTGTACTCCGTTCCCATGCATATATACACCTATTAGGAAGTGGGTCCATAAATAGGTGACGTTGAGCTGACTTAGAATAGGTAAGGCCCGTAAAATCGTAATGGCCAAATGTCTCGCCGTAGTTACGTGTCAAGGCGTCAACGGGAAGAAGCGCGGCTAAGTGGTTTTGATGTTTGTGCTGCTAGCGTATGAGGCTAAAAGCTATCCGCAGGTGTTATCGTGCTTGTCATCGGATACAGCGTGCTGTCTACCAATTCATGTGTTTTCTGTATGCTGTATGCATATTTTACCTATTTGTATGGTTTCTGAAACGCCCGCTGTCGCTGAATCATGTCACATGCCGTTTATTCATGTGTAAAGTATTGGTTGCATTTCTACCTCCTAGTTGCGATGTAAATACATTTCCTTATGAAGAATGATGCTGACAAATCAAAAGAAGTCAACCGAGCCTTCAGACTGCAGCATAAAGGATTTACGATTGCAGTTTTTACTTCAAAATATGTGCTTCCAAAACACAGAGAATGCGTATTTTCACGCAAACACATAATAACACCTGTGGATAACTTTTAACCTCGGTCGCTGCTAGCCTGGAAAACCAGAGATGGTGCATGCACCAGCGATTACGGGTTCAGTCTAATTATGTAACGACGGTGATCTTCTAAGTGGTTTCGCTGGATGTCAATTAATCCACCATGAAAGTTGACTTAGCGGTAAGTGCGGTTGACTAGATACATATACAAAGATAGTGGCGCAGGTCTCTAAAGCACGGAGGGTCTTGCTAGCTATCGGGATCGCGCTTGGGGCTCTGAGAGCAGTGCAACCGAAAGATAAGGGAAATTAGCTTTATTATTCCGTTAGTCATTGCTGGTGAGGCAGTTGCTAGGGTTGGATGTAGTTTATTTTGCAAAGGTAAGCGATATTCGGTTTGGAATGCCGATATCGTTTAGCCCTAGCCTTGGCGATATAATCAGTAGCCGGGGGATCCTGAAGTTGGGTCAATATGTTGAAGGGGGGGGGGAAGTGCTGCATCTGACCCGCAAAACTGTGAAGACCCAATGAAAGGCACCTCATGCAAGTCTACGATCCAACTACCAGGCTAATGTGGATACCTTGAAGCCTGACAGTTAAGAGGGTTATGGGATTATACTGATCAATTTCGAGGAGGCGGGGAGATCGACCCGACCTAGAGTGTGGAGCTAAGCCAGAAATTGAAATAAAACTTTCTCATACATTTCACCGCGAGTTTCTAACCATCGCTTCCAGTTATGAGACGGAAATCAGCTGAGAAGTTTACATTCCCCTTCACGGCTCACAGTAATATCCTCTAACTTCAATAACCATTTTTCACAGCCATATAGTTAAACAGATTAACTGCTGCACATTACACTCGGTCCTCAATAAACAATTTGATATCACGGCGTAAGTTGACCAGTTTTCAGTGAGCTTTTATATCGGTGCAGAGATTTCGTTGATCACTGACTAACTTTCCAAATAAGTGAAGCGGTCAACACACTCAACCACTTCACTCCCTATTGCTAGGCGGAGCACCAACGCGGACTAGTATTGGAGCAATGATTTTCATTTGATTCCCAAGAAACTCATCGCAAAAAATCTCAAATTGCCACTCCAGATGTCCAAAGGACTGCATTCTGTCAGCATGTTCACCTAACAGAACTATATCATTTGCGTACTGGGGGTCTACTAAGCACTTGATGTACTGTGGTAAATTGGACCGTTCCACAAAATACTGCGGTGTGGCCATTTATTCTTATGGAATTGTCCGCCTTGCTGGATTGACTTAATGCTTGAAAAGACTGTGCATTATAACAGTATAAGCTTGGTTACAATCCTGTTTTTGGATTGAATACAAAAATGACTTTCAGCTGTGTACATCTCTAGTTGTTACTATCTGTTCATTCAGACTTTTCAGACAGGTCACTGTTCCTCCTGTTGGTAATTTATACTGGCTACGAATACCAGTAATCTCCTTTAATTTGGCATTCAGTGGTCTATATGCAGTAGGTCATTGCCTTAGGTGTCTGATTCTGTTCACGATTACTGTTTAGTGTGCACTTGTTTCTACTATGTTTCATTCGTTTGATCAAAAGTTGTGTTAAAAAAAATTGATGGATTGCCTTTTTTTAAAAATTTTTGTTCTAGGAGGTCCAGAATGTAAATCATTGATGAATGCGAAACAGTTTTCATTTCTTTTTTTTACTACTGTGCATTTATTTATGATTAAAGATGCCGATTTATTTTTTATCTTTACATCATTATATATATTTGTGTATACTTGCTTTTTTGTAGTTGTTACTTGCGCTATCTGTTTTTCATTTTTTTTTAATCGTTGTACATTTTCGACGTATTGTTATGCACTTTCAAACCACTCATAATTATTATTTTCTTCAAAACAAATAATAAATTTGTTTTATACTTCATTTATTGACTTTTGAATGTGTCGATCGACGTTTCATCAACGTGCCAGTGGCTCAGTCACTGAAGCATTTGTAGTGTACTACGTTGTAAGTTTCTTTTAATCATATTAGTTTATTTACTTCTCCACTTCAGTTGCCAGTCAGTCTGTGTATGGATATACAGTTGGTAGGAATGAAAGGACGAAACATGGGTAAAGGGTATCATCTTATTTTGGCTAGTTGGCCAACATTTGTTTGAAAGTATTGTAATAGGCTCAGTTACTTGCTTAACTGATTCTCTAGACACTTACCTCTCCAATAGATAACACATATATTCACTGGTATCATTTGTTCTCAGTTTTAAACGACTGTATCATTGTAAAAACAGCACAGGGTGTGTATGTGTCTTTACTACATAAGTAGCGTATAGTATAATGTTGTTGGGGAGAACTATCAGACTTAAAATCTTATCAGGTTCTGAAGGAAGAAGCAGCAGAAAGATTTACAGAGGACAAAAATTGGAGAACATTTTATCTCGAATTCAGATATTATTGGTATGAATTGTGTTCAGTTTCAGGTTGCTAATCCTTAGTGACATTTCTCGACAAACATCATTGGTTTTCATTGGTCCAGTTTTCTACACGAGGGTAATATCTATTGGGGTAGTCGCTACACAAAACATATTCCAATTGCTGTTACTACTCAGTCTGTTCATGTCATTACTACTTATTTGCAGTTGCTGTTTACGTTAGCGCTATATTTCACTGATGTAAAGAGTGAACTACTGACGACTGACTATCAGCTTTCCATCTGTTAAGATATAGCAATTAGGTACTTCATTGTCATTTATCATTGCAGAATACGAGTCTGAGTTGCAGATTAGTCATCCTCAACACAGAACCACGCATTGCTGCATAGCGGTCCATATTACTATACATCATATCAAGCGAGAAAGCACTAAGATAAAATATGGAAGGATAAGTCAAAAGAGGAAGGAGGAATAGGAAACTACAGAATTCAATATGACGATTCGGATAATATATGGAGGCAGAATTGAGGAGGATAGGTTATGCTTGATTGTATCTTGTGTACTACTGGAAGCGTGTGGGTGGTATTTTTTCTTGAGGAACCTGAAAGAATGTGATCTGTTCATCCAAGGGAAACAGTTAACTGCTGTCACCTCAATCCAGCTAGCAGCAGTACGACTTCGCCCCCAGACCCCCATCATAGTGCAGTAATTTACACAACGGTAACTGCTTTTCATCTTACCGCTAATCAAAAAACTTTTCTGGCATGGTAGGACTTCGAGGACCCAGTTTAGCTCGTTGAGTCATTGCGATATGCAAGCCCGAAAACTTAGCCAATGTAACAGCTATCGAACGGGAAATATAACATGATGATAGCTGCATACCACACATATATATCTATTGTATTGGATGGAGTTATTATCTAGTGTATCAAGATTTAGATGACATGTTTTATTGAGATAGATGAAGTTTCAGTTTATACTACGACGACACTGACACAGTAATAAAAGGCATCCTCACTAAGTTTATTTGGTTTAGTGTACAATAATTCAGTTCCTAGTACAATGTATTTCTCAGAATCATATCAAGATAATCACACAACCTCCTGTTAGGAACTACATAAACTACGTGAAGAAGTGTGAATACTTTGATATAGTAAGAAAAGTACCTTGTACTCAAAACATCCAGTAAGTAATAATGCCTGACTGTATGACATTGAATAAGTTAACCTAATATGAAATTACACTCTACAATAATACATCAATTTTATAACCGCAGCATTGATATTCTCAGAAGGTAATCAAGTATAGTAAAATGTTTCAAGTTAGAAATTAAGATACGAACATCGTCTGTATGTAGTTTAACAACTGCGAAAATAGGCCACCAGTGGGTAACCGAGATAGCTGTGTAGTGTTTAGCACTAGTCGAAGTCTACCAATCAACTTTCGCAATGTGACCGAGCAACCTGGCGCCACTGTGGGGTGCACTGTATTTAGGTGTCAGACTTCAATTAGTGCTAAGCATACAGGACTAGATAGCCACATTGGTCACGCACCAATGACCGACTCGTGTACATAATCCAGTCCTAAAAGAGGGCAGCTGTAACCTAGCTTATTCATAAGGTCCTGAGTGACTCAGATTCGAATCACCGAGGGAACACCAGTTTCGTCATGGTTACAGATACGCCTTTCTGATGATTGTCAGCAAGCAGGAAACCTAAGCTCAGGGCTTTCTGCCAAATGACCCTCACCATTTAACAAACATCCCTTCTTACATTGTAACGAAATTACAGTGCAAAACAAAGCGAATCTATATAGGGTTGACTGAGTGTTTATGATCACAAATCGTGCAGTAAACCTGTTTCCAGGTGAGTTAAACATACAAATGATTTGAGTAATCCAGACCAATGCAAATCTGTCGCTCAAGCTGTTAATTTGTCTAGGTTTCACTAATCTGCCTTGAAAGTGATGTAACGTTCCTCCTTTCGAGGTTTTATACATTAAAGATGAAGCAATATCATATCATAACATGGATGACAAATATCTCTACCGTTCCAATACAGCTGGTAATTTAAAGAAAATGTTGATCAAATTTACTGATGATAGTACAGCACCACTTACTCTCAGAGATTATTTTTCAGAGAGAATAGTCAAGTACTTTTGAGACGGAAAGAAAACAAAAAGCTCCACACTAGTTCATAGACCATTTCTCGTATCACATATATATTTATCAATTTACTACTATACATGAAAAACACAGAAATACAGTCTTTAGTAAATAATAATCAAGAAAAATAGACTCGAATCCTCTTCATTTGAAGAAACTCTTGAAAACGTATAAAATAGAAGTATATTTTTAAAAAGGAAGCTGGAGATTACTTAATTTACAGCAATGCAGTAAATACACTAGTCGATCGACGACGTTTTAAACTTGGAGGACTCAACAGTACTGAATGATGCTTGATCACATCCACTGGACGTTTATGCTAAAATGAATTTAAGAAGAGATAGGAATTGTAATTCAAAAAGTCGAAATGCATATTCGTGCAGTAGGCAATAAGCCACACCTATTGTGTGAGGACCAGTGTTACTACATGGTTTGCTTAAACCTAAGTAAGTGGAACGAGGTTCAAACTGGTGGAAAGTTAACTTCTTAAACCAATAGGTAACAGCTCCATAGGATTCAAAGAAGATAGGAATGCTTATCATCAATTTAACAACCAACACAAGTATAGTGTTCAGGAATTTCCGATTAGAAAACGGATAACAGTAAAAACTATTATGATGATTATTCTTGAGTACATTTTGTGCATGAAAATTAAACATGTACCATAGTGACTTACTTTCACATTGACAGCACTAGATGATCCTATGACACTTGTTTGATTAGCTGGAATATCATCAGATGAGTCAATTCTCTCGTGTTTTATATCAGATGTAACAATACTGAAACACGATAAACCAACTTTATTGCGTAAACCTAAAAGATGTGATTGACCACGACGATTATTTTCACTTGTTGGTGGATTGATATCGAAATCTCCAGTGAAAGTTGGCTGCTTCTTTTTAGGCAGTTCCAATTTATAACCAGGAAAGAAACTTCCAATAGGACGACTTAATAAAGAGCCATGCTAAAAGAAGCAACACATTTGAAGAGAATTAGATATTTTTTAAATGATGGGATTGGTAAGGTATACGCTGGAATACAAGGTATAAAAATTAATCTTGATACGTATATTTTTCAAAAGAATCGACCAGGTTAATCGGTATAGATGTAAACGTAGAGAATATACTTAAACGTTTTACTACTCGCTTTAATGCCTTACAATACGACATATCAATGAGTGAGGCCAAAAGCTATCCTCAGGTGTTATCGTGTTTGTCATCGGATACAGCGTGCTGTCTACCAATTCATGTGTTTTCTGTATGCTGTATGCATATTTTACCTATTTGTATGGTTTCTGAAACGCCCGCTGTCGCTGAATCATGTCACATGCCGTTTATTCATGTGTAAAGTATTGGTTGCATTTCTACCTCCTAGTTGCGATGTAAATACATTTCTTTATGAAGAATGATGCTGACAAATCAAAAGAAGTCAACCGAGCCTTCAGACTGCAGCATAAAGGATTTACGACTGCAGTTTTTACTTCAAAATATGTGCTTCCAAAACACAGAGAATACGTATTTTCACGCAAACACATAATAACACCTGTGGATAACTTTTAGCTTCACCCCATATCAATGACTTAGTATATCATGCGAATGGAACAAAATTAGGGTGTTTGAAAGATCGAATTATGCTGATATGGAAACATGTTAGCTAACCTTTCGCAAGCGGTATATAACAAAGAATTTTAACCAATTATTAGTTAAACATGAACCTAGATGGCTTCGAAAACAAAAGACCTCGAATAATCTAACAAGTGATGAGGTGACAAAAGTTCATCTTCCTTTTTTCTGTTTTTGGTAAAAGTGTTCCATATTAGGTTGGCCTATTTTGACAAAGGGCGCAGTGATATTGCATTATCTACTAGATAGGATTTTCGAGCAGAATTTATTGTTTATAATCATACCAAGATAATTATACAATATTTTGGTCTATTTTACATAGTTCTATGGTTTTCATTCTCTGGTTCAATTGACCCAGATTGTAAGAAATGTATAGCGCTAATAAAGCACAGGTTATTTTCGTCTTGTCATTATGTCATCTAAATTGGTCACACAGATTGGTTCAAATTCCTTCGGATTTATCAGTGACTAAGACACTTGTACCAAATTTTCCTGCGGAACGTTGGAACATTTTTATTCCAAACCATTTACTCAGCGCTTAATATTTTGGATACTATTCAGTCAAGGACTTCTGGCGACGAACCAAACAAGAACTCATCGCACAGCAGATATGCAGAAGAAAGTGGAGATGGATTGGGCATACAATGAGAGGACCATCCAGGGACATCACGCACTAGGCTCTCGGGTGGAACCCAAAGGGGAAACGACGAGCCGGGTGTCCGAGGGTGACATGGAGGAGATCGCGTGAAGAAGTGGGGCCAGCTTCAAAAGACTGCAGAGAACAGAGTGAAGTGGCGACGTGCTACTGAAGTCCAAAGTTCCACAAGTGTTGGTTGCAAGTTGTCATTTTTGAGTACCACTCAAATGAAAACTGTTGCTTCAAAGCTGGTTTACGTCGATACCTCATCTGACAACGTTAATTAAAGTGGTTGAGCGCGATGACCACTTCAGTTACCTGGAACGTCAGATCAGTGACTGACAATGAAGGTTCACTTTGCACTTGAACACCTTAATTAATCGATAACATCAGCGAGATATCCGACTGACTATTAAAGATCCGAGTAAACTAAGCTGTATATGGATGTAAAAAATTTCCATTAAACGAAGAGGATATAAGAAAGTTTCAGATGTTCGACAACCATTGCCTTTGTAGCATAGGCCATGTGCTATAGAACCAACAAGTCAGTAACGCAAAAGTCAGGCAGTGAGTTTTTGGGAGAAGAGGAGAATCAGTTTATGAGGTTTTGGACATCCGTCGACTAAGGTGGCGCGGACATTTTTAACACAGGCCTAGTCATCATGCACAATGTTACCTGAAGTTTGATTAGGCTGGACCAAGGTAGCCAGAAAAGAATGTGCTTCTTCTAAATGTGATTTATTCTAAACAGATTTTTATAAATATTGCCTTCAATTATGAACATTATCCATAAAAATGCAACCGAACATAAATAAAAATAAAGAACTCACTCTGACCATCTGAAACTTCACATCACGATTGATATGATCATCATCATTATCATCAAGTTTTCGTTTTATAGGAGCAACGGGTTTATAACAATTATCACTCATGTTGCTGTTATCACTATCAGTCACGGTAACATTTTTATCAATGATGTCTTCATCATCATTTCCATTTATATTATCAATAGTAGTAGTAGTAGTAATAGAAACCGTCCCATCAGCTAGTTTCTTAGGGGATTTCGGTTTCAAAAAGTTGGATATTATTGGATTTTTAATGATAGGAGAGGATTTGACAGCTTTACCTATAAAAAATGAAATGGACATAAAAATTATACCAACTTAAAATTATGATCACTATAAGCTAGCTATCAATTAATAACAATAATATATAGATTGTTCAGTGGTTGAAGGCATTCACAGAAGGATGTTTATAGCTGATCATCTGTAGGATGAGGTTGAATGTATTCACTGATCAACAGAGAGTAAACAATGTCATGTTGTCTAGTTCTACATGATAACCAGATTTTGTCGATCACAATTACCATGTCTTCAAAAAGCTAGAGCCTAACCACTGCAATGTATTTCAGCTGACTGGTGAGATTCCTAGCTTACTGATGACATTTTTTACTCCCTAAAAGCCTTCGATGTAGGTGGTGTTTGCTAACTGACAACAACGAGCTGTATGTATCATTTTAGAGAATTCAATGTTCGTTCTGAGAAGTCTTTTTCAGACTACATTCATCCAAACTAGATAACCTAATAAGCACAACTCTGTTAAAATTTACAGTGCAATAGCGATCGTTATATAACAATGAAGATACTGAATAGGTAGACAGTTGTAAACATGTTTTGCTAGTAATTCCTATAACAATCAAATCCTTGGCTATCTTTTCACCAATAGTTTACGATTCTCACAAACACCAAGAATTGAGTGAAAAAAGTTGTAATAAACAATTTACAATAGGAACTTCAAAAAGCTATTAGCCCAGATAACTTTAACTGATATAAAGATACCGATTTGAACTACTGACTGAAAATTAAGTAATTAGGTAGGACACTACTGATATACGTAGTAAGTAGTCTATTTCGTAAGTGATGATTTTAGAAGACCTTAATCACGTTTTTAATGCGCTTCTATTAAATTCACTACCACGATAAACAAAGGATAAATAACTTACCACGATTAACTGGTAATTTATTACGGACAATGATTTGAGTTTTCAGTTTTGCTTGAGTTTTCAGTACAGCTTTTCTTCCAAGAGAGAAAACCTGTCAATTATAAACACGAATGTGGGATACGCATAACATTTTATTCGATTTAAAATCAAACCTCATCAAGGTATCAATAACGGAACCAACAAAAAAACGCTAAGGAAAGTGACATATCTGTTGCACCTCCTCCTTAGCAATGAACACCATTCACTTAACACAAAACAGAGCGCAGGACTTACACATTTCTAAGTGAAGGTGGCTGAATCTAGGTAGAATATTGGGCTGAAATACAATTGTGTAAATTTTCGCCTTGGAGCATGTCATCCAATATTACCAGCTGAGGGTACACGTCATTTGAAAATTGAGTGATTCAGAAAACGATATATATATATATATATATATATATATATATATATATATATATATATATATATATATATAGCAAGAGTGTTTACCAACCAAGCAATTTACAAGGCATTATGGATACTTGATGGAATTTGTTGCTCAAACCACGTTAACATTACTGACACTAAACCATGAACTATAATCATGCTGAAACAAGTGCATTCAGTCCGGATCTTTGACATAGTTATGTGATATTCTAATATGCAAACTAAAGAACTGAATAGAAGTCTTTGAAACTGTAAGTTCCTTTTAACTTATACAATTCCTGCACAACAGTGATGACAGATAATGAGAAAGGAAGTAAGCTATCAAATACAAACAATCTCTTGATATACAAACAGCTTAAACCTAGGGTTTTCAGCCGTATATATTCCATCAAATTCTTCCCTTTTAGTTTGTTTTATTTTTACAGCATGTCTTCTAAACGTATGATGTACTCTGGCACGTTTTAAAAATATTTTGAAACTGTCGTTTCTCAAGCTAAGAACAAAACAAAGAAAAAACGTCAGGTTGGATGGAAACGGAATTATAAATGCTCAAAAATACAGCACATTACTGTTCCTAGCAGATGTAGATGGAAATGCAGATTTTTGTACTGGTTGACTGAACAACTACTACCAAAATTATAATCGATTTTGCATTCGTTACAGAGTTCGGATCTGACGATAATGTAAAATCAGTTAATAGTTTCACGTTATTGCTTTTAGTACTGTTATTATTAACACTACTCAGATGCAATAATTATTTCTCTTAAAAACATTGTACAGGGAGCGAATTGGTTGGAAGACCATATGCTAAGAATTCTACACTGTATCAGATGTTGTTTGGAATAATAAAATTATTATTACGATTATTATTATTCACTTTATCCAGCTGGTAACTTACAGCAGTAGATGAAATACCATATGTATTGGTAACAGAATTACTATTGTTGTCTAGATTTTCTTCCTCATCTTCGCCATCTGATCCAGAAAGTGTATCATTATGATTTTCATTCGAATGATGATTAGATGACTGGTGTACGCTGTCAGAATCGAGATCAGGATTTCCAGTAGACTGATTGCTATTTTTATTTTCATTGGAGGAATCGACTTTTGAATTTAATGGACCATGTAGCCATCGATCCAAAGGACCAAAGGGAACAGTAGCAGGATTATCTCCTTCATCACTTGAATTCTCATCACCATCATCTACATTCAACTGTTCGGCAAATGGATCATCAGTGTCTGAAAAAGAAAAATAAGTTAGGAATTATGAACTTTAAGCATGGGTGATTAAATTTGATAAAAACTTGAACTGAGATGAGATTCCAATCAACAGCCTAACAGTTTAGATTCCGACGAAACGTACTTCTTCTTCTTCCAACTTCGAAAGTTAACCTCTTACATAAAGACCGGTCTACCTGCCTCAGATATTATAATCAACAAAGTCGGAAATTTATTTTTAGAAATGATATTTCTGACAGACTAAGCAAATATTAGAAAAAGTGATTTTCACTTTTGATGGATTCCCCCCCTTAAAATATACAAAATAAAGACCTCAGAATAATAAAACCAATGCAGTTTTTGTATTTATTAGGGCAATGAGATTCAGTAGTCATGTGAAGGTTATGGCATCATGCTCAGAGCCTCACACACAATATGAGTGATATATTGACACTGATTGGTTAGTCGTACATAGGTTAAAATCCACTAAAAAAACGTGTGGACATTTTTGCAGTAGGTAATGACCCATATCTATTGCGTGAGGGCTAATGATACCACTTGGTGAGTGGGTAGGGGTTCGAACCTGTAACCAATTGTTTGAAAATAAAGTGCCTAGATCAACGAGTCACTGCTCTACAACGAGTAGATGTAGCAAGTTTGAAACTTGTAACCTGCTGGTGGGAAGTTGAGTTGAATGCCAATGTACTTATCTTGGTAGTTATATTCTTAAAGTCCTATGATGTATAAATGATATATTTGTCAAGGAGAATAAACTGGGTCAGATAATTACCTAGTCCACGCCATCGAAAACGTCGTTGACGAACACGACCATCTTCAGCATGTAAATCTCCGTCTTCAAAGAAGAGTTCCTGAAGAACATTTAAGTGATTATAAAAACGGAATTACGGTAATAAAAAAAAAGAGAAGAGATTGCAAGAAAAGTTAACTGACCTGAGAGTGGTGAGTGTAACTAATGTTTCACGCAACAATTGCTGTATTAAAGTGGTACAGGAAATTTGATAGTAAACAGGGTGCAGAATAAATGTGCATCTACCTACCTCTTCATGATGTCAAATATAGCTACCAATTTTTCAATCGTGAAGTAAAAGGTAATACGAATGGATTTTGTAAGTTAAAAATACGTGTATGTCTTGATTACTTAATATACCAGCTATGGACTAAAAAAACATCTCACTCATATGAGAGGTATTTTAGTTGAGCTGTGGTTGTTAGATATATCAAAATGACATGACAATGTTCATTGGGTTGTATTATCTCTCTCAAAAATTGTAATCATCTCCAGGAGCTGAGAGAAAAACTTAGTGATGCATTCATTTTAACTTATTGAACGAACTATCAGATAATAAGTAGAAAAAGAATAGACCTTTATACTGATTCGAACCAGCAACCACCAGAAATCCGATTCGGTGCTCCACCAACTGAGCTACGAGGTCCGACCGCTGACCACATTTTTGTTTTACTTCAATCACCATGGGTTTTATCCGACTACCATGTGATCGTATTCACACTGGTTGTCTAGTTAGGACTTCTCAACCCAATCCAAATCTAACTGAATTAGACAGGAAGAGCAGCATATTGATTACCATTTTGACTCATATCTGATTTGGACCACGGCCAAATCTTCATTTCATACTAGTCTGCCAAACCACGGCTATCTCAGATAGTCAAAATGAGAGTAGATCTTTTAGAAAATTGACTTTGCAATGAAGTCATTATGATTTTTGATGCTAAGAATTACAGCAGTTCAAAATCACTAGTGAAGTCAAGCAAGCTTAGAGTTTAGGCTTACTTTCAAACAATGATATGCAGTAGGTGTCATGCTAGCCAATCTAATTAGTGAAACTATACCGTAGCTGAATTCACTCATCAAGTATGTGCCTCGAAAATAATGAGTCATATTGACTTATTCCTCGATTGATGAGTATCTTAAAACGGATAGTTTTTATACCTACTCTACGGAAACAGTAGCTATCTGGAGCTAAGTAGTAGTATCTTTACCAAATCTGTTATTCCCTAAAACTGACATATAACTTTCTCACTCTTTAGACGTATTAGGAGTTGACCACCAAAACTGTTGAGACATTACAAAAATCAGAAGCATTGAGAAACTCGGAGGGAATAAAGATGCAACTCAAAAGAACAGTTCATGAATCTTATACAACAGGATATTGTTTAAATCTTGCTGAGACAGCCTAGATAGGTTTTAATATGTCATCTGGCATTGTACTGAAAGGAAAAGTTATTTTCTGTGCACCTAAACAATGTGACACTGTTTCATCGTAACCTGGTAGAGAGTGAAACGAAGTTACGGAACGAAATTATATCTGCAACAAGGCTCAATGCGCAAATGCAACATACTTTATGAATTAGGCAACGTGTGAAAGACAAAATGATTAAAGTTCATAGAAGAATAAATTTCCCAAGGAACTCATCAAACAATGAGTACTGCAATTACTGACCCTTGATGGAATCTTGTATCCTAGAGTATATCAAAACTACTTCATATTGGAAAAGTACTTGGTTCATAAACTACGATTAGCAGTGGTCATTCGCAGTAAAAATTTTAAAGTATAGCCAAATGATTACTGTAATCTTGGAGGCAGGATAACTTTTCAGTACTTCAAAAATCCCCTTTGCTTATGAGCACATGACCACTTGTATATACCTACCATCGCAATATATTGTCAAGTGACATAGTGAATACAACGCAACCCTTGGTCATTGCAACACACTTTACAATCAGCTCATGTATACAAAAGTCTGATTAAATAGTGAGTAAATACTGAGGAAATATAATTTTTAAAAAAATTATCCCCAGATTGACTGTCCTGACTCATAAAAAAGACCGACTAAGCGAAGAAATATATTTCTTTTCAATAAAGTATTCATCTTTCTTTGGTTTCACACCAATATATGGAACCAAAGGTGAAGATTTAATTGAAAAGGAAATATATTTCTTCGATAAATCAGTTTTTTTGTTCCCTTTTTAAATGTCTAAATGGGTATTTTCAATGTACAAAAACAATTATACCTTGAGGTAGCGTATTTCACGAATATCTTGATCAGTTTGAAGACGATGATGAACACGTTCAAGTTGACGTCTTAAACGACCAGCTGATGGAATATCTGAATCATTCTCATCAATTAAATCAGCAAATTCTTCATCAGCATCATCAAGATCCAATTCATCTTCATCATCCATATAATAAGCACGCTCATTTTCATCACCAGATAATTCAGCTTCTTCATCCACAAAATTATTCATACGAAATCTAAAAGTATATAGAAATTCATAAGATGACAGTAATAGTAAGATATTTACTAACCAAAATAATGATTGGTCCGCAAAGTTTAGAAGTTATCCCAGAGGCTTGGATGGATTGGACTTTATACAAAGATGATTATTTTGTGGTGCTCAATTGTTAGGTCACGATTGAATTCAGTAGAAATGATTCATTTTATTTAGCAATGATCGGTTAGATAAACTAGTCAAGCAGGTAAATGAATACGATCGCAATCAAAGCTACACGTCTCACCCTCAGCTGAAAGCGATATAGTGTTCAACACTGAAATAATTAGTGAATCAACATGATGGATCAAATTAATAAGAGCCATTCTATTTTGCTACAATGATGCTACTCTTATTCATTGAAAATATGAACACCAAGAAATGCTTTTAAATATAATAAAATATTCAGGAGAACATACAGTTAGATAATATAAGACTGATCCGAGAAGCAATCATAGAATGTGCATCTAGAAAGCTTTTACTACATTTCAAAAATGCAGCATAAAACAAATTTATGACATGATTGCGGCTAATCTTGATTCTAATCGATGTGTTGCAGACTAAACGCTACTCCATCCACTTTGCCAAGGGTAACCAAGTAGTATATCATAAAACCGTAAACAGAGATGTAAAATATGTACCATACGGCTTCTAATCATTATTTAGTGAATATTAAAATTTCAAGCGGGTGAAAAGCAATGGTCAAGGATTCTAATGAACTGTTTAATAAAAAAGTGATCAAAATGTGTTATGGTTTCGTATGATTTCCCATGGTCCGATCATCTGAACAGAGCACAGAGTATCGTCGACTGAAATCTGGTTGACCAGTGAGTTTTCCATTTTAACGAGAAGTAGTCAACAAACTTTCAGACACGAGTGCTTATGATTGACCGAAATGGCCAGATGGGTTGTTGTGGCAGTGACTAGTCGTGAAGAGAGTATGAAGAACGTATATTGAGTTACCCTAAGTTTCCTACTTGAACTTACGCAGTCAGGTATGAGCCTGTGAAGAGTTGCCATCTAAAGTGACGGTAAACTAATGTACCGACCAGGAATGCTCACTAACATCATTCCTGTTTGACAAGATTATAAACATCCAGATTATAGTCGTTACAAATGTCGTAGAAGAAATTGACCACCGAGTCTGATTTAATCATTATAAAAGTATATTTTAATATAATCCCAGGATGTTTCGAAAAATTTTGTTTTGAGTTTTGAAACACACTGGGATTACATTAAAGTACACTTTTCTAAATATTCCTCTTTAACCTTTTCATAGAGATGCCATTCGAGATACAATCTAGATACCTCCAACTTCAGACGGATTGACTTACTGCCTGGATGGTACTTGGTTGACTTGAAGTGAGTAGATGAAGTGCTAGGTGAAGACCGTGACAAAGTGAAAGGTTTATTGCTTCATCTGTCAATAGTTTCAAAGAGGTTCATTATTCTCTAAAAACCCTTATCAAGGAATAATTTCAAACTTCAAAAATGTTACTGCAGTAACCTGAAGAAGATATCAGGCACCTTCAGGACAAGTAGATTTCACATCAACCTCTTACATGTAAATTCCAACAGGTTTTTTCATTTGAGTTTAAAATTCCAATTTTGAACAGACATACGTATGCTTAAACAAACGAATAGTTCTAGTTCAGAAACATGTTTTGGAATAAACAGCATTCTTCGAGACATCTTTTCTAAGAGAAATGAATACAGTACACTTGATCTGTCTGTCATTGGATAGTATTATGATGGACAGTCCCCATTATTAATAATATACATAAGCTACTGATACAAATTCACAACTGTGTGTAAATTAAAAGGACGAAGTGAATCACCCCAGTCATGAAGAGACTGATATACCTGGCTATGAGTTAAAGCTACGGGGACTCTAATTTGCAATGAATCTAAATACTTAACTGATTGACATAAAGAACCAATATCAACTCAAATGAGTAAAAACTGGAATCCTGTGTTGTTAAAAAAGAATGGGTAAGTATAAATACCGTTTAAAGATAATGCAATTTAGTGCAGTCCTGTGATTATCAGCCACAATTCAAATAGTTTACCGAATTCAATCTTCATGGAAATGCTCTTTCAAATAGTCATTTCTGAAAAAGAATTTTATGAAAATAACAGAAACACCCCCACATCTTGATATTCATAATAAATTCAATTACTTTTTCTTCTTTTTAACCTCATTTGACTTTAGAGTAAGCCGTTGTACTTCTTCCTCATCATCTTCATCAACATTATGATAATCAGTTTCATTTTCATCCTCTTCCTTTTCTTCTCCTTCTTCCTCCACCTCTGAAGGCTCATTGTCAGTATCATCATCGTCAGCATTGGAATTAGTAGCATCAGAATCACTGCTACCCTCATCATTTTCCTTCTCTGAATCATCATCATAATTATCGACCTCCAGCTTTTCATCATCGTCTTCCTGATTTTCATCTTCAATAGATTCTTCTAAGAAGTCAGTATTTTCGATAGTCTTCATAATATTGGATTCTGCAAAAGGCAAGGATTATGGTTATTCCGATGTCCAGAAAACAAACCTGACTGGAAACTCTGGAATTTCAGTGGACTATTTTGAATATGTGAATATGAACCAGTATTGCTACTGCTGTCAGTCTTCTCTCTCTCTTCATGCTCCTCTTCCACGTCATCATCATCCAGAATGAGTACTCGTCGACGGGATGCATTCTACGTGTAGTAAACAATAATACAGAAAGCTTAATTGAAAATAATTTAGGTAACATTTCGAAAAAGTGAAGACAATACAAAATAAAACCGGAATCGTGACGATTAGGTATGAGAAAAGGTTCACATACACACTTAAAAATCAATTAAAAAAAATTTGTAGTCTGCAATGAAAATGGTGTTCAAGTGACACATTTCTGATACAATGATGGTTGTTTTTCACTATCACATTATCGTCTGATTTCATGAGTTCGATATGAAGTTGGTAGAGAGAATTCAGTAATGTAGCAAAGGTAAATAATCCATTGCACTTCCAGTTAAGTAACTTTACTGCTGGTGTGAACTCATCATTAGACAAGGATTTTCTAACGTCAATGTTTACTTTGAACGAATTCGGTTCCTACACATCTATCACATCTGATGTGAGGGGTAGAGATATTGCAAACTGGAGCAGGTTGAAATGGAAATAAGTAATCCATACTAGTGTATTAAATTGTTAGCCATGTATTTTATTTGCCACCTGTCTAAAAGCTGGTGATCATATACGGTTCAATAAATGAAAAAGGAGGAATGAGATAAAACGCACAAAGTGTGCAGAGATCGGTTGTTTATGCAATCGAATCATGCTTGTAGCCAAAAGAAAAAGAGATAACTACGTACAAGCTGAACAGGTGTAGAGCAATGTAAACAGCGATACACAAACAACTGCTATACCCAGCTTACTTGTGTTGTAGGCACAGAATCTTGGACATCTAGATAAAAATGGAGAAAAAGGAACTAAGTGTTGAGTAATTAATTGTTAAGAATCAATAAAAATAGTATTGCAAGTTGGCATAACTTCCAAGTTCCTGGAACACACCTCGTTACATCAAGCATCCTCTTTTCATAGACAACATCTTGCTAATTCACCACTTTTATCAACTTATATTACATTACGTTTATTCTGATGAGAAAATAAAAACGGGGCGGCTAAAAAAGTTCGGTTAGTAAGACATCTAAAACCAGTGGTTATAGACTGTAAGCGACAAGGACGATGCGACGGTAAGCCTTGACCATTTTACTATTATATGCCATTTTGTCCACTGATGTGATTGGCTGTGTCTTCTTCACTCTCTGGATAACAGATTTTTGCATGTGATTTACACAAATTCATATCTTAAGAACTTACTTCCGTGTATGTTACACGCTTAATTAGTCTCGGAATTGTTATAATATGATAAACTCTACAGGAGTAGTACACACACACAGACAATTCAATAAACACCCATAATCATTTTCGTTCATGTAAATCCAAAAGTAATACCTATATCGCCATTTTCTTCAATAGCTTTAGCGTTCGAATCCGTAAACATTTGTGATTGGTCACATAACGATCCACCAAACAGATTGCGACGATTTTCATGGTGTGCTTGGGAATCTATCAAAGTAAAAAATTAACAAGTAACAAAAACGAGAAAACACTGAACACAACAAGGCGCTACGTGTGAAAAGCAAGTGTTCAAAAATTTTTTTAAGTGTGAAGAGACTGAAAAACACTTACGATCATAACACTTGATGGAAATCAACACCAGATTACAAAACCATCATCATCATCATCGGTATGGTAACATCGTGGATTAAACACTCAATTATTAACTACTGCGTAAAAGAAGTTATATCTATCCATACAAGTATAAAGCAGAAAAGAGGATACCAATGTGCAAAAGCGTCATTTAGCAACATGCTCGTGTAGTTGGTAAGATGTTAGGCTAAATCTGTGAGGACTCATGATACTACTTTCCACGTAAGCTGAGGTAGGTAGAGTGCGGTTTAATAAGTGACCTAAAAGTTTAGAGCAGATTACATCAACAATTGTGCAACAGCTTAACAATATGTCATCTAAGATAGAGGTAAAGTAAACCGACAAACGTCGGAGCAGTGATTTGTATCCGTGTCAACGACCTAAGAGAGCTGATATATACTCTAAATGAACAGAGGGTAAATTTAAAATGGAGATCGGGAAAGTACTTCATAGCAGTTGACAGTTACCTAAGTAAACTGCATCTACAAAGATAGTTTTCTAAGGAAAAAGTATTCAAAAAACCAGCTTAGTCATCAAAAGTTGATGCGAAATATTAAAAATATATGCATATATATGATACCTTCAGTTAACTTTGTGGCTTCATCCATAAGGGCTTGTGACTGATCACATACTGATCCACTGAAAAGATTACGTCGATTCTCATGATGAACCTGTGAATCTGCTAAGAGAAAAATCAGAGAAGTAAGTGTGATAAAGCAGTACACAAGTTCTTAAGTAATTACATGAGAAACAATTACTAATATTGGGTCTTTGAATGAGCTAGTATGTGTAAAATGATGGATGAAATCAACATTCCTTACTCATAGAAGAATGAGGTATATATTATGTACTATGGAAACTGTGTTGATCATCTTTGCTTTCTAAGACTGCAATCCTCAAAAGTGATACTTTGAAAGTGCAGAGGTTGATTAACTCTCTGTGTTATTGTAGAAGTTGGAAAACACCAATTCCAAGATCATGGTACCTATTGAAGAAGAAAATGTACAAGAACATGTACTTGTGATTGATTTACATAAGAAAACATTGTATGACGCTGTCTTGTTTCTTTTAGGGTAAAAAACTTTTAAATTCAGAACTTGAATAAAGGAGTCCATTAATATAACGACTTGAGAATCTACGAACTTGGACAGAATTCACATAAATAACAATTTGTGACAGGAAGAAATGAAGCTTAAGAATAACACCGTTTTTATACAGATATACAAAGACATGAAACAGTTCGTTCATAGTGTGTAGTTGGGAAATGAATGGTAGAAGTACCAGACTAGCGTGTTTTTGCCTCACGATTTCCTGGAGTGGATTTGAAGGCTTACATGACTGAAAGACTTGAAGCATTGTGAAACACAGCTCAAACCTGTTTTAAGTGAAAATCTTGGTGCACCTTTTAAAGCTTCTAGTAAGGGGAAAACGTTTGAAACTATTTCTTAAGTTGTATTTTTATCTGACTGCTCACACCATTATTATTATTATTATTCTTTATAACAAAATTACATTTCTTGGTATGAAGATTCTAGCCCACTTTCACTTGTTAAAACACAGGTGATTTATATGAGAACTAGTATTTCTATATCTACATTTTCTAGGCGTTACTGAAGTGTAATCAACGTTACATGCGTAAAACAAAGTTAGTGAATAGAAAAGCTCCCTAAATTGCAGCAAAAGTATAACAAGTTTTGAATGCAAATTACGCATGTTAACAATCATGAATTTCTTTCCAAGAAATTCGGAACCAAAGCGAACAAGTGACTTCCCAGGATTTGTCTGAAATACGATTCTACATTAATCAACAATATTGATTAATAAAAATCAAACCCCAAATCATGAGGTATCTACTGGCTATCGTTATCAAAGCAATTTACAAAGAATGCGTCAACAGTAAAAATAGCAAAGTCGCGTCCGAGGAAGCGAAGGGGATATGAAAGACGCGCGTAAGTCCCCACATTGAGGTAAAGACAAAAAGGAAACAAATCTTCTAGGTAAAAAAAAGAACATCAGGAAACAACGAAAGAAGTTACAACACCATTGTGAATTAGGGAAAGATATTAATATCTAGGGATGTTAAGTGGTGAACAAGATACGATTCGACAGAACAAATGAAGCTGTGGATGAAGTAACATAATAGGGAACGATACTACTCAATAATGCTAAGTAGTATAAAAGTGAAGGTATAAAAAAGAATACAAAAGGGACACCATTTGGTACACGAGAACAAGTAAGAAAGGAATTAACAACAGTATATTTTTGTTCAAGTATAATTATCCTCTTTATTCAGCTTTCTCGAGGTTTCACCATCTGGTATCAACTATATCACATCAGCTGTAAAAATGTATTCTGTACGAACAAATGGTGAATACATGTGGTGTTACAAACACCAAGTTTCTTTCTATTAATCATACATTACTGAGAGGAAATTACCCGCTTACTTTTGCATCTTCCTACACTTACATCACAATCTCTAGGCACGAAAACTACGAATATACAGTCAGTCCAATGTCATGAAATTAGAAGCAGACGGAGAGATGATGCCCACAAATTACAGCTACAATCACGCACGAAAAAACCTAGTTATTCCCAGCCTTGAGTTGGAAGGTTGGTGATCAGAGTGTAGTTCATCGCTGCTAGCTAAGGTGCTTAGCAAGATGAGATTGTCTACATTATGACAAGTTATTTTATCTTCAGGAATCTGAGAAAGAAAACGTAATCGTAAAGTTAGTTTCATAGACCCAGGAGTGTGACCAAAGAGTTCAAATGACAGAAGTTGGAGGCAGGTACCTTTGAAAGCTTTTGGTCTATATCTAACTGTGTTGAAAGCATACTTTTGGAAAGACTAGCCATCAATGTCGGAAATATATCAAGTAATACGCACGAAGTATTTAAAGCTGACTTTCTCTAATTCCTTCCTCTGACAACAGGAGGAGAGATTTAGTAAGGGATGCCGATTTTACTCAGGAAACAGCTGCAGCTGTATCACTGCGACATCGGCTTTTTTTAGATCGCATAGTTTTTAAGCCAATCTGCCTGACATGGTAGTACTGCAGTATGATCATTATTACATAACACAAACACTTAACACCGAAATGAAGAATGAAAAAATAAGTACCTTAGTACAGTAAAGTATACGTAGACGCAGAATCTGGGAAATACTGAAGACAAAAGCATACTGCATCTACGTTACAACTGTCAGTCAGACCGAGAAGACAGTTGAAAGAAATTTTCTGCAACACCTCTTATTTACTACCATAACTAAAACAGTTTCAAAATATATAGAAATCAAAATAATTGATTACATAGAGATTTCATGAATGCACTTGAAGGATAATTACTCCAATTACCTAAACTACAATTTTCTCTAGTCGACTTGATAGCCGAATCCATGAACGATTGTGACTGGGCACATAATGACCCACTGAATAAATTTCGTCGATTGTCATGATGCATCTGTGAATCTATAGGGGAAAAAACAGCACAGTTGCAGTAGGATAGCGGTAAGGAAGTTAACTTTGTTGTCGACAAAAACGTTGCTGATAAAAATTTCTGTGAATATCATAGTAAAACGATCTTATCCAGATGACAAAGATAAGAAGAGGGTACTATAAAACCAGTCTGTGTTACGCCATGAAACATAGATAAAGAAAACGAAAATTAAATTTAACAGCTTTAAGATACAACTGAACATACGTTTCAAATCACTATGCCTAATGTGCAGTAAACTCCGTCTTCTCTAAGAAACGAATATGTCAAGTGAGAGCATACTCTATCAATGGTATGAATCCCATCATATGATTGGAGGCGATATTCAGTTAATGGAAATGTCACCGATAAACGAATGCTTTTAACGACTTTATTTGCTCAGATCCATAATTTGTATGGAATAAAACCTATATCATGGGTCGAAAAATCGGAAGCTATCGACGCATTTGAACAAGTGCTGCAGACAAACACCTTGTTAGTCGCCAAAACAGTCGATTACAAAGCCTGTCATTTTAGCAATCCATACCGTATTGTGACTACACAACCGAGTGTATGTTTTTATATCATACTGTAATATTACACTTAATGTGTAAGCGATCATCACGACAATACTCGTTCGCAAAGATTTAAGTAGTTTGAAAGCACTACCCGAAATCTGAACCAGTATATCATACTTTCGAAAGAATTTACATTACTCCAGCAAAATTACACACGAATTTCATCGACTAGAAGAAACACACATAAGTAACCTCATGGTTAGTTAAACTGAAGATACATACAACCAAAACAACACCGAAATTTCATCAAACCCTTCTTCTCCTGTTGTTGCATCACATCCATCAATAATTTGATTCATCTAATTTACATAGAAAATGAAAACAACTTTTCCTAGACTTCAAAAGACATTCATTTAATTAGACAGAATCATAACCTGAAGACACAAAAGCTGAAGGTGCACATGAAACATGGTGCTTTTTGAAAAAATGTTTTTGAATGGACGAAAATATCTGGTACTAAATCCAGTTTAGAAAACTCATTTGCTTAGTTACCAATAAAATCGATCAAGGCAATAGGTCTATGATGAGCAAAGAGACCATGAAGTTTAATTGAAGACACAAATAAAAGTAAAACTACTTCATTTTGTAGGTACTCATTATCATCAACTCATAGTATAATAATTATCAGAAAAACTGGATATGCCAAGATTACCTGGATTCTCATTGTCCTCAACAGACTTATTAGTGAAATTCATGAGTGGTTGTGATTGATCACATATTGATCCACCAAACAGATTACGCCGGTTCTCATGAAAAGCTTGAGAATCTGTACTTAGGAAACAATTACATAACAAAATAGAAAAATATACTGAGTAAAGCAGCATACTATAGACGGGAAAATGCAACCGAAAGCAAGAACACATAGCCTATTTAACATAGTTATTGTTTTGGATATGGAAATCTCAAACACAATGAACAGCTATCAAGAAGTACTTTCGTTTATTTCGGTTGCTAAATTAATGGCTACTACAGTATGTAATACAAACGGAAAATTAATTGTGCTTCTGTTGTTTCAATCAACTTTGACTGAAATCATGTGAAGATTTTAGTCCGCACTTGCAACTATCTAACAAAGTCTATCAGAAACATAACTCCACGTGCACTAGGAAAGAAATTTGATTCAGTTGATGAGGTTGTGAGCGTGTAGTGACTTGGGTAGGTGATAGATGTATTAAAAATGGTTAACTAATGTATACTTTTAACGTAGGAATATTTCACAGAAAATATCAAAGAGAAAACTTAATACCTACAAATAAGAGCAATTACGTTGATCTGAATTATATACAAAACACAGGCGGCTTTGTTAGAGTTACCAAAAGATAAGAAATCAACATATTTAGAGTGAAATCGATTACAACGAGAATGTAACTACATTCTGCTCAAAATCGTGAATAAACATTCCTCTTTCCATTTTACTCATATCCTTCTGCATTTCCTGACTAATGAATTTCCAATTGTGCATTTTGGCAATGTTACTTCACATAATGCAGTATACCTTTTTCTAGATCCTGCATCATTGGGTTCATCTGTTTCATAATATTTGTAAAAAATCGAACAGAATAGCAGTATTTCGTGGTCTAGCAACCTTAAGACCTCTTACTATGAAATGTCGAAATGGATGGTGGATGAGTCTTAAATGCGCAAATCAGTGCTGCATTGTAGCTCGCTGTCTTACAGCAAATATCAACATCAATCACTTCATAGTTCGATTATATGTGCTTTACAAGGAAAAGGGATTGGTTAAGTAATATCTTTTGCTTTCGGTGATGTGTAACAGCTGAAAAGTAGAGATGTACTCATTCAGATAGTGCAAGAGTCATAAATCGGTAGAAGATACATAATTCCTGAGTATTCCCACGTCAAAATGTCCTTAATTGGACAAATTGCCAGACTGGAACCTACCCTCAGGATACCTGAAGATACAAACTAGCATCCCGATTACTGAATACCGATAGTAAGCTTAGGTACGCTTAACCAAAAGAAACGTATTAACTAATTCTATAAACGTGCAATTATTTACTATTCAAAGTAAAGTAAAACAAAAACAATGCCTGCATTACCGTTCTCTGCAACTGGCTTTATGGGCAAATCCATGAACGCTTTTGACTGGTCACATAGTGATCCACTAAACAGATTATGTCTATTCACGTGATACGCTTGGGAGTCTATCACAAAGAGAGTAAATAAAGATCGAAACATCAGGAGTAATCTATGACCAAGTAAAATTAAACATCCATAGAAGAAAATCTCAAATATTGGCAAGTTATCAATATCATACAATACAAAAGAAGGACCTGGTTACTCAGTGTGATGATAAACGGATTACTCATTCACATAATAGTGGAGAGAATTTTTCGGGGAGTGAAGTGAAATTGTAATATGTTTAGTAGTTGACTCCCAGAATTCAATCAATGAAGCGTTAAATAGAAAATCTAAACATTGCTTATCTGAGCCCTACGACAGTTCCAACTCTTGTTTAACACCAACTACTTCTGTCGTGGATCAAGAGAGAATGAACGCAATACACACTGCTCAATAGGTACTTCACAAGTTTTACAGGAAATTGTATGCTAAAGCTTTAGACAGGATATAGAAATGAAAATAACATTCAATGGCCTTATTAATTAGTACAGAGGTGTACATGAACACATAAAATCATGCAATCTACCACATAGATAGCTATCATCGACATTTGAAACGAAGTATCAAAAATATCTGAATTACCAATCGTTTCTGTCGGATTAGCGACTTCACTCAATAGGCTTTGAGACTGTTCGCATATTGACCCACAGAATAAATTTCGACGGTTTTCGTGAGTAATTTGAGAATCTGTAAACAAGCATCAATAGAGAAACAAACAAGGAGTTACCAAATGAAAATCTTCAGACTATGCATAACATAATACAAAGTAAAAATATCTAATAAGGAAATCACTAGTCAAAATACAACAAGATATCATGCTTAAAATAGAAACTCGAAGTAGTCACTGAGAGATAGGACAGCTGGAAAACCTTCAAAATAATAAAAGTTAAGTAACCAGTTCAAAACTATATTTGTTGAGCTAGGTGTGTATTCTAAATAAACCGAAAGGAACAGGATGCTGGCTGTAACTATATGTTACCAGTAGTTCGATCATCTATACAGCTTATATTGGTACTATGAATACGGATAATAATCAGACAATAAATCTTTTGAAGTATAGAACCAGTGACGTAGTCCACACATACCAGCAATGCAAATGGAGTGTGAACACACGGAAATGATGAAGTATTTAAGCCTAATACAATACACCCTATCAGTGTGCATAAACGAAAACAACAAGAGTTTTTCTGTTTTCCAGTCTCAATTTTTATACACGATAAATCTGAACAAAGAACTTCTGATTACGTCAGATGTGACACTGTTTCGATGTTCACATACAAAGACGATGAAGGCAGAACCACACCATTTTCTCAAGGACAAGAAATATCAAATATTCTTTATGAAACCGAATGATTGATCACCAACACTATTAGGAAGTAAACAGTATGTGTTAACGTTATATATATAGTACATCTAATGTCATCCAAATAGCACAACGGTCACACAACTACAGGATGCAACATTCGGAATTGAAAAATGTGACGTTCTTCCTCTTCTGCTACAGACCCTCATATACTACTTCACCATTTATAATACAATATGGATTGCACAAAACAAAGAAACCGTAAATTGTTTATTTGTATTACATAGTGAAAAAGGCATTCTATGTAACCAATTTTCAAATATACGCTGTAATTCAGTAGTTTTAGATATTAGGAGTCTGTTGTAAGTGGTCAGTAACAGTGGGGATGTATAGTTACTTTTTGTCTCATAGTGACTGCTATTCTTTTCACTGTTTCACTTCGCTATTCTTATTGTATATGATGGCATTCTATTAGCCCACATAATGACAGGAAAAGTTAGCAAGTAACTTTAGAAAGTGTACATTCGCATGGGAATGTACACAGCAATAACCGTCAGTTTTTGAGTGACTTCAGAAAACGTTGTAACTGAAAACCCTACCCCACCAACAAACTGACTAAAGAGAGCACTGTAATGTACAAATTGACAGCTTGATCTGAAGCATCGACAGGTTAAAATCCATTATTCTTGAGGTTAACTATAATTAGCTACTTCCGGAATTCAAAACAGGTGCATATCTGCTTTTCTTAAACAAAAAACGACGAAAGCAGTTAATGGAATAACGAAGCAGTCATTGATCAAATCCTTTAATGAATCAAGGTAACTGGTCACGTCGTATTTACCACCTATTGCTCAAGCATACCCCGTAACATCTCATTTTCATTTGAAAATCTCTTGTAATAAAGTTTTATTTACGGATGGAAAAATTCCTCAATTTGCAAGTTTGTGGGGAATAAATGGCGTCAAATGAGCTTTCGTCAAAGTTTTAGACTCTTCAGCAGTAAATATTGAAACTTTGGGTGCCAGCCCCTAAACACACTGGGATACAATCCACTCCAACCTGTCTTCCGACTGAAGCAAACTTCTACAAGCTCTATGACAACTAAAGTACGAATGGATTGGCTAGCAGTAATTGACTTCGACTAATCGGTTTATTTTTGTCTACTGAATACATCCACAACTCGAGACACATAAAATTTTTCGACAGAAAAAACTCTTCTTTTCGAATCTAAATTAAAGCCGAAAATGAATCAAAAAAGGTCATGACATAAGGCACTTAAACCACCAACACACCATCGTTTTCATTACATATCCCGACAAGGGTGCATTATTGGTCTAAAATAAAGTATGAAACGTACCGGGATTATCATTTCCTTCAACGGATTTAGTGGACAGATCCGTAAACCCTTCTGTTGAATCACATGTTGATCCAGCGAACAGATTACGTCGCTTCTCGTGATGAATCTGGGAATCTGTATGGACAAGTCATTGAAAAGTAAGACTGAATTCAGAAAAATCTTTCAACCATATATAGGTTGTTCTTAGGCGGTAAAAACTTTGAAATAGTACACCTCCATAAGGTTCTCAACCTTGATTTTGGAGAGATTACCATTATTCAGCTAAGCACAGTAACAAGAAGTCAACAAAATACATATCTATTAGGGAATGTAGTGCAAAAAATTCCTAATCAAATATTGTTAAGGACATTCAAACAATTTATTATGCTGAATTTAAAATGCATTTACACCACTTAGATTCTGACAGTTTTTCATTGTTTTATTGTATGAAGGTTAGACTTCAAATAGCGGGTGATTTTTTGATCATTTATAATTATACCATGGCATTCAAGGTCATTATATATTATCTGTATACATGACGCAAAGCTTTGTGAATAAACATCGCCAGGTTAAGATATTTCAACCACTTTTGGATTTCAATATCTTGATTTCATCCTGCCAGTTGGACTCCTCGATATATTAGATACGTTAAGATTATAGGTGACTTGACAGGAGAAAAGTGTTAGTGATGTAACTTTTTACTACGAACGCGTAATACTTCGACGAAACATACTCGTGGAAAACATGAAAAACTTAAGCTGATAGGTAACTTTTGCTAGCTAGATCAGAGTAATTTGAACCTCGGATGGGTGTTTAAGCGTGTTTGGGGTACAGCTCATCAGTAGTCTATCTAGGCGAATACAGCGCACAAAGCTAAATTTTTTCGATCATATCGCTATCACAGAACTGATTGTAGACGTCACTATCAGACCTAGAAACGGTCTCACATCGATTAAAAAACTGTAAACAGACTACAAACAAACTCTTTGTTGTCCTTAACCTGTTCGCAAAATAAAAAAAAATTAATATCATCAGTGTCACTTTGATATAAACACATACACTACTAAGATTATATCCACTACGAAGCTTTACCTAAAAAGGCAATCAGAAAGTTTGGACGATAATACCCTTCTGTTATCCCCAGCAACCTCGCTTGGTTAACTAGTTCACTAGTTACTAGCCGGTCCTAAGCCCGGGTAAACAGGGAAGGTTGGGCATAGGGCTAGCAACCCTACCCCGTAAAACAAATCTAACCGCTAAACAAACTTCAAAGCACAAACGATACATAAAAAATAAAAACAAAATTATTCCTCGCTGGAATCGGAGAGGCGAAATGACGCCAGTTGGTGAAAGCCTGCCTTCGGGAAGCCAATTGGCCGATGTCTCTTCTCTCCCTCGATGAAAGCGAAAGTAAATGTGAGGACATAGAATGTCCGCACGATGTTTGAACCCAGTAAGGCAGCTCAGATTGCAAAAGAGATGAGAAGGTATCACATTGAAGTGCTTGGAATTTGCGAAAGCAGATGGAATGGGAGTGGACTCTCCAAACTGTCAACTGGAGAATCAATAATCTACTCCAATATTGTCACCCAGACGACAACCACGAGCACACTGAGTTATGGAGTGGCTATCATGATGTCCCCAACAGCATCGAAGGCACTCATGCAGTGGGAAACAATCTCCTCCAGGATCAGCATCATGACAGCAAGGTTCAACTCAAAAGGAAGGAAGGTCACAATCATACAATGTTATGCACCTACAAATAATGCAGAGCAAGAGAAAAAGGAGGAATTCTACAGACAACTCCAATCAACACTGGACAAGACGTCAGTTGGCGATATCAAAATTCTAATGGGCGATATGAATGCCAAACTGGGAGGGGATAACACAGGAAGAGAACTGACCACGGGCCGAGAAGCGCTCGGTGAAATGATGAACGAGAATGGAGAATTGTTTGCAGAATTCTGTGCATTCAACGGTTTGGTGATTGTAGGCTAGGCATTGTGTTCAAGCACAAGGATATCCACAAAACGACATGGATTTCACTAGACACCAGGTCACACTAAACATCAGATCGACTTTATCTCAATCTCAAGAAAGTGGAGACGCAGTCAGCCTACTTGACACAAGGTCAAGAAGAGGAGCAGATGTAGGTTCAGACCACTATCTAGTGCAAGGAACCTTCAAAATCAGCTGTATTAGGAAGGAAGAAGAAAGAGGATAACGAATGGATCTCGACGGATACATGGAAGCTGATAGAGGAGAGGAGGATGGTGAAGCAGAAGATAAACCAGTGCAAGGATGCTCAACTACCAGAGGAACTGAGTACAATGTTTAAATCACTAGTTAAAGAAGTGAAGAAGAGTGCACAGAAAGACAAAAGACACTTCTACGAAACATTGGCAAGTAAAGCAGAACAGGCTGCAGGTGAGAGAAACAGAGGCCTGACAACATTGTATCAAATAACCAGGTTACTATCTAGGAGGGAGAGATCAACGCAGACGAAACCAATAAAAGATGATGACGGAAATTTAATTACGAAAGAAGAGAAACAAAGGAAACAATGGGCCGACCACTTCAAGAAACTCTTGAATCGACCACCGCTACCACCTGCACTTCGTCCAGAAATACCACCTACAGCCGCTGATCTACAAATGAACATAAATAATCCAACAAAAATGGAAGTCCTGAACGTCATAAAGCTACTGAAATGTGGGGAAGCAGCAGGACCAGATGGGATCCCGCCAGAAGCACTGAGAACAGACGCAGAGACAACAGCGGACATGCTCACAATACACCACTATTGCAGAAGGTGTGGAAGGAAGAGAAGGTACCTGGCCATTGATTGGAAGAAGGGTTACCTTGTCAAACTCCCGAAGAAGGGAGACCTCAGTGTTTGCAAGAACTGGCGCGGAATCATGCCCCACTCCTGTCCACCCAGAGCAAGCAAAATATTAAGCCGCATCATCCTGGAGAGACTAAAGGATGCACTGGATTCAAAACTACGACCGGAACAGGCTGGCTGGATTCAGGAAGTACAAATCATGTGCGGACCAAATTACAACGCTTCGCGTCATCATAGAACAAAGTATAGAATGGCAGTCAACTCCACACTTCAACTTTATCGACTTTGAGAAGGCCTTTGACAGCGTCGACCGAGAGGTAATTTAGAGACTGCTTCATTACTACGGAATACCAAAAACCTTTATCAATCTCATTCAACAACAGCTATATGAAGACGCCACATGACAAATAATTCACAATGCGAAGCTCAGTGATGCTTTTGAAGTGAAGACAAGAGTGAAACAAGGTTGCCTACTATCCCCCATGATAGTCCTGATTGTGGTCGACTCGACTGGATCATGCAACAAACAGTGGGGAGCGAGAAGAGGGGGATACGCTGGCTGGACTGCGAAAAAGAACCTAGAAGATCTGGATTTCGCCAGCGATGACTTGTGTCTGACGTCACACAAACTTCAAGATCTAAAGGCGAAAATTAACAAGTTGGCAGAAGAGGCAGAGAAGACGGGACTTCAAGTGAATATAGAGAAGACAGAAGTGATGAAGATACCGCACCAACAACTCCAACACACTCCAGTCACCATGAACGGGAGAAACTTAAAGGAAGTAACCTCCTTCACCTATCTAGGAAGCACTGTTTCAACTACAGGTGGCGGGACAGACGAGGATGTCAGAGTCAGAATCGGAAAAGCAAGACAGGCGTTCATTAGCCTGAAACAAGTGTGGAGATATTCTGCACTCAGCATGCGGAACAAGATACGGATTTTCAACACCAACGTCAAGTCAGTGCTCTTGTATGGTTCAGAGACTTGGCGCGTCACGAAAGGCATTTCCAATAAACTACAGACATTCATCAACAACTGCTTACGCTCGCTACTGAAGATCAGATGGCCAGAAAGAATAAGCAACAAGGAACTCTGGCAACGAACCAACCAAGAACCTATCACCCAACAAATATGTAGAAGGAAGTGGAGATGGATTGAGCATACACTAAGAAGGCCGACTGGGGACATCATGCGTCAGGCCAGTGCCTCGAGTGGAACCCAGATGGGAAACGACGAGTTGGGCGTCCGAGGAGAGGGTGACATGGAGGAGATCGTGTGAGGAAGAAATGAGAGCTTGTGGGCTGTCGTGGAGCCAGGTTCAAAAGATTTCAGAGAACAGAGGTCACTGGAGACGTGCTACTAAAGCCCTATGTTCCATAAGGAACCCAAGGGACTAATAATAATAATAATAATAATAATAATAATCCCCAGCAGATTACTACTCACCATATACACTTTAAAGTCATGCCCTGAAAGTAAGTGGTTATTGAGCAAAAAAGGTGACAGTACACGTATAAAACTATTGTATAGTGAATACATATGCTATCAATCAAAACAATCTTTTTCTACAAAAAAATGGTATCGTCAAGATCCCAAATAAAATATTATCAATACCTAAAGTTGTTATTCATCATAGACTGACATCAGTTGGAGGAACAAAGGAAACCTGGGAGCACTGGACAGCTGTTTCGTCCCAGGTTTCCTTTGTTCCTCCAACTGATGTCAGTCTACGATGAATAACAACTTGAAATATTTCCAAATCTTCACAACTCCCTCAAAATTCAGTACCTAAAGTATTATTTTGATGAAGTGCTTCGGTGCTGAAACCAATGGATGCTTGTGATTGATCAAAAACCGATCCACCGAAAAGATGACGGCGATTTTCATGACCAACTTGTGAATCTGTGAAAAACAATCATAGGAGGTTCAAAGGGAAAAACGCAATGAAGCAGAGTAAAAGATTATAAAGACAATGTTAGCAATGTGAACAAACAAATGACAGTTAGCAAGACATTTTCTCAAATATCGCTGAAGGAAGGAGAATAAAATCTTGATATACCGCTTGATAGAGTAGAAGTGTGGAAAACAAACTTCCAAGTTCAGTGTTCTGTTTTAATGAGAGATTTGGGGAGGCTAACCAGTCAAGTTTTTTGCAGTAAAACCAAAAATGAAGATATTGGTCCTTCAACTGTTTTCACGAACGAGAATGCTGTTTGAAACCTGAAACGATGAAAAGTAGCAGGAACTGATGGAATGCTACCAGAAGTTTTTAGAAATGGAAGGAGAAAATTATTCAGTAAGGTAGCCGAGAAACGAGGGTGCATCGATTAGATATTCATATTTCGACAGGTTCTGGGACATAGCTATACCTTACCGGCGAGCAGTACTTGCTAAATTTATTGATCTGAAGGCACTACTCAACTCCTTCGACGAAAGTTGTTGTGGCAGTGTTTAGCTGTGAAGAGGGTATCAAGCAAGTATGAAGTTCTAATCAAAACTTTCTACTCGGACTCATGTAATCGTGCAAGGGTTTATGGGGAGTTGTCATATGAAGTGATGACCAACAATGCTCTGTCCGGGATACCCAGTCATCATTCCCGTTTATTTTCGTTATAGACGTACTAGTGGACATAACCATAGGTATCTCCAGCTTCTCGTGGGTTAACCTTCTCCTTGGAAGGGGGCACCCTGGTTTGCTTGGAGTTTTCAGACAACCTTGTTGCGTTAGGTGAAAATACTGACAAAATACAAGGCCTTCTGAACACTTTTAGCAGAAAATTGAGTATGTGGAATGTGAGAGGCTGCTTCAAAAATGTTGCACACTTACTCATAATTTAAGGACAGTAAGTGTTATAAAGTGTGTTTACCACTTCACTTGTTTGGGGAGTTGCATCAGCCCGAATGGGTAGGTTACTGACAAAATCTCGGCTTAGGTACAAAAAGTATGTTTGACATTTGCCAAAAATATGCGACTATTTGTTAGGCAGGGAGTCTATTGCACAGCAGTCCATAATGAGGCTTATTGGCTTAAGCACTCAACCTCCAAATAGTGAGTCCAGGGTTCAAATCTTCCATCACCTACTTCGGCTTGGACAACCGAATAGTAGCATAAGTCCTCACAGTCTAGTACATAAACCCATAGTAAGCTCAGTTACATTTTGTATCATAGTCCGTTCATACTTTTTGTACTGCTGTGAAGTATGGCCATTGAAAGTAGAAGGTAGTGAGAGGTTACAACATTTGACCACAGGTAGTTTCGCAGCATCGTTCGTGGACAACAAAACCACCATGTGAGCAACAGTGAGATTAGGTCGACGGTGCCAGGCACGGAAGACAAGTCAGTCGATGAGACTACAAACCTTCACCAACTGAGGTGGCTTGAAGGTGTGTTGTGGACGCTAGGCCACCGCCTATCTCGACGTGTGATGTTAGTCGACGTAGGATTAGGTGTGAAGAAGGCTCAGTGAGATCAGATCAAAGCGTGGAACCAGCTCACGTAGTTTCTGACTGATAATTTGAGCCATGTAGGGAAGTATAGACTGCTGGGTTGGGGTTGTCAAGAGTGTATGGATCAATGGTTTAAGGCTTTTTGTGATGTAGTTTAAAATCAGTTACAGTGGCGCAGATGTGTACACTCAGTTATTTTCAACGTCCTAAACATTTTGTTAACCGACAATTGCCTATTCCCTCCTCTTTCATACACATTTTCCGTCTTAATATCACTATGTGGCTAACTGAACCAACGGACTTCTGTGCTAGAGTTCTGCATTGATTTACCTGTCTCGGTCTGTTTGATATCTGTAATATAAAGAAATTGTAGACCGGCAGTTAACTGAAGAAAAACGATAGCATGGACAGGTTTAGCAACGAAACTTAAATAAACCTTGTGATAACTTCATTTAAAGTGGTAAGGCATAGAAGTTTATAATATCGGTTTTTTCTTCTTATTTAACATTTGGAAATCAAAAATAAAATTTGATTTAGAGCATAGGGACAGATGATTGCAACTAGTGAGTTCGCGAGAGATGAGTTATCACAGCAACCCGTAGATTGAATGATAAGTAAAGCTTTACTCTAATTCCCTTCTGTTAACTTTTCGCTGATTTTTATCAATGCATCAGATATATTACAAGTACTCTTAATAGAAATGGTTCTACAGGCAGATGCATAGAACAAATTACGTGAAAAGGCGGAATAATGTCAAATGTAATGAAAACGACAACAAAATAACTAGTTCATGCATATAAATTAAAAAGAAAATCAACTTACGAACACTCAACTCCGGTCTTTCACACAGTATTAGAGTAGGATCCACGTCGCATGTTTGTTGAGATGGTTCTTGTGATAATAAAACGGTGTCTTGAGATGATATATGGTTGATATTAGCTGAAATATGAGAAGTGATTTATAAACGCTGAGATAGACTTTGGAATGACACCAGTGCAATAATAAAAGATGAGATAAAGTTGACTGTTAGCTGGAACAGGATATGAATGCTTTCCAGTACGATCTATTTCGGTAGGTGAACGACAATAATAACAAACTATTCTGCTTCCCAGATGAGTCGTCTTACGCATGTCTACGGTAATAAGTTGGTGATATACTAAAATCATACTTTGAAAGTGTAATAGTTGCTTAACCACACTCGTTACATACATATTCTCTTTCCAAATACTAGGTGACTTTTGAAAAGGACAGGGAATAAAATGAAAACCAAATTATTCATTTAAAATAAACGCTTATAAAAACTTTAACTAGGAAGCTTAAGGACATACTTCAGTCGGTATAAAAAATTAAAGGTTTAGTTAAAATTTCCAAAAAATCGCATTCTAGACAAAGTATAAAAAAGTGAATACATACAACTCATTAGCCCGTTAGAGATTTTATCTACGATATAGTGGTCCTCGCTCTAGCTAAGGGCCTATACCCCTATGTATTAGGGTTTATAATACTGTGCAGTTACCCAAAATCATGGTAGGTGTAGTGTGTTTCGGACTTACGACCTATTTGGTAGAGTCAACTGCATGAACCACGGAGTAATGGTTGACTGTCTGGAAACTTCGGGATAATAGAAATCAATCAGTAAAATAGCTAGTTTAAATATGCCTAAAATGACATCATTCTTAATTTATTTGCTCTTGATATGAAATGGATGCTGCTAAGCTTTATTGTTGTTGCGGTTGACCCAGCGTAAGAGGATGATGACAGCATGACAAATACTGGATGCACATGGGTATACTTGATCCTATAACATGCATAAGTGTCTTCTGAACATCATACAACAGTATTTATCCACTGACAAAGAATCACTAGACCTTGTAGTCTTTTTCCATTCCTTACTTGGTCATTCATGTGTTCTCACTTGTGTAGAAGATCAGACAAACCCGAAAAGCTTCTTATGTGTTTGACTTGCATATTGACAATGCCTTCTCAAATCATATCCATCTTTCTATCTATTTTAACACTAATCATTTCCTACGGTAATGAGAAGTCAATCGACTTGAATTAATAACCTTATGTGAGAAATGCAGCTTGAACCAGGTCAGCTGTATGCACCAGGGTAATAACCACACTTTATGTGTAGTAGTATATGATACTACTCAGTTGCTAAGGTCGAAGTAGGTGAAACAGGACTCGAACTCTCGATTTAGTACTCGAAAATCGATTGATTTTGTCAAGGAGCAACAGCTTCAACACGCTTGTGTGAGAGGGAATTACATAGTTACTATCGCTTGAATTAACCGCACCAAACTGAATTTTAAAAACTTATGGAGAAAACGATTATTAGCCAGCGAAGAACACCATGTACATCACAGTTGTATCACATGATTCTTTAAAAAGTCCATATTGATGATTAACTACACGACGATTAAAAACAATACAAAAGAAATTAGTCCCACTTTTAGGTTTGAATCGCTTTAGACGGAATTGAACCAGAACCAACAGCAGTCGGTTTAAGGTGTAGGTGATGATCGAGTACACCAGTTAAATACAAGTTCAAACAAACAAATTTCATCTTACAACTTATCTACTTTAATTGAAGCATTTGAGAGACAGATCGAAATGAAATCAAGTTTTTATACACTAAGAGAGAGAGAGGTTATATGCATAGTTTATATCAGAGTACAGAGCTTAATAATAATGAATATATATTACAAGTCAGTCAAGGCGGTCACAAAATATGAACCAACCTGTGGTGATCTACACACCAGCCAACAAAAGTATCAAAAATAGATGTACTTACTATCCAACAACGCTGAGCTGTCGTCAGCTGACTCCTGAATAACAGACTGTGATCTGGATGCTATGAAAAAACAAAATGGAAACAAAACATATTTAAAGAGCTATTTTAAGACTGAATGATACCAGCGACTAAATTAATTATATGTTTTAAGTTGGTACGCATCATGGAATAAAAATAAATAGGAGAACCGTGAGAGTATTGGGTGGCTGATTCTTCCTGATATGTGCATCCTTAGCGGTGCGCACCCATGAATCTATTAGGGATTGAACCAAGGACTTTCAGGTTCAGCGGCGAACAACTTATCATTGAGCCACTGGGTCGGAATCGAATGGTCCACATTTTTCGAGTTGTGTCAGTTTGCGACATAGACTGACCTTCATCCAATACTTTCGGTGAGTATTTGTCCTCATATTCGACTTGGTTTGCCCTACCGGTCACAACTTCTCAGGTTTTTAGTGTTTCTCCACTTGATATCAGTCCGTGTGGAATACCAACTTGAAAACCTCTAAATTTAATTATATATAACCTAATCAAGTTAATTTGTCTACCGAATATGACAAAATAGAAGAGGTTGTAAAGTTAATTGGTTACTTTGATACGACAATAATTCACACCCAATACTATTGCATCAGTGGACTAACTAAAATGACCACATACTTCGGAACACTGTCCAAATTCAATGGAAAAAATACGGTAACCAGTTACGTTTTTTGGAAAACACGGGTGCTGTGAACACTGACCTTGAGAGATTGCAGAACATCATGAAAACAATTCTGATAATTATCATTAAAGCATTTGCGATTTCAAGTTATTCAGTTTTTACTTCATGGTTATTGTAGACGAAGTCAATTTTCTTCCAAATAGGCATGATCTGTTGTACCTCAGCATTTCGTAGCAGTTGGCGATCGTAAAAGTCCAAACGATCTATACATTAAATCTATACACCTAAGACATTAGTCATTTTTTGCACGACGTTGAACCACAAATCAATTTCAAACAAATAAAGATTCCCATAACATTAATAAAAAGCAACACTCTGAACAAAGAATATTCTTTTCAATAAATTCTCTTCAGGTTCTTCAATTTACCATAAAATGCATTTGCAAAGCGTGAAATCAAGCCATGTTAGGGGCAGACACATTTTCAATATGGGGTAAGATCTAAGGATTGTAAGGAAGTCGATTTTTCTTTTTAAATTCGTCAATATTGGGATGATACATATACAGATGAATGATAAGATAGTGAACAAAAGAATAACGAATAAAAAGGCAAGAGTGGCCTTTAGTTTACTGAAGGCCAAGAGAGAAGTAACGCTTGGACATTTTCTTTCTGAATGCAGAGTCCAGGTTTGATCAGTCTGATTGCAACAGCCTCCATTATGTTGAGCAGGCATTGGTGAGCTACATTTATCATCGTTTTTGGGTACGATGAATTAAATTAAAAGTTTTGTTAGCATCTGTGTGATGCTCTGTGTCTAGTGCGTGCGTTAGGACTGGCATTCTGAGTGAAGGTGGGTATCCGGATAAGTTCGTCAAAGCTAACCTTAACTAAATTGGTCCTGAATGAGAACTGATTACAGTGGATAAGAAGCCTTTTTATGCGCTTACAAATCAAGGGAGACGCTGCAAGTGACATTTTGTCACAGTGCTTAGCTGCAGCAGTCAGTAGAACGTTTTATGTAGGTTGACTTTGCATGTCATTCAGTGGTCAGCCAATACTTATTCCGAAACTAAGGATTTTCCACTTAATTTAAGCTCTTCATCCTGCATATATCAACTTGATTGTTACTGTGGAACTAGTTAGATACGGTGTACGATTAGGTAGGTGTATTTTCCAGATACGAGACCATTTGCAATCTTGGTTCGGAAACAGCGAAATAAAAGTGGTGAAAAGTTCAGTCCTAACGCACGCACTAGACACAGAGCATCACACAGATGCTAACAAAACTTTTAATTTAATTCATCGTACCCAAAAACGATGATAAATGTAGCTCACCAATGCCTGCTCAACATAATGGAGGCTGTTGCAATCAGACTGATCAAACCTGGACTCTGCATTCAGAAAGAAAATGTCCAAGCGTTACTTCTCTCTTGGCCTTCAGTAAACTAAAGGCCACTCTTGCCTTTTTATTCGTTATTCTTTTGTTCACTATCTTATCATTCATCTGTATATGTATCATCCCAATATTGACGAATTTAAAAAGAAAAATCGACTTCCTTACAATCCTTAGATCTTACCCCATATTGAAAATGTGTCTGCCCCTAACATGGCTTGATTTCACGCTTTGCAAATGCATTTTATGGTAAATTGAAGAACCTGAAGAGAATTTATTGAAAAGAATATTCTTTGTTTAGAGTGTTGCTTTGTAACAAGTCAATTTATTTACTTACTGGCAACATTTGTCATTTTACTGGGTATATTACTTATGAGTAATTGACGTTTTATGTGCGCATTTTCTTACTCCTCTTCCGATTGTGTGTTGTTGTTTGGATATTTTCTGTTGTCTGATTGGTCAAAGTTATGCGTTAACATTCGGCTACATTGAACTTATTATTTTCACTATTTGCTAACTGCAACTTGCACGTTTTTCGCAGTTAAATCAGCTCGAATAGAAGTGCATATATGTATGCACTGGCTACTACTAAATATAGATTCCATAATTATTACTAACAGAGAAAACTACGCAGTCTTCTGATTTTACACGACTCTCGGATTCATTTTTCCAGGTAAATCTTAGACCGCTATTTTTACTAAACTTTCACACTTCAAAAGACTGTCTAGTAGATGAACCTACAGTTACTCTGTCTTAGAAACTGGAGTATATGAACGTTTTCGACGACTGCCAAAGTACTTTTGATCAATCTCCACAAGTCTTGCTGCTTTCAATAAGTTTCTTTAAACAAATATTTTGAGCACCTTACACTGCTGGTTACATTTTAAAATGTATAACATAGAACTATATGCTTAAGTGACCATAAAGTTTACGATGATCTTGCAACTTAGAAAGTGCCGAATTTCACAGGATTAGTTGATAGTTATACAGTAACAAAACCTGGGTGGTAGTGTAATACCCATGAAGAAAGTTGGTGTTTAGGCAAACTGACTCACCTGCTTGGTTGTGGCTAGCAGAAGAACCCAGGACGTGTATCCCGTCCTATTTGGAACTCGTCAGCCAGATGAACCTACACCTCAGTGACTGGTGTCCTCATTGCGACTCGGGCTTCGTACGCGCCGCTTCAAACGCCGAGGCGCTATCCACTATGCCACGGAGGGGCGATAGTCACCTCTTACATATCGGGTAGTAGTTATTACTATTTATTGACATATTTGTAATTCTCCGTTGTGCAAGAGGTGGTTACCGTTCTTCCGCGGCATAGTGGATAACACAGCGTTTGAAGAGATGGGTACGAAGCTCGAGTCCTACTGAGAACAGCACTCACTGGGATGTAGATATATCCAGCTGACGAGTCCCGAATAGGACGGGACGCGCGTCCTGGATTCCTCTGCTAGTCACAACCAAACAAATTACCTTAATTAACATTTAGGCAATATCGAAGCACCCGCATAGGAGCACAGACGCCAATCGAGGTTAAACAATTCGATCCAATAAAACAACGGAGAATTACACGTATGTCAATAAACTGACTCATGCTTGGAAGACAGGTCTACTCGACAGAAATTTATATTTCAACAAAGATAAGCAAATTAAAAATGTACAAAATATTACCATAGCATGTCACGTTTGTTAAGCTGGACAACAGACTACTGAGTACAATTATGCTTGATGAAATAGCGACAAGTAAATGTAGAAACAACTTACGCAATTGACTATTCGGCTTTTGAGAGTAGAGTAATTCATAAGGTGTATTATTCCATTGACTGTGTGAAGATGAATCACGTGTGAATCGAGATTTGTTTTCGTCCTAATTTAACCGAAAATACAAAAATAATTATATCAGAAACAGAATAGTGAATTCAACGGATATTTCGGCTACAACAAGTTGATAATTTGAAGGGGATAACAAAGGAAGAGATGACAGTTTAGTCCACTGTAGACTAAAACAGCGGTACCAATCGCAATGTCTCAGCAACAAAGTAAGAAAAATACTTAGAAAATCAAATATTTATTATTAATTTGGCCATCTGAGCAGTGGTTTAGCAGACTTGTATTGACACTGAGTGATGAATGAAGGTGGAACGAAAATTTAGATTACAGCAGGATTCGAACCAGAAATCACGGGGTTTCCGGCCCAGTGATCTATCAACTGAGCTACGAGATCCGACTGCTGACCAGATTTTCATTGCACCTTCAATCATTGCTCAGAGTCAATCAATTATCTCCCTAGTTATTAGATATAGGCATATGCTTGATGCAGCAGAAGTAGTTCATTTGTGAAATCTCTAAAGCAGATTAGATCTTTATCGGTTAGTTGTAGGTATCACTGAACATCAAATATAAAGTAGCTGGCATTTCTGTCTGACTGCCTCCTAAGAATAAGTAGGTGTGTTTCTTTAATTCCACAAGCGAAAGCAGCTTCTGTCATGCGGAAGTTGTGTAGTAAAGTAGGGTGCAGTTTTTAAAGCAATACGGTCTCATCCAAAATGATTTTCAGGAACAGATTACTAATTATAGGTCACATCACAATCATTGGCAATAATGGAATTACCAATAATTTACTCAATTACCGTCAGTCTGATAGAGAGATAAATTAACGTGGAACCTGGTACAGAAGTGCATTAGTTCAAGTTGCCATAATTCAAAGCAAATTTCAGAAGTGGACGGGAAAAGTGATATTAAAGTAGGGAATAAATACGTGTAGTGTACATATTCAAGACTCAAAAGATGACAAGAAGTGTATACACTGGAGCCAATATGACATATCACAAAGAGTATCTAACCATTTATTTGTATTGCCTCAAGGACTCAACCTAGATAACCACACCTTTCTACAGAGGTTTAGATCAGCAGTCAGACTTCATGAACTGATCAGTGTTCATAAAATATAAGTTTTTTTTTTAAAATCAGCAAGTATAAAGTGTATCTGAAGAGAACACATGCTTACTGGTTTACAATTAATATTTTATATGTTACAAAAAGTCAATCATGATAGGAAGAACTTACACCAAGAGTGGTCGCGTCTAAACGCGTAGAGGCTAAAATAGACCGAGGATTCATAGTTCCTATAAAAATCCCAGAAAAAAAAGCGTAACACAAAGTCCACATTTGGATACAAGGTATTAAAAATTAAACCACACCATCTAACGGACGATTTTTACGCAACTCAAAGTCAACTGATTACTTTTTAACTGTTTTTGATTACCTGATTGTCTGCAGGATGTGTAGAGATTAGACTAACACATCTAGGCAATAGTAGAACTAAGTCACAGCGTGTTTGAAATGAAATAATTTCAACATTTTTCACGGAAGTCTGGTCTGAACTTCTGCAGGGAAATAATCAAAATTAAAATATCAACATCCAAATATCCTCGTTAGTCTTACTTATGATTATTTCTCTGGAGCTTGGATCAGACTTCCGTGAGAAATGCTGGGATTATTTCCTTTCAAACACGCTATGACTCACACAAATGCAAACTATATTTACCTTTTACTCGGCACCCAATATTTGTAACACTATTCGACCACTAATCTCAGACCAGGTGAACGCGATGACAAACACTCAATGGTGACATTGGATGTATGTCGCGCTATATCGTGAACTGACAGAAGTTGGGAATATGGACCAATGGACTCTGACCCGTTGACTGAGTGGCAACATGCTGGTCGAGGAGCCTGAAGGTCCTAGGGTTCGATCCCTGGCGAGGTTATGGGTCTGCACTGTTGAGTCCCATACTAAGATATCCAGTGCTTCCAGGTTTCCAATATTTCTCCGATTGATGTCAATCCATAATGAATACCAACTTGGAATCTCAATAAAGTTCTTATCGAAGAAAACTTTAATAAAATGCAATCAATCAATATCACGGTCGAGAGAACAATAAACGGCAAATGTACCGCGAATACGCATCACCCACTGTTGTTGGCAAGCAGTCCTTAGTTGACTGGTGAATGCTTTGCCAATGATTCAAGTATTACTACACTTTTTAGGAAGTGTTAACTCTCCTTTAACTATCACGCTTAATGGAAATACACATAATCTTATGTTGAGATGGATACCCACCGATGACAAAAAATGATGATTGTGCTATATCGCCAATAGATTCCAACCCAGCTAAAGAATGGTGGAGCAATCACAGTGAGACCTAAACGTCTTCTGCTCGACCCCTCGACAGGCCATGGGTGTGTACTGCTGAGAAGTTCGGAAGTAGGACAAAATAGCTGTCCATTACCCCCTGATATTTAGGAGTTCTTTAAGTGCTGCCAGTTCATGGTGAAAACTATTCTGACACTAAAAAGTGTTGGTTTGTAACTACATGTAACAATCTGCCACAGTTTTACTACAGTTAGGCAATATAATTAGAGGATGAAATATCCATTTATTTTCTGTAAAAACACTATTTTATTGAAGGGTAGAATAGATAACAGGATCTAAATGTAATTTTCGTTTGCCGATACATTTGAATCAATGAAAATAATGTGGGAATCATATCAAGAGGGAAACCAAAAACTTAATTATGCATGTTATAATTAAATCAACTGCAATATTTCCGTTGACTAGCCCTGCAAAATGGTGAAACACATACACACTGTGTTCATAGAATAATAGAATCTTGATTTGTTTATGAACAAATATTCACAGAGTTTTAGGAAAATCAAACAATTGTCTAAATTTTTTTAAACCGAAACGGTATATTATGTTATCTGGTGACGCAACCACATTGATACTCTTACGCTACTGAACCTAAACGTCATAGTGATAAACGTTTTGAGTTCCGCGCTATGTGACGTAGGTTCGAATCCCTGATAAAACATGGATTTTACGACAGCAAATTTTGTCAATCAAATCATAACGATCTACAGAATGGAGAGTTATTTCCCACTTGTTGAACCATGTTAGCAGAAAGAAAAAACCGCTTAAATACAACAAAGTATAACTTTGACAACACTTAAAATTTCAGCAAACTTGAAATCGAAATCCCACTGCACTAGACCTTACTAAAAACGAAACACATTACGGTTGCGTGCATGACATAGACTAGTTACAACATGAACAAAATGATAATTAGAAACTTACTATCCAAAATGCTCGAATATTCAGACGCAAAAAGATCCACATCACCTGGACCTAAGCTTCCTTGCTGACGTCTCTGTGGATGACTTAAACTGAAATTACTGCAAGCTATTATAAAATCAAAAAAATTAAACATAGGAGATGAATAAACTTTGAGACGCACAGACAGACAAAAAAAAATCAACGTAGAACCTCGCACACAGGTGCATCAGCTCAAATTGTCATTCTTCCCAGTAGTACACAAGGAATAGGTGGATAGCTGAAGAGTTATATCAAGGTAGATAGTAGTGTTAAACAATAAAAAATCTAAAGATAACGATCAGTATGAATGTTCAAGCTTGAGATGTCAAAGAATGAATAGATCTGCACCACTGTGACCAGTTTTCAGCCATATCACCAAGAATCCTTAACCACTGATTCCTATCGTCTCGGTGACTCCAGCCAGACAGTCTAAATCTCCTCACACGGCTCAGACCAACAATAAAAGATTTTATCGACTAGTGATAGGTCTTGGTCTGGTTACTTTAAACTTTCTTCCAATCTCATCCAACTTCCCCCTAGCAAGGCAAGGTAGGTGGTAGCTTGGCACGCACAACACATGTTTAAGCCATCTCAGCCGATGAAGGTTCAAAACCTCATCAATCGACTTGCCTGTCTTTCCTAGTACCCTTTTCCTGATCTCAATATTGTTAACAGAGATTCCACCGAACCTGGGCAGTGGTGGGAAGATATCTGTGATCCAAACCCTATAACCGATTCATGTCTTCTACTTTTAACAGCCATGTCTCACAGCTTTATCGGAGGACAGAACGAACTGCAGCGCAGTATACTTGTCTTTTGATATATAGTCGGATATCTTGCCAGTTGGCGCCACAGACGATGCAAATTGTCAATTGCCAAACAGGCCTTCTGTATCCAAGCTGAGATTTCGCCAATAACCAGACAGTTTGGGTTGATGCAACTCCCCAACTACGTGAAGCAGTCGATACATTCCACCACTTCATTCCCTTCATCCCCTTAAACTGTTACTTCTTTGTGTGCAGAGTGTTCAGTTTGAGTATGGCAATGAACTATTCCGCAGCCGGCTGATGGCGTGGTTATAAGTGCACCACTAAGACCTGTTCTAGTTAACATTTTCATAATCTATCTTGAATAGACACAATTAAAAGTGAGAGGTCGATAGAACTATACATTACAGCAGATATTTTGTTGCCGATATATAAATCATGCATCAAAGAAGCTTCAGAAAGCACAAAGATGCCTGTCCTAACATCGAATGTATAATGAAATATGAACATAATAACCACTTTAACTTCCCAGAAGAAGAAAAGTGCTAACATTAGAGACTATTGATAGCAAGGATGAGTGAACTGAGTACTACTTGAACTATGAATATCTGGCTTCGATCAGCTTAAAGAGAATTAACAGTTAGCTCAAAAAACGAATGCGAGGAAGGAACTCGATTTCCTTGAAAGATACATCACCGAGAAATGAATTATGAGATATGGTAAAAAGAGGTGGTGAAAACAAATATCCAGCTTACCTAGAATATGTCACAGTGGACGAAATAGAAGTAGGAATCGATAAAAGTAGTAACAGAATGGCTAGGAAAAGATTTTTCTAGGTTATATGATTTCAGAATAAGGAACTAAAAGGTCCAAGAAATACGATGAAATGTCTGTGTTACCTCTAGTAAGGATGATCAATTTGAAAATAATTTGCGATTTGCACACTCCACGTTAACATTTCTTACAGGTGAGTAGTTTATCAACTGTCCAACTGTGGTGTCGACGGGATTTCCGTTAGAAACCACCTAGCCAAGATCACGAGGTGTGATCTGGGACACAATTGTCATGAACTAGCTGAATTTATCCGGGCACACCACTGAGCTCGACTCTAAACGAGCTAAAAGGCCACCCAGTGTCTAGATCACTCAGATCTGGCTGGTAAAAACTACAGGTCCGCCTGAATAGTTTCATACTAATCAAGTTGTTCACTAGTATATTTACTTCCGATAACTATCCAGTCACCCATAACTTAACTCAGTCAATTTGAATACAGATGTAATTGCTATGAAATACAACCATTTCCCGAAAATATGACCTAAAAATATCAGAAATTCAGTTATTGAGGAAAATTTAAATTGATTGCTGATGAGTGCCAACAAGCACGAAATCATGGTCCAGGCTTTTCCTCCCAATTGCCTCCAACTAACATACAAAAATTTAGCTTGGTTATCATCATTTTGAGGTGAGAATGAATAAATTCAGTTTTTTCAATTTTGTTTTGTTCTTAACCACTAGTGAAGGGGTTGAGAGTAAGATTAAAATGTGTTTACAATGTCACTGTTCAAGTGTTCAATATCAAATTACATCGCACACTCAAATCCAAATCACAACAGTAATTGAGTTGGCGACTGGACGAACGTTCGAGTGCGTAAAAAAAAACATAAGAATAGGTCATTGTCGAACAACACACCATGCCCATATAATGAGAAGGAACTTTAAGCTACAGATGTCAAAATAATGATTTAAAAAACCTAAGACTTACAGGAGAAGTTTGCAAATCCTACACCGTCTTCAGGAAGATCTGTGAAATCATCAAATTGTGAACACTGCCTTTGAAGTGAGTAAAATTTGTTAATCTAAACGTAAGAATCAGGTAGAAGGTTATACCACAGAATTATTCAGTCATAGTGAATAAATGATAAAAAGAATAGTGCAGACACGTGACTGAATTCAGATAACCAATAATATATGATGTATCAGTCTTTTTGTGCTTTATCGAACCATTTAACCATACAAGTAACAGGTATACACCAAATGGGAACCCATATAGATAGATATAACTATATTATAGAACCGAATGAAAGACTCAGATACGATGCGCTACGGTTAGCTTAACTATATAAACAGTTAATAAAAAAAAGGTAGAATAATCTGCGGGTGGGATAACTTACATTTTTCTCTGAATCTACAACCTTGAAGTTGGTAGTACTAACTTTATTATAAGAATCTTTTTGGTTCGAATTCACAGGCTGTTTAGCTGTAGAAATCTGTTGAACTTCATCACCACCTAAGGATCCTTCATCAGTTTCAGATTCCTCTGCTTCATCATCAGCAAAGAGACAGGCACGACGATTTGAGGACTTTTTGCTAACCAACACATCATCATCATCCTCGTCTTCTTCCTCATCACCTTCTTCGTTGCTACTTTCTTCTTCATCTTCCTCTTCAGTAGTAGAGGAAGAATCTTCCGACAATGCACTGTCATCAGCATCACCTTCTGACCATTCCTCGTCACTGTTTAACGCTTCCTAAAAAAGAAAGAGAACAAGTCAATCATGGAAGAAAGCACCAAGGTGAAGAATACAGAAATAGGGAATCAAAAGTAGTAGAAAGAGAGAAGCAGCGGATGAAACAATAACGAAACTTGTTAGGATGACGACTAGGATGAAGATAATACTTGGGTACATTTGGTTCAATGACATTGATTCCCTGGCATATTGCTAAGACTCTCCAACCACTGATTTCGGTTGTCACGAATACTCTAAACGGGAAGTCTACATTTCTTTTCACAGTTCAGATTGATAGACAGATTTTATGTGCGTGTGTTAGGTCTTAGTGTAGCTACTTCTAACCCTTTTCCAGCCTAAACTTACTTCAGCTAACAGTAAGCAACGGGGTAGATGGTCACTAAATATGTGTAACACACGTTTCAGCCACCTGAGTAGATGGAAGTCCACAACATCATCTTATCTCTTTTACGCAGGACTCCATGTTTATTTTCTGTACTACTAAGAAAGTAGTTTCGCAGTACACAGTCTATGCTATGAAGGCAACAGTGACTGAGTTCTTTAAGTTGTTTCATATCCTCTACAACAGAGCAGACTGAGTTTCTGCGCAGTACACTCAGCTCCTGATAGAGAATCAGATATGACATCAGCACCACTGATGGTATGAGTTGGCGAAAATCAATAGATCCTTTTGTATCTTCACAGGGATTTCGTCACTGAATTCACTAGAGCTGATTCAACTTGCTAGGTAGGTGAAGTCATCAACGACATCAACTAACTGGGTTGTGTCAGGGTCCCTGATCTCAATGCTTTAGTCGAGAACCTTTCATTGCGCTTCTAGACTTCATTAGCACTAACTAATATGAAGTGAGTCATAAGAACTTCTCTGTGAGTGATTCGGAAGCCTGCACTGACGAGCTAGTATGTGATTGATAGTTCCTTCGATTATTTTGTCACCGACTACATAAATGTTCCTAATGCCAGTTCCTCTATCTAACCTCTGATCCCACAGTTATTCATCATTTGTCTTGTTAGTTGATAAATTGGGTCTATGCTCTTTTGTTTGCGCTCCGCCAAGTCACTACCCACTGTCAGAACAGGTATTGAAAAAGACCAGTTCTGAAGCAACAATCAGCATCTCATACACCAAGAAATCCCAAAAGTTCTCAAATTCTCACTCAACATGTTCTCACGAACTCGGTATCCTACCGTTTTTCCCCAGAAGGATTACATAATCTTGACCTACTAAAGAGTTTCCTGCGATGACATCGATCACTGTTAAGTTAGACGAGAAGATAGAGACTTCCATAAGCCCATCGATGACAAAGCCAAATAACAAAAAGACAGTAAGTGTCCTTGACGGATACCACTTGAAGTAAACAACCCACGTGAAACCTCATTGTAGACTACAACAAAATTACGGGTTTTAGAGGACGCAGCCTTCAACATAATGATGTGGCTACTCGGTCCCCATTTCAGCGACGATCACTGCCATAAGATCTCAGGGTCGATGTAGTCAAATGCTGCCTTCCAGTAATGAAACAAAGCTACTGGTCAAGCGCCAGTAAGTTTATCTTTTTTTCAGATCCGGTGGAGGGTGAATATTCGGTCAATACACCCATGGTAAGGTTTGAAACCTGTCTGGTTTTCTCGCGTTTACTATTTCTCAGCTTCAGTTAGGCATTTTATGATTAGAGAACCTAGGATCCTAAATACAGTGTTCATCACATTGATTCCTCTGTGGCTATTAAAAGAGGATTTCTTTCGTTTGCTAAAGGCTGGGATTGAGGTCTAAGAGAGGCCATATCTAATTCCCATACGCTAGCTAAGTCTAGCCAATAATCCTCTAACACCGATCTTAAATACCTGTGGTACTGACCCGTCTGACTATGATGCCCCTCCTCGTTTCACGTCACCTACAGCTTTATCGACTTCTGTAAGTATTGGAGGTCCCATCTCAATATTCCATTTAAAGTTCAACTGGATAGCAGGCAATGCAAAGGTAGCTGGAGGCCAGCTGAACACTTCTTCGGAGTTCCCCACATATTGCTTTATTCGTTTCTTCTGCGAGCAGACAAATCCTTCTCCGCTCTTGCTAACCACAGACGTTTTAGCCCGTTTCCGTGATAAGTCTAAATAACAGTATACTGTTACTTATCACTGATGCCTTTTTCATCCTTAAGCCTTCGCTGCCCACCACTACTCACGATCATTGTGTAAACTCCTAGTCAGTTTATATTTCAGTCGCTTCCGCTCTTCACTGTGCTCGAAGTCTGCAGAGACGTGTTAGCGTGCGTTCGTTTATTCGGAAACTGCTGAGATCCACTGACTACTTTCAATACTTTTCTAAGGGTCAGTTAAGATCCTGCAGTTGCAATTTTTCTACGTCTATAATGATATAGACGCACGTGTTCGGGCCATTGCATGATCGCTGGTCAAACAACTGTCCTAGAAGTAGCGGCAATCTTTTATCGATCCCGTCTGGCAATAACTGATACCAATATGGTTTGTATCTTGCATCTAGCGCTCAGAATACAGCAGCCGCATACAAACGTTACCAGGAAATTAGAAAAAGAAAAAAAACGAAACTTTTATACCCATAAACCTAATTCATTGGGAGTGTTCACAAGTGAAGGAAGAAAACGGGATTTTTACTGTTTAACTTTCAATAGTGCAATCAGTGTTTTTCCCTCTAACTAACAGCATCCCTAGTTTAAAGGTTCAGAAAAAATACTGGAAAGTAATATAATGGATCCACTGTAGTTCATAAATAAGATCACCATACAGTTAAATAGTACTATTCGTTACGTAAATTAATAATACTGTTTCACTGTGTGATATATATGACAAAAGAACTAAAACGGAATTACACTCTACTAGTGCTCAAATTCTACTCCAGTTATAATAATACAGCATACACAGTTAATAAATCAACAGCCGAACAAACCTCAGAGTTTTCAGTAGGTGGCCTTTTTGAACCGCAAATACCCTCTTCTTTTAATCGCATTTCATACTGCTGTAGTCTTTTTTGACGCATCTTTTCTTCAAGATTCTTTCGATGTTCCAACCACTGTTTCCTACTGACTGACAAAGTTGTTGAAGAGCTCTTGGAAGACTGATGGGTGACAGTTTCTACTTGAAGCTCTTCTCTTTCACTGTCATTGCTTTGAACCTTGAAGTAGAAAAATACAATATATGAAATGAGAAGTTTTGGCGAAAGGCATGAAAATAAATGTCAGGAAACGCAGTTATTCCCAAAATCCATATTCTCAGTTATCATTCTTTAAGTTCACTACAAAAAAATTCTAAAAAAACAAACACTTTTAATGTATTATTCTCGAAGCAGTAAGTTTCTTGAAAGTTCTTTCCCAGAAATCAAACTGGGATTCCAAGAATTCTGACTGCTGGTTATCATATCTTAAAAATCCTTCAACACATTATTGCAGGAGTATATAGATAGTAAAATGGAACAAAACTGGTTACACTGGGAAACAAAACAGTATGCGGTGTAGATAACCGCTACGCAGTAATACCATGTACTATGTTGATAATGTCCTTCTGAACTAAGAAATATAAATGAAATCGTTTGAATATGCAACACAGTGAACATGTGCAGGGTTTATGCGATAGGCTGAGTCAAATTTATTGAGAACTGACAATACGTTGTAGTTGAATAGGTGTAAAGCATGTAAAACTTATTCTCTAGAAAGAATATTTCATTGTAGTAGTTCCGGATCCTCTAATTATCAGAATTCATTATGATCGATTGGTTCCCCTATGTTCAAGCAATAGTCATAGACATTTGTTTGTAATAAACATTTACGCATAAAGATAATTTTTTAGTCTTCGTAGTATTTCGAGCAAAACTACTGCCCACTGGAATGTGAATCTCCCTGATTGCACTTAACTGCGGAGCTGTAGCCAATTAGCTTACATACACGACTTCTGACCGATGGATTGCAAGGTCGAAACTCACTTCATTTACAGAATTCATTCTTGGTAGCCAAGTAGGGTTATTAGCCCCCAAAGTAACATATAAGTCCTCAAAACAGATGCATGAACATGATTAGAATGTTGGGTTGTATTAATTAATTCAATTAATTGTGAAACATGATCAGTTAATCCGAAGTATGAACCGTTAACTCTTGTTATTACGGAAGCTGGAGACGATAAGAACGTTTAATGATACGATTACCGACACTCATCGTTTTACTTAAAAGTGATGGAAAGATAGGCTAACCAGATGTATACTTCCAATCTATATTTTGACATATAAAAAACTATACGGCTTGTACCTTTGTGATGATTGAATACTTAATAGGTCCATGAACAACAGCTTTTTCATCAGGTACTGAAAGATGCTTCCTTAAACGAGCCAATAATTGATCAGCAGGTGTTACACTAGGCTTTGAAACAGTAACCGATTCACCTATGCATTAAATAAAACAAGCAACATTTACAATTGGGTTAACTAAACAAATTATAGTGTTATTTGTAAATTTGCATATTCAGTATTAAACAGGTTTTTAAAAACGTACATGAATACTCTGTTACTCTTCCGGAATAATTTTGTGTTTTGTACTAAACGCACATTCAAAACCCATTGTTCGAAAAGTATAGTTGAGATATTACTTTTCAAGAGTAAAATACCATAGAGCATAACTAGAGTGTAAATGGATTCACGGATGAATGTATTTTCAGGCAAGATTGTCTTGTGATGTAAGATATTATATTTTACGATAAATAACACCATACATATCACTTATGAATACGATTTACATGGGTTTATAAACACGTTGGTCTCATGAGTATTTACAGCATAAAAATTGCCACTCTGCTAAGTATTAATAAAAAGATTAGTCGATAAAAAAAACCAGTCAAGAGAGGTTTAATAAAAAAATTCTGAAAACCCTTCTATACCTAAATCGATGAACATCTCTTCATTATTATCACTTATAGAATGCCTTGAGATCAGAGAAGGCAGTAAACTGGCCAATTTATTCGATTCATTTTTAAGAGTGAGTGATGACCTTACATCAGATGACGACGCTGTTGGTTCAGAAATGGTGTGATCAATGTCAACAGGTTGGAGAGGATTATCAACCGAACAACCTTGTAAAATGAGTGGTTTGATGTCTAAATTGTCCTCCTCTGTGTCACCTTGAGTAGGTTGTTCCGCAGTTGCTTGAAGTTTGTTGCAACAATCTGGAAGTGACCTGAGTCAAAGAAAACAAAGAATAAAAACACAAGTCCAAATCATCTGGCAAAAGTACTAAGTTTGGTAACATAGCAACAAGTGCATACAATCATACTTGACAACTAAGGGTTTAAAAACTTGGTGAACCGTGGAAATGGGAGAATACTTCTACGAAATTGATAGAAATGTTCTTTTTCGGCATAGTGAGGCTTATACATCTTTTTTTTCACTTCCAAAATCCCGTGATGAAATAAAGAAAAAACAAGGTGTTCTTTAGGGTCTAACTCTCTAGCATGATACAGGTTTATATCCTGTTGTGGGAAGAACCATCATACCATCAAGTCGTTCAAATCTACACAGGAATTGTGGCTAATTGGACTAAGTGCTTGGCTTTCAAGTAATGACTGATAGATTCGAAATCTCCTCCAGTTACTTCAACTAGGACAACCAGATATTATCATAAGCCCTCACAAAAAGTAGTGGATTACAGCCCAGATAAGTTGCATTAAAAGTATCAAACTTTAGTTGGTTGACTCAGCGTAGAAACTTGCAAAATGATGCACTAATCGAAACCATCATGAAACAAAAATGAGAAAGACGTTAAACGTGACATGAATGAAGCAGGTATATATAAGAAAGGAGAACAAAAGAATGAATTCCGAATTCGTATAGTTGGATAAAGAAATAATGAATGAATTCGTGCCAGTAGGATCAAATTTGACTACGCCTATTGAAGTCCCCAATCAGAAAGTTTACATTGCCAAAAGAATTCAGGTCAAAATGCAATAGGACTGTAAAACATTGCCGTAACTTAATTTAGTCACCCTCAGACTCTCACTATTAACTCTTTAAGAATTATCAAAACCTCGTCTAGTTTACTAGTTACTAGCCGGTCCTAAACCAGGATAAACAGGGAAGGTTGACCATAGGGCTGGCAACCCTACACCGTAAAACCAATCCAATTGCTAAAGAAACTTCAATGCACAAAAAAATATAAAAAATAAAAACAAACTTATTCTCCACTGGAATTGGCCAGACGAAATGACGCCGGTTGGTGAAAACCTTCGAGAAGCCAATTGGCCGATGTGTCTTCTCTCGATGAAAGCAAAAGTAAGGATAGGGACAGGGAATGTCCACACAATGTTTGAACCTAGGAAGGCTGCCCAGATTGCAAGAGAAATGCGAAGATATAGCATAGAAGTGCTAGGAATCTGCGAAAGCGGGTGGAATAGAAGTGGACTCTCTCAACTGTCAAACGGCGAGTCAATGATCTACTCCGATATTGTCATCCAGACGACAACCACGAGCACCCTGAGTTTTCGAGTGGCAATCATGGTGTCTTCAAGAGCATCAAAGGCTTTCATGCAGTGTGAACCAATCTCCTGCAGCATCCGGATCATGACAACAAGATTCAACTCAAAACGAAGGAAAGTCACAATCATTCAATGCTACGCTATGCACATACCAATAATGCAGATCAAGAGAAGAAGGAAAAATTCCACCGACAACTCCAGTTGGCAACATCAAAATCCTAATGGGTGGGGTGACATGAATGCCAAACTGGGAGCAGACAACATAGGAAGAGAACCAATCATAGGTCGAGAAGCGCTTGGTGAAATGAACGAGAATGGAGAATTGTTTGCAGAATTCTGTGCATTCAACGATTTGTGATTAGAGGCACTGTGTTCAAGCACAAGGATATCCACAAAGTGACATGGATTTCATCAGACACCAGGACACACTAAAGATCAGATCGACTTTATCTCAATCTCAAGGAAGTGTAGATGCAGCCTACTGGACACAAGATCACGAAGAGGAGCAGATGCAGGTTCACACCATTCACTATCTAGTGCAAGGAACCTTCAAAATTAAGTTGAAAGCCTTCACAAAGAAGCTGGTGATGATAGACCACAGCCAAAGTTTAACACCCAGAACAGAAACTGAAGGACGAAACTCCAAACAACATCTTCACGACAATCTTCAGGACGAAATGGAAAACATTAAGCAACAGCCCTGAAGAAACCTGGGTGGAAGAACACTGGAACTCTTTGAAAGGGATGTGAAAGGAAACCTGCATAACCGTACTAGGAAGGAAGAGGAAAAAGGTCAACGAATGGATCTCGACGGACACATGGAAGCTGATAGAGAAGGGAGAGGAAGATGGTGAAGCAGAAGAAGAACCAGTGCAGTGCAGGGATCAACAAAGAAAAGAGGGACTGAACACAACCTATAAATTTCTACACTGGACAAAGAAGTGAGGAAGAGTGGGCGCAAAGACAAAAGACACTTCTACGAAATACTTGCAAGTGAAGCGGAACAGCCTGCTGGTAGGAGAGACTTGACAACACTATATCAAATGACCAGGTTACTATCTGGATGGGAAGAGATCAACACAGATGAAACCAATGGAAGATAGTGAAGGAAGCCCAGTTATCAAAGAGGAGGGACGAAGAAAATGATTGGTTGGCCACTTCAAAAAACTCTCGAATCGACCACCACTACCACCACCACCACCACCACTGCAACTCGTCCAGAAATACCACCAGCAGCCCAGTCACAGAATCACCAGTGAACACAAACCCTCCGACAAAAGCAGAAGTGAGGTCCTGAACGCCATAAATCCAGGGAAGCAGCGGGACCAGATGGAATTTCACCAGAAGTACTGAAAACAGACGCAGAGACAATAGCAGACATGTTCACACCACTACTGCAGAAGGTTTGGAAGGAAGGTAAGGTACTTAATACCTTGTCAAACACTCATTGAAGGGAGACCTAAGTCTTTGCAAGAACTGATGAGGAATCATGCTTCATTCCACACCAAGCAAAATATTATGCCGTATCATCCTGGAGAGACTGAAAAATACGCTGCATTCAGAATTACAACCGGAACAGGTTGGCTGGATTCAGGAAAAACAGATCATGTGCGGGTCAAATCGCAACGCAACGCTACGCATCATCATAGAACAGAGCGTAGAATGATAGTCAACTATATACCTCAACTTCATCGACTTTGAAAAGCCCTTCATTCGATAGCGTCGACTGAGAAGTAATTTGGCAGCTGCTGCTTCAACACCACACTACGGTTTTAGTGCCACAAACCTTTATCAACCTCATTCAACAGCAGCTATATGCTATATGATGCTACATGCCAAGTGATTCACAGTGGAAAGCAGCTCAGTGATGCCTTTGAAGTGAAGACAGGAAGGAGTGAGACAAGGTTGCATACTATCACCGATGATCTTCCTTATTGTGGTGCACTGAGCTGGGCTGGACCATGCAACAAACTATGGGCATACGCTGGCCGGACCGATGAAAAGACCTTTGAAGATTTGGATTTCGCCGACGGTGATTTATGTCTAATGTGTCGTCGCACAAACTCGAAGATGTACAGGTGAAAACCAACAAGTTAGCGAAAGAAACAGAGGACACAGGACTTTAGGTGAACGTAGAGAAGTCAGAGGTGAAGATGCCCAACAACAACAACAACAGCAATACACACCAATGACCATCAACGAGAGAAACCTAAAGGAAGTAGTCTCTTTCACCTACCCAGGCAGCATCGTTTCAACTACAGGCGGCGGCGGCGGTACAGATGAGGATGTAAAAGCCAGGATCGGAAAAGCAAGATAGGCCTTCATTAATCTGAAGTCAGTATCGAAATCTACTGCACTCAACATTTAGCGTGATCAAGATCCGGATTTCCAACACTAATATCAGTCAAGTAAGTCAGTGCTTCAATGTGATGGTTTAGCGACTTGGCGTGTTGCGACAAGCATTTCCAACAAACTACAGACGTACATCAATAGTTGCCTACGCTCGATATTGAAGATCAGATGCCCAGAATGAATAAGCAACAAGGAACTGTGACAACGAACCAACCAAGAACCCATCGCCCAATAAATATGCAGAAGTTAGTAGAGATGGATTAGATTGAACGTACACTGAGAAGACGGTCTGGGGACATAACGTGCCAGGCTAGGCCCTCGAGTGGAACCTTAATGTGAAACGACGAGTTGGGGTCCGAGCTGAGGGTGACATGTAGGAAATCTTGTGAAGAATAAACAAACGCTTCTAGGTAGTCGTGGAGTCAGGTTGGAATGACTACAGAGAAGAGAGTGAAATAGCGACGTGCTACTGAGGCCCTATGTTTCACGAGGAACCCAGCGGACAAATAATAATAATAATAATAATAAAAGAATTATCAAAATTTTCTCCCTCGCTCAAACCTCAAAGTCATGTTGGATCTCACATCGATCATACACGGTTACTGTTTTGCTGAATAGCAGACATTGGCTGAAGCATGTAATGGAATAAACATCAGAGTGGTCAGATCAGTTTGATAACAAGAGTTTATGAAGTCACTGACTATATATTCAAGTTGCAAAGAAAAATGTGTACTTCTTTTGGTTGGAGTTTGTAAAATAGCCAAACAGGTGGTAAGAAATGTCGAGAGACATGAACTGCGTCATTTTCACAGTGAACTAATGTGCCAGTTCACATTATTGTGTTTCATATACTGGACATACTATCAAAGATATATTTGTCCTTCAAAAGCTAATCGCTTTTTTAATTCTTCCTCAATGCTCTCCTTGTATAGCAGAGTTTTACTGTACTGTACTGTTTCGCAATGCAAGAAACTAATGAATATAACTCGTGCGCCAAGTACCACTTTGTTCCGACAAATTAGTAAAATATAACACTAAAAGCCGTAAGTAGTTACACATCATCTACACAAATCAGAATGTAATGGCAGCCAAATTTAAACACTATATGGTATGGGTATATGTAACCAAAGAGGTATCCAAGAAAATAGATTCATCGATTCATTTCATGCACTCAGCATCGGAAGCAGGATGAATTTTCTCATGCTCACTATTGCGACAGAAGTTTTCAACATAAAAACACATGTAGAAAACATTGCAGCCACATCACTACTTAAGTTAAATTATTGCAAATAATCAGAATTACGAATCTTGGCGTAAAGAAGTTGAATTTTGACGATTGGATGTGAGGTTAAGGTATTTATCAAACCTAAAGTGCATGTTCATTGACTTTCGACTGATTAATTTCATATCAAAATCTCTATGATAACTGACTGATACGACTCTTCAAATGCTCAAATCGAAATACATTTAGCAACCATACGAACTATTTTGCAGTAGATAATGAGCCACACTTATTGTGTAAGGGCTACTGATACTATGGGACTACATGGAGCTTGGTCCGAACCCGAGACTCATGGGTTGGGAGTCGAATGTCTGGACCAATGAGTCACAGCTCCAGTCCACTTCAAATGCTACATCCATTTTTTTAGGATATTCATATAAGCTGCAAAGCTGAACGGGGGAATCAACGACATATACCTTTCTGTCTGGTAATAAAACAATTAAAAACACTGAAAAAATATAAATGTAAGTGTAAATGCTGAGCACGACTTACGAATTCTGAGATAGAGATTCACAATTCTTAGTGCCACTCAACGCTCCGCCTTTTAAAGACTGACGAAATTCACTGAAGCATTTAAATTGTTTAGGTCTGTGGATTGGCAACTGCATGTCAACTTCTAAAGCGAGGTAAACGAAAATCATTTTGAAGAAACATGATCAACCAACCTCGTATAAGACGTTGTGATTCACTGTGAATCTGAAGTCTTTCTTTCTCCAAATCAGATGGTTTACAATGACCCAAATCATGTTTACTGGCTTTACTAATTCGTACAGTATTTTCGATTTTTTTTTCGCTGCACCCTAAAAAAACAATCGGATTGTTTCAAGGTAGTACTTACAGAACTAAATGTCCAACGACCAACTTTTTCGCTTATCTCTTCAGTATTCTCTTCATTCGTATATGGTTGATTACTGTCTTCAGATTGGTGTACTTGATTTAAAGATGGAGACTCAACTTCATAATCACATTCATCACTTGATTCACTATCTATTAAATCAAGGGGTAAGATCTAGAATAAGAGAAAAGTTAGGTCATTTAGTAAGTTCCGTGAAATGGAAAAGTATTCTTTTTAAAACGTATAACCTGTAGACAGTATAACTCCATATCGGTCAAACTCAACACTTATATTTGTCACGTGCGACATAAATTATTTTTCGAAAAAAAAGTGCCTTTCACATAATTGTAATTTATTTCGATTACAATCCTTCCTTTTATTCACTTTTTTCGGTAAGATGATCATTTACTTTGAGAGCTTGTGGGGATTTAGTGATTTTTCAAGTTGGTATTCATCATGGACTGACGTAAGTTGTAAGAACATTGGAAACCTGGGAGCACCAAACAGCTGTTTCGCCCTAGTATGGGACTCCTCAGCAATGAGCACCCTTGACCCTGCTAGGGGTCGAGCTCGGGATCTTCAGGTGCCGTGGTTACCACGTTACCTTTAAGCCACTGCGTCAGAATCCGACTGTCTATATGTCCAACTTCTGTCAGTTCATGACATAGCACGACCATCATTCAACGTTGTCGTTGAGTATTTATCGTCACGGCCACCAGGTTTGCTCCACTGGTCACGACTTCTCATCGGAACTTCGGGAATACCTCTAGAGCCTAATCACCAATGAGCACTAGATCCCCAGATTTCTAGCGGAGTCAAAGGTACGCACTGCTGAGGAAACCCATACTAGGACGAAAAAGCTGTCCAGTGCTCCCAAGTTTTCAATGTTCTGCCAAATGTCAGTACATGATGGATAATTCAACTACCAAAATCTGGAGTTCTCAGTGAGACTTTTGTTATTTATCAACAAAAGGATACCAGTTCTCTTTAAGACTTCAGTATGTAGCTACCAACAGAACGCTACAAAAAATACATAGGTCCACATTACCATAATTTGTAACAGCCCATCTCACACATAAATCACAAATGTAAAAGGATGACAAAAAAGAACAAATAAACGGTGAATAGTAAGAAGTTAAGGAAATCGAAGAAGATTAGGAGAAAATTAAGTTGCAATAAAGCAATCCCTATGAGCGACATCAATCACTCACAACATGATCTTACCCAGATATATCCAGAGTGCAAAGGAAAGGAGGATTTATCAAATGCCTAAACAAAAATTTTTCCCCTCAGTTTCAGAGTCTACTTAAACACCACACAACGCAAATCCGAAAACAAATAAAGCTGTACACCTGCGCAATCATTTTCCTCTCCTACAGTAAATAAAATATGAAAGAGAGACCAGTTGAAAGAATTTCCGGCTGAAAAGAGTTAGAGGAGGTGAGATTCAAACTTATCATTAGTCAGTTCACGAAGTGTTCATCAGCCGACCTGAATCACGCAGAGAAATGTAGACATCCAAATTGAAGTAATCGCGAAAACAGAAACCAGAGGCTTCAGTTTCCACGAAAAAAAAATGGGCGACAATCGCAATGGCGCAGATGTATCCAATCGCTATATATTCATTCTCATCATCACAAAGAATATCATTATTATCGCATTACTTAACGCTAAAAACGCGACCTGACACCACCTAAAACAACAATAACACTCAAGTCCCGTTCCGAATTCACCCTCACAAGTAGAAAAAATAAACACTTCAGCAACAATAACAGCCACAAAATGGATATCAGAACACAAATTACTCAAAAACACATGATATTTAGTGCAAGACACACGAAATAAACAGCGACAACTATGTAAAAAAACTACTCGGAATTCTCATCTAAACAGGATTACATCGTTTCATGAATTGATCAGAAAGTCGTCGGGTAAGAAACTGATTCTCCTACATCTTCTACAAAGTCGTTGAACAACAATAACGACTATGATAATTCTGGGCACACACAACTGCTTGTTTAAATCGCATATCACATTCCTCCTGACACTTTTAGACTGCTACGACGTTTTTTATAATAATTATTATTATTACTCACGGAATAGTAATTCATTCAACGTTGCATCAAACACGCAATACTCACTACTGGGATCTATCTAAATAATAATCCACTTAGTGAAACACCTTTCCCAAAGTTTTACAATTAACTGAATCCTCAGGTCAAAGATTGAGACCGGTTGAGAGTTTAAGTGAGAATCCGTGTTTATTACTCGAAGAATATTCGACCAACAAGTTGCTGAGAGAAACCTAGAAGTTTCCTGCTTTACTCAGGTGATTTGCTTTCCAGTTACGGTTCGGCACCAAGCAACTGTATATCCTGGCATTTTAGAAACATCATTCAGACTAGTTACTCTACAGTTATGCCATACAGATTCTTGTCCTCTTGTAAACTCGAATGGTCAATGATTGACACTCGTCTTTAGAAGCTATTGCAAGACGCATACACTTGTCTTTTGTTATCGGTTTCACCGTGCATATTACGAAGATAACCAGGTGATTAGCTCAGCAGCTGCTAAACTAAATACTGGTAAACATGAAAGTCTATCAACCTAAAACCAAATGTAGTCAAACAATGCAACTACACCTAGTCGATATCAGAATTCAATTTAATCCAATAATGATCAATTCGCTAAGATGGACACCAAATAGCTTTTCGGTGTTTTAGTCTAGAACATCTTCACCTGAAATACCTGAATAAATATACACAAAATATGTCCTATAAGAACAAGGTTAGAGAAACATAAGTGAATCCTAAATTAGTAAGACAGTTGACTTACATGAGATGAATTTTCCACGACTAATCCAAAAACAGGTTCTCTTGAATCACAAGCCTCTATCTCCGAAACATTGTCCTCTACGGGTCGAGGTGAATCACATGAATTCTCAACCTTGATAAGTAGAAAATAATTATTGTCAACGCTGAGATACACTAGAAGCTAACGAAAAGTTGGTCTTGAAACATGACCAGTTTTGAAGTGACATATAATGTTTCAGAGACGTAAAACAAAGTGTAAACTTCCTTACATATATGACTCGGAATTCTCATCTAAACAGGATTACATCGTTTCATGAATTGATCAGAAAGTCGTCGGGTAAGAAACTGATTCTCCTACATCTTCTACAAAGTCGTTGAACAACAATAACGACTATGATAATTCTGGGCACACACAACTGCTTGTTTAAATCGCATATCACATTCCTCCTGACACTTTTAGACTGCTACGACGTTTTTTATAATAATTATTATTATTACTCACGGAATAGTAATTCATTCAACGTTGCATCAAACACGCAATACTCACTACTGGGATCTATCTAAATAATAATCCACTTAGTGAAACACCTTTCCCAAAGTTTTACAATTAACTGAATCCTCAGGTCAAAGATTGAGACCGGTTGAGAGTTTAAGTGAGAATTCGTGTTTATTACTCGAAGAATATTCGACCAACAAGTTGCTGAGAGAAACCTAGAAGTTTCCTGCTTTACTCAGGTGATTTGCTTTCCAGTTACGGTTCGGCACCAAGCAACTGTATATCCTGGCATTTTAGAAACATCATTCAGACTAGTTACTCTACAGTTATGCCATACAGATTCTTGTCCTCTTGTAAACTCGAATGGTCAATGATTGACACTCGTCTTTAGAAGCTATTGCAAGACGCATACACTTGTCTTTTGTTATCGGTTTCACCGTGCATATTACGAAGATAACCAGGTGATTAGCTCAGCAGCTGCTAAACTAAATACTGGTAAACATGAAAGTCTATCAACCTAAAACCAAATGTAGTCAAACAATGCAACTACACCTAGTCGATATCAGAATTCAATTTAATCCAATAATGATCAATTCGCTAAGATGGACACCAAATAGCTTTTCGGTGTTTTAGTCTAGAACATCTTCACCTGAAATACCTGAATAAATATACACAAAATATGTCCTATAAGAACAAGGTTAGAGAAACATAAGTGAATCCTAAATTAGTAAGACAGTTGACTTACATGAGATGAATTTTCCACGACTAATCCAAAAACAGGTTCTCTTGAATCACAAGCCTCTATCTCCGAAACATTGTCCTCTACGGGTCGAGGTGAATCACATGAATTCTCAACCTTGATAAGTAGAAAATAATTATTGTCAACGCTGAGATACACTAGAAGCTAACGAAAAGTTGGTCTTGAAACATGACCAGTTTTGAAGTGACATATAATGTTTCAGAGACGTAAAACAAAGTGTAAACTTCCTTACATATATGACTCGGAATTCTCATCTAAACAGGATTACATCGTTTCATGAGTTGATCAGAAAGTCGTCGGGTAAGAAACTGATTCTCCTACATCTTCTACAAAGTCGTTGAACAACAATAACGACTATGATAATTCTGGGCACACACAACTGCTTGTTTAAATCGCATATCACATTCCTCCTGACACTTTTAGACTGCTACGACGTTTTTTATAATAATTATTATTATTACTCACGGAATAGTAATTCATTCAACGTTGCATCAAACACGCAATACTCACTACTGGGATCTATCTAAATAATAATCCACTTAGTGAAACACCTTTCCCAAAGTTTTACAATTAACTGAATCCTCAGGTCAAAGATTGAGACCGGTTGAGAGTTTAAGTGAGAATTCGTGTTTATTACTCGAAGAATATTCGACCAACAAGTTGCTGAGAGAAACCTAGAAGTTTCCTGCTTTACTCAGGTGATTTGCTTTCCAGTTACGGTTCGGCACCAAGCAACTGTATATCCTGGCATTTTAGAAACATCATTCAGACTAGTTACTCTACAGTTATGCCATACAGATTCTTGTCCTCTTGTAAACTCGAATGGTCAATGATTGACACTCGTCTTTAGAAGCTATTGCAAGACGCATACACTTGTCTTTTGTTATCGGTTTCACCGTGCATATTACGAAGATAACCAGGTGATTAGCTCAGCAGCTGCTAAACTAAATACTGGTAAACATGAAAGTCTATCAACCTAAAACCAAATGTAGTCAAACAATGCAACTACACCTAGTCGATATCAGAATTCAATTTAATCCAATAATGATCAATTCGCTAAGATGGACACCAAATAGCTTTTCGGTGTTTTAGTCTAGAACATCTTCACCTGAAATACCTGAATAAATATACACAAAATATGTCCTATAAGAACAAGGTTAGAGAAACATAAGTGAATCCTAAATTAGTAAGACAGTTGACTTACATGAGATGAATTTTCCACGACTAATCCAAAAACAGGTTCTCTTGAATCACAAGCCTCTATCTCCGAAACATTGTCCTCTACGGGTCGAGGTGAATCACATGAATTCTCAACCTTGATAAGTAGAAAATAATTATTGTCAACGCTGAGATACACTAGAAGCTAACGAAAAGTTGGTCTTGAAACATGACCAGTTTTGAAGTGACATATAATGTTTCAGAGACGTAAAACAAAGTGTAAACTTCCTTACATATATGACTCGGAATTCTCATCTAAACAGGATTACATCGTTTCATGAATTGATCAGAAAGTCGTCGGGTAAGAAACTGATTCTCCTACATCTTCTACAAAGTCGTTGAACAACAATAACGACTATGATAATTCTGGGCACACACAACTGCTTGTTTAAATCGCATATCACATTCCTCCTGACACTTTTAGACTGCTACGACGTTTTTTATAATAATTATTATTATTACTCACGGAATAGTAATTCATTCAACGTTGCATCAAACACGCAATACTCACTACTGGGATCTATCTAAATAATAATCCACTTAGTGAAACACCTTTCCCAAAGTTTTACAATTAACTGAATCCTCAGGTCAAAGATTGAGACCGGTTGAGAGTTTAAGTGAGAATTCGTGTTTATTACTCGAAGAATATTCGACCAACAAGTTGCTGAGAGAAACCTAGAAGTTTCCTGCTTTACTCAGGTGATTTGCTTTCCAGTTACGGTTCGGCACCAAGCAACTGTATATCCTGGCATTTTAGAAACATCATTCAGACTAGTTACTCTACAGTTATGCCATACAGATTCTTGTCCTCTTGTAAACTCGAATGGTCAATGATTGACACTCGTCTTTAGAAGCTATTGCAAGACGCATACACTTGTCTTTTGTTATCGGTTTCACCGTGCATATTACGAAGATAACCAGGTGATTAGCTCAGCAGCTGCTAAACTAAATACTGGTAAACATGAAAGTCTATCAACCTAAAACCAAATGTAGTCAAACAATGCAACTACACCTAGTCGATATCAGAATTCAATTTAATCCAATAATGATCAATTCGCTAAGATGGACACCAAATAGCTTTTCGATGTTTTAGTCTAGAACATCTTCACCTGAAATACCTGAATAAATATACACAAAATATGTCCTATAAGAACAAGGTTAGAGAAACATAAGTGAATCCTAAATTAGTAAGACAGTTGACTTACATGAGATGAATTTTCCACGACTAATCCAAAAACAGGTTCTCTTGAATCACAAGCCTCTATCTCCGAAACATTGTCCTCTACGGGTCGAGGTGAATCACATGAATTCTCAACCTTGATAAGTAGAAAATAATTATTGTCAACGCTGAGATACACTAGAAGCTAACGAAAAGTTGGTCTTGAAACATGACCAGTTTTGAAGTGACATATAATGTTTCAGAGACGTAAAACAAAGTGTAAACTTCCTTACATATATGACTCGGAATTCTCATCTAAACAGGATTACATCGTTTCATGAATTGATCAGAAAGTCGTCGGGTAAGAAACTGATTCTCCTACATCTTCTACAAAGTCGTTGAACAACAATAACGACTATGATAATTCTGGGCACACACAACTGCTTGTTTAAATCGCATATCACATTCCTCCTGACACTTTTAGACTGCTACGACGTTTTTTATAATAATTATTATTATTACTCACGGAATAGTAATTCATTCAACGTTGCATCAAACACGCAATACTCACTACTGGGATCTATCTAAATAATAATCCACTTAGTGAGACACTTTTCCCATGGTTTTAGAATTAATTGAAAAGAAAATGCGTGGTATAGGAACAAAGTTAGAGAACGATCAGGGAATGTAGAAGTAATGAGTTCGTCGGCTCAAATGAAGTGACTTTTCCACGAGTACTCCCAAAAGGGATTCGTTTGAATGAGAGGCTGCTATCTGCGAAAGAGTGTATGTCATTCGCAAAGATGAGGCACACGAATTTTTAACCTGGGTGTTCGAAAAGCAGTTCGTGAATTGTGAGACAGAGGGAAAGCTAGCGAGGGGTTGATAAGTGAGTTGGAAAACCTGTTCAAACGGTATCAGAAGGATCTGATTAAACTACGAAGCTTCAACTGAGGAAAATGAACTACGCAACTTGTTTTATGGCTTTTAGTTCATAGATTTATTCAAACAACTTCGCTCTAATGAAGAACGACAGTCTTCACAGAAAATTTTCTATGCATACTTAGTACTGTAAAGTGTATACTTTTGCTTCAAATTTAGTAGGATTGGTGACTGAATAACTGGCAAACTGACGACATAGTAACGACTAGTAGATCAAGCAAACTTCACTTCCATCGTAAGGAAGTCAATTTTTTCGAACCAAAACTGTTTCACACTTAACGCAGGATCGATTTCAGTGGCGCAAATACATCCACATGATACCTTCATCTTTATCATGTTGAATTTTGTTGATTTCTTTCACCCTCCCGTTGTATGAATTTCTACCGCTTCCAATCACTTCCTTCTATATTTCTCTGCGCTTCACCTTGGGCTCTGTTAACTAAGTGTGATGGTGCCTTTTGTGATAACTTGAACCAGTAGGCACCTATTCTGGGTTTCAGATTGAATCAAAGGCAGTAAAATGAACGAATTCATGACTTACCTGTTTCTCAAACCTGAAAACTGTATTGCCTTAGTTTCGAGTCTTTTTACTTAATAGTTGTCTCGATCAGATCTAATGTCAGTACTTTTGTGTTTGCCCGCCATCTCACTGACTTGTCTCATTGTCAAGAACAAAGCATGTATCAGCGAAGAAATATTTCTTTTCAACGATTTCATTATCAGGCTGTACAGTCGTATTTATACTGAGTAAAGTGATAGATAATTGCACTAAGAAGTTGCTCAGACAATATGCAAAATATACAATCGGTGGAGGTGGTGGTATTTGTTCAAGTGGAAGAGATAGAAAATGGGTCACTGAATAGGGAGGAACGAATTGATAACAAGTGGTGAGATAAGCGACAAGTGCTGACAAAGAATTGTAAAACGGTGATAATTAAGCTGAAACGTGTACAATATGTCAATGATTAAGGAATGAATTGATATTAGAGTGAAATATGGTTCAAGTATTGTCGATGAAGTGAAAATTGGTGATAATGGTGATAATAGAAGAGAAGTATACCAAAGTGAAGTGAACTGAAATTGACAAAATCAACAAAATGAATTGTTAAGGCCAAGGTAGAGAAAGTGGTTTCACAAAACGTTTTTGAATGCAAAGTTTCGTTCCTCCTTATTCAGTGACCCATTTTCTATCTCTTCCACTTGAACAAATACCACCACCTCCACCGATTGTATATTTTGCATATTGCCTGAACAACTTCTTAGTGCAATTATCTGTCACTTTACTCAGTATAAATACGACTGTACAGCCTGATAATGAAATCGTTGAAAAGAAATATTTCTTCGCTGATACATGCTTTGTTCTTGTTAATGAATAAATGGGTATATTTCGTCAGTTGTCTCATTGTGCTGGTAGCAATCTCTGATAACTTGGAGGTATACTAAGTTTGCTAAGTCTTATGTTCTGACTTATGTATCCGTCTGCAACCACTGATTTCTAATATTTTGCGAATATATATAAGAAAGACACACATCGGAGAACCTAGCAAAGAAGTGCATCAGTTTAACTTGCCACGCTTCACAGCAGCATTCAAAAAAAGTGGAAAGAAGTGATAGCTGGGTAGAGAAAAATGTATGGCTGGGCAGAGAAAAAGTAAATTAAAGTTTGTGAAAATATTCAAAACTCTAAAGATGACAAATAGTTAATACACACGCATCAGTCCGACTGATTCTGAACCATATGAACAAGTTTCTAACTACTGATGCTCGAAGACTCCAGCTAAGCAGAATACACTTTTTCACACGGTTTAGATCAACTGTCCACTACATGGGCTGATGCCACACCTCATTTTAACCTTCTTCCAACCCAATCTTACTTTGGGCAACATCATGCATCGACGTAGGTGGTGGCTAGACGTGCACAATACATATCAAAGGTCCCTCAGTTACTGAAGGCTCACAAAAAGGACTAGTGTCCTCATTGCCTAATACTTTATGCCGAACCTTAGTATTGCTCACATGATGATTTCGCCACACAACAGCAACGCTACAAAGACACCTATGGTCAGAGAATCTGCTACCCCATCACTTTTTTACTTCAGACAGCCGCGCCTCACAGTCAAAAAATAGGGACAAATGAGACTTCCACTTAGCATACCTGCAATTTTACATGTAGTCGGAAATCTCACCAACACTCTAGATGGTGTGAGTTAGCAAGAGCCAGTTGAGCCTTTTGTATCCCTCAAGAGATCTCGTCAGCTACTGACCGATCCACCAAGGCCGATACGACTTCTCAAGTAAGTAAAGTGGTCAACGCGCCCAACCACTACTCCCTGCTGTCAGAAGTGGTATTGAAAAAGACCAGTTCTGAGGCAACAATCAACATCCCACGCATCGAAAAGAAATCCTAAAAGTTCTCAAATTCTCACTCAACGTGTTCACAGGACTCGGTATCCTGCCAACGTTTTCCCCCAGAAGGACTATATAATCTGCATGCTCTTAACCTACTAAGGAGTTTTCTGAGATGACATCAATGCCTATTAATTTGGAGTAGAGGAAGATCTCCATAAGCTTGTCGATGAGAAGGCTGAATAAAAAGGAAGAGAGTGGATGCCCTTGTCGGACGCCACTCGACGTGTAGTAGTCACATTATGGCTCGTCGTTAGCTGTAACACAATCACAGGTGTTTTAACACATTGTCTTCAGTCGGGTAGTGTACCATCCGGGACTGCATTCAGCGAAAGACTGCCATAAAAACTCTTCAATAACTTAGTCGAATCCCGTCTTCAGATCGAGAAATATAACTAGCGTTTAGTGTCGGTAAGTTTGTGTTTGAAGAAGCATGAAGACTTGGGCGTTGGATAAACGTTAAACGACGCTACTGTCATATTAATCTATAAGCAAGCAGCGTTGTTAGTTGCTCAAGATTATTCCTATCGGTATCAACAAAGGATTAGGTATTACTGCATAACGATTCAAGTTGCCACACCTCATACCAACACAAGTAACAAAATAAGATGAAAGATGAAGAAAAATTGGTCAAAAACAGTACAAACCAGTAAAAGAGAGGAAGGAGGAATGAGAAAATCAAGAATCCAGTGCGGCTACTAAGGTGTAGTGTGGATGCATTTGCGTCCCTGACATCGATTTTGAGCTATATCACCTAGATTCCAACCGTTGGTTTTTGATGTCACGTGAATCCCAACCGGTAAGTTTGCATCTTCCTACACGCATCAAACGATTTCACTGAGTGATTCTGTGTTTTAATCTGGTCGCCCTGCGCCTTTTTCCAACCTGAACCTACTTCAGTCAGCTTTACACCACGAGGCAGCCGGTGACTAGGCATGTGTAATACGTCCCAACCATCTGGGTCGGTGAAAGTTCATGACGTTATCAATGGACTTTCCTCTCTTACCTAAAGCTGTAAACCTGAATTCTGAGTAACTGATGTTGTGACACCCTGCCACAGACTATGCTACGCAGGCAACGGTGGTCAAACACCAGGAGGTTTTTCAAATCCTCTATCTTGAATAGCCACGTTTCACAGTCTTATGGGAGAACAGCGAACTGCAGCACAGAACACTCAACCCCTGATGGGAAACAGGATATCGGGGAGACGCCACAGATGGCGTAGGTTGCCGAGAGCCGTTCCTTTTGTAGTACCTGTTTCGATTCCGATTACGAGCTAGTGCTGGCTCGTGTATGTTCTGAGCCTTACTGGTCATAGCAAACAGGCGATATTAAAGCCTGTCTATGTTCGATTGGAAGATGCAGACGTCAAAAAAGCATTTAAGGGGAGCTAGTTAAGCATTTATCTGAACTTAACAGCTATGCTCATACTCAGAAAGCCTGGCGTGATATTAGGTTTGCTGTAGAAACAGTGGTAAAGACAGTCGGTAGTCTACACTCGAAGATTAGCTAACATCATTGGACTTCCGCAGTGTCATTCGAACTAACTGATTTTGGCTAGGTCTGATACGATGAAGAGCGAAAGCAACTTAAGGTGACCAACAGTTTTCGCGTCAATTGTGAGCAGTAATGGGTGACGAAAGAGAGATAGATTGAAAAGAAATCAGTGTTGGGTAACACTCGGCAACTGTTAGGGCTTATTAACGATACTGGAAAGAAGAAGACGATGGACAGGTGGCTGGAGCGTTGAACAGAATACTTTGAAGCACAATCTAACTGGTACACAACAACGCTTCAGCTGCTAACCATTCAGTCTGAGCGTGAATGACACGTATACGTCGGTCCTTCAACTCTCCTTGAATTTGAGAAGGCTGTATCGAACCTCAAACAATGTAAGGCAGCAGGACCTGACAGTTTTTCATCCGGAGTTTTCAAGGACGGAGGTAGGAAACTGATTACAGTGACGGATGTACTATGTAGTGCATAGGAATCAGAGGAAGTGTAGTTAGACTGGTGTCCTTCACTGACCATCCCTGTCTTTAAGGGGGAAAGTATTCCAGTGACAACCACAAGGGAATTAGGGTCCATAGTCATCCGATGCTAAACTGGAGCTCGAGAACATCAAACTGGAAAAAAGCAGGCATCAATCATATTTCCACACTTCGAAGGGCTTTAGACACACAGATGCAGATCAGTGATCGACGCCTGCCATATTTCTTGAACTGAATGCGATATTTGACTCAGTTGACCAAGAGGTGTTGTGGCAGTGCATGTGAAGAAAGCACCAACCAGGTACATAACGTTTATCAAAGCTCTCTACTCGAACTCATGCAAGAGGTTCTGGAGAGCTGCCGAACTGACGACAGCCAGTGGTGCGCGCTAGGGATGTCTATCGTCACTGTTCCTATTTAACTTCATTGTAAACGTACTAATGGACATAACCTTAGGTATATCTGACTCCACAAGGATTGACCTACTCCATGGATGTCATCTGGTTGAATTGGAGTATGCGGAGGATTTCGTCCTGCTAGGTGAAAACGCTGACAAAATCCAGGGTCTTCTCCACGCGCTGAGCAGAAATCTATTTTTGCCATGCGTCTCGCACCTGTCAGATGGAAGATGATGCTGCAAGACTAGTCTCCAACTACTCCTTGTTTAAGGATAGGGAATGAAATGGTGGAATGTGTCGACTGCTTCACTTAATTGGGGAGTTGCATTAACCCAAACTGTCTGGTTACTGGCGAAATCTCTGCTTGGATATAGAAGACCTGTTTGGCATTTGACAACTTACATCGTCTGTGGCGTCAACTATACTGCGCTGCAGTCCGTCCTGTCTTCCTATACGGTTATGAGACACGACCGCTAAGAAAAGATATGAATCTGTTACAGCGTTTTGATCATATTATCGTAGCATTGCAAATATTTGGTGGAATCACTATGTGAGCAATGTTGAGGTCAGGCGAAGGGTGCTAGGTAGGATAGGCATGTTGACTGATGAGATTGTGAACCTTTATCGACTGAGATGGCTTGGATGCGTTGCGTATACCGAACCACTGCTTACTTCGACGTGCCTTGCTAGGAGAAAATGGATTAAGTCTCATGAGGGTTCACGGGCGCCAGACCAAGACATGGCACTAGATGATGAAGTCCTTGATGATCAGTCTGAGCCGCGTTCGGAGATGTAGACTGATGGTCTTCAGTTCCTAGCATCGAATACGGAGTTAAAACAATTTATGTCAGTACGCTGAAACTAAAGAAATTTGACATCGTTGCGTGAGTACAGAATGACCCCGAATACATTAATCAGAAACCGGTTTTCATTTCACTTTTATCACAGAAATTAAATAAGCAACACCAGGTATGGCAAAGACCAGTATAATTCTGACAAAGTTAGAGAACAATGGCTGAAGAGGATCTATTCGCTGTTGCGTAATTTAACGAGTACCTCAAACTTACTTCAGATAAAATGGTAGGGTTTATGAAGTTAGAATGAAGGTTTTGGCGGTGTGCAACCTAGACGTGGAGAATGCTCCCATGTAAACCTTTTGTCTGCAATTATATTCTTTATGTGAAATATAGGTACATGAAAAATCGCTCAAAATTAGCGAAGGTGGGAAAATAGTATGAAAAACAATTAAATGCAATCAAAGTTATGAGCACATAAATCTGGCATGAGAACCTAGTGTCAATCACGTCCTTTCAGCAATTCAAAAATTCCGAAAACGACTGCACAGTTCCCTTTAACTTGAAAGGTCATTTCAAGGTTCTGATATAGATCCCGAGAGAGCGCAAAGTTCTACCTCCAGCCGACGCTACTAAATTTCTTGATGGTATTTCCGATAACTGAAATGGATACCGCGTAGAACGACTTACGTAACTTGGTTTATATATATATATCCAGTCAACGTAGCCGCATGGAAACTCAGGGCCATTTACAGAACGCGGGACTAACTGAAACGCTAACAAAACGTATGGGACAGAAAATGATGTGAAGAAAACGAGAGATAAATCGAAGAAACGAGGAGTGAAATGATAGTGATAACAGGGCATATAAATCAGGAGTAGAAGAAAGGACAGTGATGCAATACCCCAAGTTTTCAATAAGATTCATTTACATCGCCTAATTAAGATGCTAATTATAGAACATACATAATTCAACAATATAAGTATGTTTAATATACATCATCGGCTTAAACTGCGACAACGCGTTGTCGTCTTCAGAACTTTTCCCGGAATATCAAAGAAGATATCTTGGAATTTTCGAAAAAAAATAAAAAAAAGGAGACGATTTAAGCCCTAGACTTAGGATTTAAATCCTTGAAAGGTCTAGATAATATTTTTAAATTCAAAGACCTTGAATGCCATGTTCAAAACTAGTGGGGTGACAGAAAAGTTTCTTATTTCTCCCCCGCCATTTAGTGTTTAAAAGTTAAGGAACCTTATAAGTTACTTCAGTCGTTATTAGGGAAGTCTCTAACGCCACCCTAAACAGCTGAGCTTACCATCTATATAACCCACAATCCACCGTAAATGAACTAGGCGCCTAGGTCTCCTAATGTCACTGCTGATCTATAAAAACAAAAACAAAATCTAGAGTGGTTTCAAACGTTCTCACTGTGTGGGACTGTGGAAGAAATAAAAAGGGGTTCACATAGGTTAGATTATTCAGTCAGCTTGATTGCCTATCACAAAGTAACACAAAATACATTTTCGAAAGAATAAGCAATTAAAAAAAATATTCCTCATTCTTTGACTGAAAATCAATGAGCGATAATTATTAGTACGAATAACGGCAATACATGGCTCAAATGTAATTGATAATTGCCATACATAAGGTGAATTGTACGCAACAATCGTTTTGAATTTTATTCTTCCTCACGGGTTGCAATCCTTATATGTCATACATGCGTATATACGAATGTACAGCTTGAAGGCATATCCATTGAAAACAGCCCCATTGACTAGATAGCTTTTTTTCGTAGGGAAGATTTGCTTATTTGTGACATTCTCTTGTAAATTAGAGTGAGCAAAATCTCATCGTTATCGGGAGCTTACTTTGAACGATCGCTTTGAGTGCGTCCTCTGTCGTCAAATAACGCTTGGATGTGTTCCATATCACCGGACTCGCATTATAACCTGCCGGTTTCACAGGTACAGCCAATAGGTCAAATCATACCATTGTTATGACCAAAGGTAGGGGCATCAGTATAAGACGTCGACTACAGCACTTTATTAAGGAATTCGCGTGCAAAAGAGTTTGCAGGCAACAGATGTGAAGAAATGTATACAAGCGTAGGTGTGCGGTGGAGGCCGTCAAGTTTAGGTTGACGAGTTTGCGCATTTCAGCCAGTGTTTTAACAGAGCAATTACTCCCAAAGTGGGGTGACTGATACATGCGTTCTCGAAAGACATGACTTTTTGATATCACTAGCGAAGTCTAAATGATACCACATGATGCCAAGTAAGTGCCGATGATTTAAACAATCTAATGTAGATGAAACAGGTGACCTGTCAGGTATGGAACCAGAAAAACGGAATTCCTACTCAGAAAACCACCAGCTTATTTGTCACGATGGCCGCATTTTCTGATCCACCGGTCTTGGTGTCAGCAGTTAACTTCCAAGAGGGAGGAATTGGAGTTCTTAAAGGGTTTAAAAAAGTTTAAAAACTTTATTTTCGCTACAAAAAAATTAGTAGGTAGGAATAAGCCTAATCAAGTTTCCATGACGCATAAGAGCTTCACCAGTTCACCATATTGTGCCCTTTCCGACGCCATATTTCGCCCCTTTGAAAAGTCCCATCCACAGTTCTCAATCTCAGTTACACATTTTTAAGCCTATCAGTCTCTCTCCATCGTTATCCAAAATTCTTACGGTCTGCTATATGCTAGTCCCTACTGGTTTCCTATCCTTCAAAACAAATTTTTCTGCCTTTACTGCCAAACCTTAGGACCGACATTTATGTGGCTGCGTGCGTCATCACATTGAGCCTGACTTCCAAGCCCATGTAGAGACACTCAAAATCCGAAACACTTTCCAGTCCAGAAAACTAAGTTTAAGCAGGAAGATAAGAAACTGTGCATACCTCAAACTATTGCACTGGTTGAGTTTTCCAAGGAACCCGATGTTTCGCCAACCAAGCCAGTATCTGATGTGGTGTGATTCGCCGGATCCACGTAGGCTTTTTGAAACCAAGGAAGGGCCACAGGAGACAATCTTTTTACGCTGGGGAACTCCCAACACAGATTCCCAAAATGCGGCTGAGATCGTAGCACCTTTACTGTTTGTTTAAAACGATACCAGTCGTGTGAGCCGCAGTGTAAATAGGATCAGATGGGGCCAATCTACCATTCAGAACTTGTTGAAACTACCGAATATGATGAAATTCATGCATGCTGAAGACTTCGAGAGAACATTCATTGTAAAACTCAGGAGTTATATGGAGTCAACTTTCAGGGTACCTGCAGTAGTCTTTATCTGCGAGGACGGAAAGTTGAGTGGATAACCCATGAATATCACTCCGAACATTCTCTTTTTCGACCATAAGACTGGAATATGCAATTCCTCAGAAGGAATTACAGCCTACCATCTCGCATACTTGTGTCGGAGAAAAATTTCTCTCCCGTTCAGAATGAATGAGCCTCTGCTAGTTATTCGTACCTGCTTATTATTAGTGTCCAGCGGCTATTGTGCACAGATCTATGCACTAACATGGCATTTTTCAATGAAAGGCACCCAATTATCTTGAAAGCGAATGCACTGGGAACGACATCGCATTGTGGGAAAAATCGGCAGGAGAAAGCAAACTGGATCGCATACGACGTGTTTTCACATCGCGCTGCCATTGACGATATCAAAGTGGGAGTGGTGTGAAATCAAGTACAGAAAAAAAATCAAGCACCATGTTCAGATGCCCTAGTCTTCAACATTATTCCCTCAAATTCTAAGACAAATGACTGCATCTCTTGTGCTTCTGTTTCTCTTTCTAATCCCATATGCAGGTTATGACCGCGGATCGTACCTGCGCAAACTACGCATCGAAATATACTTCGAACTTATATTCAGCGTGTGTGAACTGTTATTTCTTACCACCTAGAAATTCAAAACGCCAGAAGACAATTCATCTCAGACTAAACACGTTGGTGTCAAATGCCGTTTGCACCCAAATATGCAGGTTCTTCGACTCCTGATCAGGACTCACCAAATAACGAAGCTAACCAAAAGTGAACCAGTACGGATTGCTGACGTTGAAGTCTTATCGAATAGCCTTCTGGTCAAATCTTAAATATTCCCCCTGTCATATGACAACAGTGGCTGCGTGAAGTTTCATTTTTGTATTAATTTATTCAAAGGACTCTGTTTGCAGCATTATAGACCCGAACGCTGCATGGCACCACATAAAAGTAGCCCTGAATTTCCCCCATCCGCCCAGTATTTTAATTCATCTTCTCATTCTTTCTGTAAACATCACTAAGTTATAACATACCCGCATATTTTTGGCTCCGTTTACGCTCAACATTCGATGTGCAGTGCACTATAACTGATTGTGTGACTCAGTACTGCCAGGGTACTCATCACGCTGAGTGAGTAAATCAGTATTAATTTTCGCTGCTGCTGTTTAGCGAAAAGGTTTTACTTAGAGTTTGTGACCGGCAATATTCCAACAGTAGCTAAGTCCGGGAAACTTTATGTGGTCCCATAATTTATTCTTTGTAAACTTTCTCTGCTTGACTGAGAATTACTTGGCACGTTTTCATGGTATTCGTCATTCGAAATATATTAAAACAATATTACACTTCCCGGTTTCGAAAATCAATTTAAAGGCTTGTGTCTTCCACCGGCTTCTCACATGAAACTGTGACACTGAATGGGAAACTGATAAAAGACAGGCAAACTAGTTTCGTAAGTTTGATGGAAGTGCACAACGGCAGTGCTGAAAGATACCATGACAGTTTTGGCAGTGCTGCAGAAATTCATAGCAAAACAACTGCACTGTAAGACTGAACGCAAAGTGTTAGCAGTCATTTCTAATCAGCAGATTCCGCATCATTTTTCGCTACCCACCCACATTTTCGGGACTGAAAGGACTTTGAGCAATCTTCCAAACGTTTTGGCAATGGAGAGCCTGAAAGTACGGTTAGTTCTTATCCTCAATAGTCTACTGTTACTGAGAGGCGGTAAAGGAATACTTGTGGAAAGAATCACTGGAGACAAGTATTCGGAACGCTGTAGACAGGTGAACTATCCTGCCAATTTACTATTTCATTGATGAGCAGAAGTGGTAGACAATAGAAAATCGGTCTTTGGTCACTAGTGGAGAATTCGCTACTAACACATGCGGTGACAGAGATGATGTTAGGGCAAAAGGCTCTGCCCAATGCACTGTCTTAATGCATAGGTGACTGGTTATATTACCTCCACCTATATACATTCTTGACATTAGGTGTTTCATCATGGCTTTGTAGGCCGCAGCCCTTCCAGCGAGTTTAAATTCAGCGGTGAGGGGTCCTGAATTCATGGGTGCTTCAGTTTCTCCTGCTAGAAAAGTAGCTCTATACACAACCTACTAGGTCTTTGGGGTTAATACTGTCTAAAGTAGCCCAAAAATAGTCCACCAGATACTTTAAAATACCACTTTCACTCTTGTTTTCGGTGGCAAGTCTACACATATAATTCAAGCAATCTCCCCAACGCCTCTAATCTCAATTGAGGTGATAAAGAGTATAGCAGTGTATGCGTGGGCCTACATCTAGGAGTGAGCCAGGATCCCATGATTTAGTAACGAGCAACGCTGTAGGTTTGGTCGGTAGACTACTGCTCTTTAGTCAGGTACTTTCTTCAGTTACCAGAGTGGCTTATTGAGGAAAAGTGTAAACAACTTCCTATGCTTCGTTAAGTGACTCACTATCTCATCTAAGCTCAGCTGGATGGAGGTAATTCCCATATCGAATTCACTAGACGATGGAATAATTATGTTGTGGATTTACTGAGACTCAGCAGCAGAATGTAATGCTGTGACAGGTGACTTTATGTCTTCCAAAAACCCGCGATTATCTGGCTTTTCAAAGCACTTGTAGTTCATTGGCATTTTAGGATTTGTCCTGGTACGAACTTGACAGACGCAAAGACCAATCACTAATTATTCGAACTTGTTATATACCCACGAATACGAGACCAAGGAAGAACACGATAGCGTAGTCGGATGGAATAGTATATTTGGATGGTTATGCCAAAATACCGATGCGTTCCAACTAACTGGCTAGAGAGTCGAATACGAGCAATGCAACGTAACACGACAGCGTGCCAAATGGCGAGGATGCTTGACCGGGTGCCTTCAGCTTAGCGAGTCCAGTTAAACTATCAAGGTCAGCATCAATGTCGAAGTCGTCAAACCCTAGGCTATTGATTTTGGGGAAGTGTATGACGCTACAGATCACTCCCCCCCTAGTGGGTTCGTGAGGACCCTAAGACGATACCAGCCGGAAGTAAAAACCCAGTGGTTTCTC